AAAACTAATAATATTGTTGTTATTTGAAGACCCTATACTGTTACAGACCTTGCGCATTATAAGTAAAAAATCCGATTTTCAGAGGGACAAGGAGAGTCGGTTGGCTGGCTGGTAGGCGAGCCTCCAAAGGGAGGCCCCACGAGGCGCCCAGAGGTGGCCTGTGCGTGCACCTAACCGACGAGTAATGATGGAGAAAGATAAGAAAGGGGCCAGCGGAAACTCAAAACTGACAACAGCCAGGCAGACGGCAACAATTGTCTGTTGCTGCAAGTGACAGAAAGCGTACATCCAAAGCGGATATCAAAACCCATATGTTTCCAAGTTCCAGCAACATGGCATCGCGACTCGGCCTCCGGCCTTTTTTCGCCTTCACTTCGCTCGCTTTTGATATGTGACACTTTTCGCGCGGGTTGTGACGCCGTTCGGGCAGCCGCCAACGTGCTCGGCCATTCAACAAGGCCAGCGAGGCCAGGCAGACAGGAATGTTCCCATTGGCTTTGGTCTTGGCATCAACTTTACTTCTCCGTCATTGCCCGCGCCCGCGACGACGAACGACTCGAAATACTTCCCACTTCACCACTTCCCGTCTCACGAACCACGGAACACGGACCACCCCGAGCACCCTTCGCGAGCAGCCCTCCGCCCCTCCCCGTCCTCCACCCCCTAAAACATCGGAGACACCCTCCCAGATGGGAATGGACGCATGGAGACGCAGATCACCACTTTTACTTCCACTTCTCTTCGAGTTCGCGTTTTCATCACCACAAACCACAACCTCGGGCTTGCGGGCAAGGGACACTAATCGTACCATGAGGATCCTCTGGTAACACCACCATCTTGGCATCCTACAGAACCAACAGCACTATCGACTACCACTGGCGTGGTTCATTACGTCAAAAGTAGTGCACCGGCACTGAGAGAGAGCCACCAACAGAAAGCAACATCTTGCGGAGTACGGAGTTCTGTTTCTTCATCTGTCAGATCTCACCTCTCACTTCTCTCGATATCCAATATCTCATCTCGTGAGACTGAAAACATCATTTTCACTTGCCCTGTGTTGCTGTAACCGAACCAAACCAAACCAAACCGATAACCATGTCTTGTCTTGCCCTGTCACGCGAGCCTGGCGAGGTTGATGTCGACAATGTCTATGTACACTACAGTGCTACAGTGCTACAATTCTACAGTGGCATCATGTCATCATCCAGTAAATTGGGGAGAGCGAGTGGGAGCGAGTGGGAGCATGACGGTTCATCACAAGTTCACAACCCCTCCTGGCACCTGTCTCCTGGCACCTGTCTCCTGGCACCTGTCTCCCGTCCCTGCTGGCCCGGCTGGCATCCCACAAGATCCCATCTTAATAGCCCTGACAGCCAGAATTCAGGGGTCCGGCTTTTTGTTTTCTGGGGAATTGTGATGTCAGGCAAGTCAGGGCCAAACTTCGGCCCAATCTTGATAACGAGACGACTACCAAAAATCAAAGTAAAATGAACGACAGCCGAACGAACGCCCATCACTTTCCCAAAAACTCACGGACCATGTACGACTCCTCGAGAGAGGGAAAAGCACAAGTTCCCTGGTGAAATGAGAAAAGTGACTTCATCAAATTTGTGGGATGATATGCTCGTTTGTACTTCGTCACTGATTCCTTCATCGCGGTTCCTGGACTGGCGAGCACGCCCCTAATTCCAGATGCAACTCCCACTCCCACGAGCCTGACGGGCATCTCAGGGGTAAGATCCGGACAAGATTTCGAGGACAAGAACAGCTAGAAATTTCTAGCCCTCCCTGCCCACCAACACCAGGAAGGTGCATCATGACCATGTGAACATTCCCATTCCTAAACCCAATGGCGACCTAGCGAGCTCTGGGGTCTAGACCCAGACAGCCGGACGCTACATTCCTGAAGCCAGTAGAGCCAGGAATACCCCCAATCTTGACCTTGCTAGACTTGCCCGTCGCCATGGTCTTCATTGACAAAATCGAGCATATCGACGACATTTCCAAGGGGCGAATTCACACTTCTTGGCTACCGTTAGGACCGTGATGCGCTTCGTCCCGCCACTAACCCTGAAAATGTTCCTGATGATTTCTCAAATATTGGGGATATGACCTCATGACGCATCGTAACTACAGTACACAGCAGAGAATCACTGGATTACACATCGGCGGCATATCTACACTACAACATCCCGTCACAAACGGTCAAATGGTGATGCCTAATACTGAATAATCTACTGCGTAGCAGACAACTTTCATTCAAAATCCTACAAAACCATCATATCGTCAACATAGAGGTTAAAAGAGGCTGAAAGGGCTTTGACAAAACTCCGAACCTCTTGAGAGTTCACAACGCTAGCAAACTAACAAACTGCCTCCTGGCGACCGACTGGTCGACCATTTACCGGAAGAGGATTTAGCCAGAATGCAGATTCTTTAGATGCTAAAGATGCTAAGACGCTATCTGACTTCAACATCCCTTGACATCAGATCAGATCTTCAACACTAGTTAGAAAGCATCTTCGGCTCTAACGATGCTGTCTGGTGTCTGTCTCATCTCAGACGGCCACCTGAGCCACTCTAGCCACCTATCCGTAACCTGTGAGCCTGTCATGGCAGATGCACTTTACTTTTCCAGCAGCTGAGACTTTCGTTGATGATCATCCCGATATGGGTAATGGGATAAATGGGAAACCGAGTGTAGCCTTTCATTGCTGCTCGCGCCGGTTACCTTCGCCGGTTTAACTTTCCCATCCCTGGATCACCAGTCCAAGTGTTCGATAGCACAACCTCACCACACCACACCACCAGCTGACCGTTAAGTGCTCACCAATGACAACCACAAGATGACCGTTCACCTATCACCACATCTGTAACCACTCATCACCAACGGCACGATCTCGCACGGGTATCTGTAAGCAAGGGCTTAAGGGCAACGTTCTCGCTGTTATTACCTATTCCGTTGTCTACCCTCCTGTTCGTTACAAGTAGTTGTTAACTGCCAACTCCCTGACACCTGATCGAGCTACCTACTCGAGTGTGATCCATCCATCATGAACCATTGCGCTGGGCATGCTTCACCGTGAAAAAAGTTTGCAAACCTAGCTGCTGATCCCCCGCATCTGTCTCGGTATTTCGCGGTTGTTGTCTTGGTTTCCTATGGTTAGCTTCCCCCTACGAGGTTACCACGAAACAATATAGCGCACAGTAGCGGCCAACGACTCGTGAGATTTTAAGTCGATCTTCGTCCTTAAAGCAAATGGCATTGCTTGGCGGTGGAAATTGGAGGATACCTAGCCGACTAACATGAATCGTGTTTCATCAGATTGTGCCTGCCCTTCCTCTGTAGCGGCTTTGAGTTCGCAACAGTTATGTAAATTACAAGGGAAACTAGACAGACAGTGTCGGTTCTCATGGTGGAAAGAAAGATCAGAATACGATTTGTGGTATCACTTGTGAAGAACGCCGTGGCACATGCTTTTGCTCAAGACAGAAGAAAGTTGATTGTTGGCTTTTAATTGAACCCCTTTGAGAGACGATGTCAATGTTCCCACAACCCAGATGATTTCGCACCCATGCGCATTGAATGAACAGAACCCGTTTTATCCTCCCAAAATGACGTTCAACCCCTAGCAAAGACCAAAACAACCTCCAATTTACTCCTGGAGGAGAGCGGCAATGCGCTCCTGGACACCAGCGGCGCGCTGCTCGCGGGTGAGCTTGGTCTTCCTGTACTTGAGGGACTCGGCCTTCCACTCCTCCTTGGTCTTCTTGGGAGCATCAGACTCGGCCTTCTTGAAGGGGTCCTCGCGGATGGCGGCGTGGGCCTCGGCGTAGAGGTCCTCAAGACCGTCAGCCTCAACATCGTTCTCGATGTAGCGGTTGAACTGGGACTTGTAGCGCTCCTCATCGTCGTCGGCGAGGGTCTCCATGTACTCAGCGACGTGACCGCCGAAGATGTACTTCTTGAGGGTCTCGGCATCGAGCTCCTCGGACTCCATATCGAAGCCGGGGAAACGGTTCTCGGAGTGGGGGATGCAGATACCGCCGTCGGAGGCACCCTTCATGGCACCGAAGACACGGGCACCGGTGGAGGTGCGGGCAAGACCGACATCAAGGAAGCACTTGAAGGGGCGGCGCTCGCCATCGTCGGTCTCGGCGGCCTCGGTGAGCTTGTACTCACCATCAGCCTCCTCAACACCCTTGAAGGTCTCGTCGAGGCCGAGCTTCTTGAGGACACGGCGAGCGAGGAGGAGACCAGTGGCGTAGGCAGCGGCCCAGTTGGTGAGACCGTTCTCAATGCCGTAGGCCTTGAGCTCGTGGGAGTAGGCGGAGGCAAAGACCTTGTCGCCGGTGATCTCGGAGCTCACAACCTGGAGGATGATGTCGCGGTTGGTGAAGCGGACGACCAGGCGGTACTTGGGAGCATTGTACTTGTTCTTGGCCTGGGTGATGAGGCGCTTGCGGGCATAGTAGTCGGTCTTGCCCTCTCTTCTGCGCTTGTACTTAGTCTGGAAGCGACTGTTTGGCGAATGGAATGTTAGCGAACACCACGTTCCTTCTTGACTTCCTTGTTAGAGAATGTCTGCTTACCTGTAGTACGCGCTGTTCTTGACAAGCTTGTGGAAGGCCTGACAATCAAAAAATTCCCGAGTCAGCAATTATCGCTTCAGAATATTCCTCCAGTCCGAAGCATCTTGCGTTGACTCTTTCTCTCCTTGTTTTTTTCCCCCGATTTGCCCTCTGGAATGGTGGTGGTGATGGTGGTTTGAACGCAGTCGCTGATCTCGCTCATTGCTGAGCGGCCGCGACGCACGCCGTAGGTTTCGTCAACTTACCATTTTGACTACTTTTGCTGGGTGCACTCAACAAACGGTCTTGAGACGGGCTGGGTTGTCAGAAGGGAAATTTCAAGATCGCGAGCAAACTTTGGTGGGCAGGAATTTCGCACTACAACCCCACAGCCCTAAATGCAAGAGCGCGCCTGATTGGTCGGCTGGCCGCTGGGTTGTCAACTCAGGTTGGCGACGACCCGTTCACCTCGACATGGATAGAGTGCCACGGTGGGCGACGAGCGCCAAGAGTTGTGGCATGCACGCGGCAGGCAATTGTGGATACCCGCCTGCTAGTGGTGAACCTTTATGGCCTCGGGCTTCCGTAGCCGTCGACCTCTGGTTATCACTATCCCGAACCGAGGTTCATCATTGACTTCAGTCATCAATTCCTAGTGTCAATATGCGGAGGTCCAATGTTGACAGATGAATCTAAACATTTTTATACCACGAAAGTCCCGTGATTTTATACTTGTGATGCTTCCTGACGAGTTTCCCGCTGAATACATCATAGAAGCCATCGACAGCATGGCACCAACAGATCTCAAAGGGAAGGGGTTCGGGTCCCCCAAGCCCAAAGTCATCCTCTTTGACATTGGCGGCGTCTGTGTAAGTCAACATCACAACTTCACCCCTTCATACACATCACTACTTAACTTCCACCCCTCATTACAAGATGTCGCAGAACCAAAGACTAACACAATCCAGGTCGTCTCCCCCTTCCAATCCATCCTCAACTACGAACTCCGCCACTCCATCCCCCCAGGTTGGATCAACCATTCCATCTCGCGCTCCGCCCCCCACGGCTTCTGGCACCGCCTAGAAACCGGGTCCATCCCCATGGACGCCTCCTTCTTCGCCGGTTTCACGCGAGACTTACACAACCAATCCCTCTGGGAATCCTTCTACCGCTCGCAACAAGCCGCCAACCCCTCTCACTTCCCTCCCCCCGGCTCACCTGTGCCTCCGATCCCCCAGATCGACGGCGAGTGGCTGTTTCACGACATGATGGAGCACGCCCGCTCCCCAGACCCTTGGATGTTCCCCACCCTGAAGAAGCTGAAAGAGGATGGACGCTTCGTCGTCGCGGCGCTGAGTAACACTGTCATTTGGCCGGAGGGCCATAAGTGGGCGGAGAAAGACTTCTTTAGCGATCCGCTCAGGCAGCTGTTTGACGTGTTTGTTTCGTCCGCGCATGTCGGGCTCAGGAAGCCGGATCCGAGGATTTACCAGCTGGCGCTGGAGAAGGTGGATGAGTTTGCGCGGGCGAATGCGGACTCGGAAAGGGGCAAGAGGGGCGGTTGGGGAGAGGGGGTGAGGGCGGAGGATGTGGTGTTTTTGGATGATATTGGGGAGAATCTGAAGGCGGCGAAGAAGACTGGGTTTAGGACCATCAAGGTTGGCCTGGGAAAGGCGTTTGAGGCGGTTGATGAGCTGGAAGGCGTGACGGGGTTGAAGCTGGCGGGGGATCACCCGCGGATTGCGGTGAAGCCGGATTATAGTGCTGGGAAGGAGGCGAAGGCTAAGTTGTGATGATCTTAATGATGTGAATGCGGTGTATGAGATTAGATTATTGAATGAAGAGGAATTTTGGCTGTTCGCTTGACTTATGCTCCCGCAACGCATCCTTTGCGGATCTGTGAAGATCGGAACTCATTATTGTTGTAGTCGGTCTGTTTTCACTCATGATCACTGCAGGGAACATCTTAGTTAGATTGCTCTAGTTTCCATGCCCCAAACCATTGTCAACAAAATACTTCCGCAATCCAAAACGAAAAAGGAGGAAAGCTTTGAAGTGGTAGAAAAAAAAGTGTTGACCCGTACCGGACTCGAACCGGCGACACCCAGCTTACTTGGTAACAGCTCACGAAGAGCTCTTTCGCATTACTCCCGGGTGTGCTAGCGGACCATGGAAGACGGTGTCAGCAGTGCGTATTATATACCCCTAGTGGCTGGGAAGATGGGATGAGACGCGATGAAAGGGTCAAAGGAGTAGGTTCAAACAAGGGCTTTCTGGCGCAGCATCTATGCATTCTTGAGATTCCACAGGCAGCTAGCTCTGGGTGGGACTTCTACACAACCGTGGGTGTTGGTCTAGACACAATCATGTCGGTGCCAGTAGGCAGCTCCTGTCACTCATTACTTCGAATATTACGCCCTTGCGAGATGATAATCGTCAGATGCATATGTTGATATTTTTTACTACTGATTTACCAGATCTATATGGTCGTATGTTACGGATCTTATGACCATAACTTGAAGAACTACAAATGTCCAAAACCATCCAGAGCAACTAGCTCAGAGCAGAAGTAATATATAAATTTTACACTTCTAACGTAGTTTATACACCACCTTGACACTCATCCTCTTATACACATAACCGCTTTGCTCCTCATCGCTTTGACTGTCGTTTTAGTCTTCTCCTTTTCAAGTTTTGGTTTATTTTGTCTAAGTAGGTATCACCCAATTCACCTCTCAGCCCACCAATCTTTTCCCCAGCCACGAACCAAGATCTTTCCTTCCTCCTCTCCTCATACCATTAAACCATCCATCATCATTTCGCTCTTTTACCCTCCATAACATAATGCCCCAAACGCTCTCAGATCTCCCTCCCTGCAGCTCTCATCGCACTTCGCCTTTTCTAGCTTTGAGCTCCCCCTTTCGCCCTCTTCCTCCCAAAAGAGCATCTCAATTAGATATCATCTCCCAAGCCTCCATGATCATCACCAGAGATTTATTTCATGGCGATCGTGGCATTGTTAGATGTGAAAGGGTAGCCTCAGTTGTCCACATCTTATCCAGCAGTTCCCTCGAGGATTCGGAATGCGGATGAGGCTAAGACCTTCGTGTGAGGGGTAGGTTCCAGATATCAGTGAGGTATGGTGTATAGAGGTGTTGGTGGAATCGTGATTTAGTGGTGTAAGTTTGATTCGATGTAGTCGGGTAAAACGAGGTGGTAGATAGGCAGTGCTGAATGATGTAATAGTATGAGAGAAGCTTCGTCTCGTCTTAAATCATCAACTCATCAAGACGACCCGGAGTGTTCCCGGTCTATTTGTGTGGTACCGCCCACCCAGCTGCCTTAGGCGGTTGTATCCTCATGGGTGGCAGTCATGACGACCACGGACGGGGATCCAGGCATGTGGTGTACCGGATACCCCTGGCTCGAGACAATTGTTCAATCCTGCCTAACCGTTGAAACAATGTCTTTGGAACATTGGCGCCCATACGCCGACTTGGATGTGGCCTGCTGTGCCACCGTCGTTCATCTCTCTCAGTTTTTCGTAGTTGTTGTAACGTTCTTGAACATCGTCACCTTCATAACGCGTCCGTCCCCATTTGCTTTTGTACGCCGAGATGTTGGTATCTCCCAAAGCGTAACATGGTGGGAGAGATCGCTGAGCCGATTCCAAGCATGGCTATGCAACCCCTCCGCAAACTCTATTCCGTGAAACGTTTCAGATACGCTGGTAGAACAACAGGTAAGCGACCTTGTTGTCCTTGAAGCTATCATTATGTTGCTTGGAGGCAGCCTTCAAGCTGCCGCTGCCGCTAGGAGCAGCAAGACTGGCACCGTTGACGACGCTGCTCCACTTCTTGCCGTTAGCAGTAGCCTGCTTCCAACCCTCGTCATCACCAGTATCATCCTCGGTCATGGCGCCGAACCGGTTGCTGGCTGCTGAGCTGCCGTTCTCCTTGCGATCACCACCGGCGCCCTTGGAAGGCTTTTCCTCAGCGCCAGCCTCAGCAACGTCCTCAGGGCGAACACGGCGAATGACAGTGTCATCAATGCGAACCCATTCACGGCCGTCCTGGCGACGAACATCAACAGTATAGTGTCCGCCGCTGGCATTCTTTCCGTGATGATAGACAACCGTGATGAGACGATACTTGAGGAGATCGGCATTATCGGCATGGATAGTGTTGCGCTTCTGGCGGGAGACGACCTCGCGAGGGATTTCGAGCTCCAAGGGATATCCGACCTTCTTCCAAATCTTGATGGTACCATGGCCTTCAGCATCGAACTGGAAGCGTTTGAGATGTAGAATGAGGACCGGAGGAAGAGACTCAATGAACACCTGCTTGGTAGCCTTTGCGTCCTTACCATGGGGCGAATTGAAATCTCCGTGGATCGTCTCGGGGCGAGTAAGACCCCTCAAGGCATCAACAATGTTGCGAACCTCGGGAGCACCAATATCGAGCTGAAGAGGCTGATAGGGCTCCAGAGTAACGGAGCTCTTGAGGCCAGGGATGCGAAGCTCAGAGCGGAGTTGACCACCGAAGATTCTAGTGATGGGGGAGATCGAAGAGGAATAACCGGAAGTGCGAGTAATTGCAGCCTTTTGACGGGGTCCAACCTCGAGCCAGTCATCGCCAGCGTTGGAAGTCGTGGGCGAGGGCAAGGACGAGTTGGGCGCAGTAGAGGTAGTAGAAACCGGGAGAGTACGCATGACATGAGTGCACTCATCGTGGAGACCTTCAAGAAGGAAACCGAGGAACTCCTCAGCATCTTGTTGATGACCGCGGCGCATGCTGGCGAAACGAGGGAGCTTTCTGATGGCGTCATAGACAAACTCGGGGGTAAAGGCTTCACCGTACTGCTCAAGTTCCTCGCTCTTCAGGCGCCTCTTGAGCTGGTCGATAGACACAGCAGAATCGATCACCTTGAACTCGCGCATGAACATGATCATGGCATCGAGGAGAGGAGTCTCGCTGTTGAAGCTGTGGACAGCCTTCTTGCTTACTTGATCCAAGAAGTCGTAGAAAGGAATGCAGTTAACCAAAACTTGAAGAATCTGCAAACAGTATTAGATCACTCCTTGAAGCCTGAAGAGAAAATGGAGCGACTTACAGAGTTCATATAGCACATGTTACCAGTGTTGACAAGGCCGCGGGGCTCCAAAAAAGCAATCTTCTCGGCGGTCCCGACCCGGTATGTCTGAACAGCTTCAGCCATAGAGTTCGCCTTCGACTGAGCAAAGCTGGGAGCAACTCCAGCAGCGGCTCCTGAAACATCCGCGGTGGCATTGCCGTTGACAGTGGCCTGGGCAGCGGAAGCTGCAGAGGCGGCAGCGACAGCAGTGTTAACGGGGGCGACAGGCTTGGTGAACAAGTTGGCCCAAGACTTAGGCTTAGCAGGCGCGGGCGCGGGAGCAGAAGCAGGAGCAGCCTCAGCAGCCGGAGCCAAAGCATCGGGAGTCGAAGCAATTTCATCCTTAGCAGCAATCTCAGGGGTTTGCTCAGTAGTAGGGGCGGGACCAGCAGGCTTGACCTCAGCAGACGGCTTCTCCTCGCTAGTCGCAGGCTTCTCCTTGGGAGCAGCAGGCTTTGGCAAAACAGGAACCACGGGGAGAGCAGGGACAGCGGGAACGGGAACACGAGCAACTTGCTTCGCAGGCTTAGACGGAGAGGTTGTGATGGACTCAGAAACCTGGAACCGCTGGGATGGGACGGAGCTGGTTGGCGAAGTCGACGGGGTGTTCACAGAAGGAAGCTCTTGGGTCGAAGGAGTCTCAGACCGGGAAGGAAGAACTTCGAGCTTAGGCGTGCCCTTGGGGGTAGGAACAGAAGCCTCTTCCTGGACGTTTTCCGTGATATTTTCCGCCGGAGCAGCCGGGGTAGCCTCAGAGGCGGGTTGTTGACCAGGAGCTGTGGGAAAGCTGACATTTTCCGAGGCAGCAGAAGGAGCTTGCCGGCGCCTTCTAAGCTTTGTGCGAGCTGGGAACGGAGAATCCGGATGCGATAACCAAGGGAGAGAGAACGGCGGCTTGTCAGACTTTTGGGGCGAAGCGAAGTGCGAGTATGCGACCTCAACCTGCACAGGCTGCTTGGCCTCCTCAACCACCGGCTCCTCCACAACCTCTTGCTGGATCTTGACCTCGGGCTCGGGCTGAACCTGAACTTGCGGCTGTGACCGAATCTGTGCCTGGGGAGGAACAATTGGTGGCATCTGCTGAACCGGCGGAGTCATAGGGGTCGGGACGACGTGAGAGTGTGTCGACGAGGGCGTATGGGGGGCAGGAACAGGAACGAGCGCTGGCGCAGGCATGGGAGGAGCCTGGTAGGGGGTTGAAACGATGGGGGACTGAGGAGGAGCCGGTCGAGCGTAGGGGTTCTGGGGGACCATGGGCATGTAGTGCTGCATGGCCGGGGGCGATCGAGCGTAGTTGGCGGCGGGCGGCGCGTACTGAGGCATGCCATAGTGGCTCATGGTCGCGGCGTTCTGGTAGGCAGGAGGGGCATAGTAGCCAGGAGGAACGCCGTAAGGCTGTGGCATGTAGTTGGCGGCATACATGGGTTGGTGCGCGACATGAGGCTGGTGATACTGCCCATGGTGGTGGTGGTGGTGGGCGCCAGGATTGTAGTGGTTGTGGTGAGGCCGTCCGCGACGGGGACCGTGGCCCTGACCGAGATGGCCCTGGCCACCGGGGCCTCCTCCATTCATCCTGGGAATTCCCATATCGGCATTACCCTGCATTGGCTGCCCAGCCGGCAGATGCCCGGTGCTGTTCATCATGCCGGCTTGGGAGATGTGGCGGCGCGGTAGCTGCTCACCGGCGTGAGGCCACCGCAGCGAGTCGGAATGTGCTGGCGCCCAATGAGGCGGGTTGCGAGATGCCGAATCAGCTTCGGACGCGGGGTTGCGAGGTTGCGGGAGGAGAGAGCTTGGGTTGCCGCCGGTCGTGGTGGCCGGATTCGGTGATGACGATCGTGACTCGGCGATGCGAATATCGGGGTCCCGGGGGTTTGGGACTCGAGGGGAACGGAGGCGCCTAGCTTGAGGATTTCGGTCCTCTGCGGGCGTCCGCTTCTTTTGCTGGCAAACGACTGGAGGCGTCAAAGGTGCCGCCTATAATCTCCAGTCCTGCTTGCACTCGCTGCAAACTGACGGGAGGTGTCGAGGATTGGGTTGGTGACGGCGCGGCGTTGACAAGGTCCCGGCCGGTAAGATATGTTTTTGGAGGGGAAGGTTAGGCAAGGCAAGGCAAGGTAGCAGTAGCCCAGCCTCTCAGGTATTGAGGTGGTGTGGGTGTGGATGGGTTCTGGTTGTGGTGGGTGTGTTGTAGCGGCAGGAATGGAAGCGACTCCCAGCGAGTGAGTGGGTTGACAATTGGTACCCGTGGGTGTGTTGGTTCGAACGGCAAGGTACAAGTAGTGAAGTAGCAGCTAGCCCTGCAACTGGAGCCAACGGGACGCAGCAAAGTGGAAGCAGGGAGGGGCGTCCTGTCTGTCCTGTGCTGTTCCCGAAGAATTGGGTGAAGGTGGGTTGGAGATGCGTCACGTCTTGGAGGCAGATGGAAGTATTTTCACCACAAAGCAAAAATAATAAGCAGCGGTGATGTTTCGGCGTTGGGTGCCGTCACCACAAAAAAGTTTACAAGATGGAAGGTGAGAGACGACGGAAGGTTGAACAGAGAAAGTCAGAAACAGTGTGACAGAAGGTGGGCTGGGCCACAGCCTGGACCTGGCCCGCTGTGTGAGTGGCAGGCGCTCTTGGACGTGGAGCTGGCCGGTAGAGGGAAGGCGGCGGCGGCGGCGGTGATGGTGGCGGCAAGCAAACGGCAACCTCTCTCCCTTGACTGCGTCAGGTTGGTTCTGCCTTCCGATCAACGGAGGAAGGAATCAACTTGTGCCCTTGGTTCCTTCTGGCTCTTAACTCTTTCTCTTGTTGCTGAAACTTGCTCCCGTCCCTTCTAATGACTTCCACTTGTTCCTGTCCGCCGTTTCTCAGTACACCACCATCGGTTAGGTGTTTACTGTAGCGAGTGCATCCCGCCAACAGGAGCCATGACCCCGCGGACAGTTGGAAGCTCTAGTGGCAGGCGAAACACCACGATAGTGGAGCAACAACGCTCGGACCATATCCGATATAAGATCCAAGCAGCGATGACGCTCTTGTTGACTCGAGACACTCAAAAGTATGAAAAAATAAGAGAGTAAACAATCAATCTAAAGAGAAGCACGGTTTTATCTTGACTACTCCTGTGAACTATCTGACTGTGCTAAGCAATTCTGAGTACGTAATGTACATGTACGCCTGTTCAAAGCATGATGTAGGCGTTCAGCGTACTGACCTATACCGTGAGATAATATGTCTGTACATGGACAAGACGAAGACCGAATTAGACAAGATTCCACTATAATGAGACTCAAGTGGTGAAAAGAAGGTGATTAGCGGAAGTAGGTCTCTTCACTCCACTAATGTGTCTTCTCAAGAGGGCATCTACCGGTAACAACTAACAGAGTCTTGGCGTTGGTTCATGACTTCCAAGGTTGTAAGAATTTTGCGCTTCCAGGTATATATGATATCTGCCATGAATAATATGTACCGGTTTCTACATGTTCAGGAGATCATATGTCCTCACAACACCGTGATGAACCCGGATCACCATTTATTCATCCCTGAACAGCCACCTCCCATTGCCTCGCATGGCCTCACGCCATCTCTTCTCTACCGTCTCCCTCTCTCGCCTGTTTGCCTCTTCTCTCCGTTCCTGCTCTTCTTGTGTGCCAGGGAAGTCCGGGTCCCAATAACCCGGAGGTGAACGTGTCCGTTCGAATTGGTGTCTGTGTCTCCCAAAGCTGTTGGCCACAGCGATGGTCTTGGCCTTCAACCAGATCTCCTTCTTCTCATCCATCGTCATAGTCCCCAGACGGTAGCTCTCTGTCCCCAAATAGTCTTCCATCAACGCGATGTTTTCCTGTTTCAGCAGATGAGCTGAGCCACCTGAAGTGAGCTCACTCTCCGCCAAAACACGGGCAGTCCTACCACAGCAGTTTGGATCGGTGCAGCCCTCGAGCTTGGCACGTTCTGCTCTGCCACGCACGACCTCATCAAAAGCATGGGTGTAGCCGTTGTTCGCCTTTGGGTTGACCTTGAAGTCTTCTAGTCTCAACTCAGTAACTGGTCGTTCTCGAAGCGGAGTCGACTTTGCCATATCTCGAGCACGCCGCAAGTTTGGGGCGCTGTGGCTGCCTGGTCCGACCGCCGGAACCCTAGCCGGCGTGTGGAGAGGCTGCTCGCGCTGTAGCGGCGTGTTGGTATTGAGAAGGCTTTGTAACCTTCCAGGCTTTGGTGTGGTCGAGTCGGACGGTCCACCTTTGCCTTGTTCTTTTTGGAGATCAGGAGGCTCGGGGCTGTCTTCCGCGACATCAGCTAGGACATGGCCAAGTCTGAACTCTGACCGTGCCGCTGGTTTGGGGGTGTTGGAAGTGGTTTTGTCTTTGTCTTTACTTGTTGCGAGAGCTGGCCGGTTAATTGTTGTCTCTTCCGCGGCATCGTTGGCTGGTGGTTGAGGCGGGTCCCAATGTCTACGCTTCTTCGGCGTTGGCATGACAAATGTTGTTTCGTTGAGGTCGATAGTCTCTTCTGGAATGAAGGCGGGTACCACGCTTGTTATCACACGATCTGAGCTCTCTCTCTTGATTCTGTGGGGGTTAGATCTTGCTTCGGTGTCGCTATTCCTCCTCTTTCGGACACGTCTCTCGGAAATTACAACAGGTCCATCTGAATATGGCTCTTCCTTAATTTCCACTTCTTGTGCTGCACCCGTTTCCGTTGGTAGGGTCGGCAGCTCGTCCGGTACTGCAACAGGAGGCGGAGGATGCCCAGCCGCCCATTGTTGGTTGGCTTCCTTCAGCCTCGCCACCTTCCTTTCCAGATATTCAGCGTATTTATCCATTTTATCTCGCTGATCAATAATTTGTCGTGCGGCCTCCCCTCTCGAATCATATTTTGCTTGCAATGATTTGCAGAGCTTCTTGAGAGCCACCAACTTTTTGTCCTTTTCCGTTTCCGCATCAAGATTCTTAACAGTAGTGCGTGTCGTCCCAGTAACCGTGTTAGGCGAGATTTCTCCCAGGATTGAACGCGACGTTGCACCTGTCGATTGTTGTGGTACCTCCAAAAGAGTGTCTGACGATGCCGGAGCATCTTGGTCGCTGGTAGTAGTTGCCCTTGAAGTGGTGGAAGACGAGATTGGATTGACTTTCTTGATGAGCTCTTCCAGGTTTTTCATTAACGCCTGGTTCATCTTCTCTAGTTGCTCGACTTTGGCGACTAGCGCCTCCCTCTCTGCGGCAGAGGACGCATCTTTTTCGCGGGTTTCTAGAAGCGGGTTAGTCGATGCGTGAATAAAGCCGAATAAAAGTCTTTGACAAGTTCAATCTTGTAGCAAGATTTTGGATATCCTACCTGCGTCGAGATCCTTTCCAACCGTATCACAAGCGGCTTCTACCGCGGCGAGGATCGCGGCACGACCTTTCTGGTCCCAAAAGGTCATTGTGGCCAGTATCGAATATTTTGATCGGTGGGCACTAAAGCAAAGAACAGCAAATATTAACTTGAAAGAAATCAACAACAAAAAATCAGCCGCGCGAGAGTGTTGTTGACATGATTTCCATTGAAATCGTCGACGTCAGGTCACGAATGTTGGAGGCGCATGTAAGGGCGAATGTACCTTTCTTGGTCTAGACCAAAAGGGGTAAACACTGGGCAGGCAGCAACGAGCTTGAGCGCCACATCACGTGCAAGCTAGCTGTGTCTTGTAGTGGGGTCATGCCTTGAGCCCCACTCTAAATTCCGGAGGAGTGGGGCATGCCCCTGACAGGTGTGGGGCACAACCTTTCTCGAACTGCGGACATCATTTTCGAGTTCGAAATCCGACTTCAGAGGCCAGGAACGTCATGGCGAAAGGGCAAAAAAGGTTGGGGGTAAGCTTCTTGAAATGGCCTATCTTTTACAAACTAGGAATCAGAACTAACGTTGCAGACTCTTTAAAAAGCATTTGGACATATCGTTGTGTGACATGCTGTTCTCGTAGTCCCATGGCGGCAATGAACGAACCCGGAGCATCTCCGCCGAGTTTCTGCTCCACGCGGGGATGGATGGTTCGCATCATGATGATGATGATGATGTCTGGATGCCAGCCATTTTTCTCCTGGACCCCTTGACTAAATGGAGTACATACCTAGGTGGAAAATGCTTAGGTTCATCTCACCACATCTCGAGTCAGCAAACTGATTTCTTCACGAAGAATCTTCAGGTTCGGGAACATGACTTCCAGCGAGAATCTGAAGAATCGCACAGGGATTCGACCCAGGCGACTCTCACAGTCTCCGCTTCGAGTTTGTCGAAGGTCATTACGTACCACGTTTGCTCCTGCTCTTCGAGTTGGTGTTATACAGGGGTGTTCGTTGAGGCTTCAAGCCTGCCGAAGTGATTCCATCCCATCTGATATCATAAAAGTTTTGATAGAGATTTGGGATTTCATCTCTTCTTGCTTCGAATCTGGTCGTCCGCCATGCGCCGCGTAGGGCATGGCATTTGGATCTTATCTGCAAGACAGGACGACCGTAGCACGTGGCGTAGATCGGCCAAGCTAAGCTCACCCTCGGATTAAAAAAAAACGACTATTGAGACTTGAGAGGGGAAGATCAAGTGAAGCCCCTCCTCGTTTTTACTCTTTCAAGACCGCATTCTCTCGCCGACATCCCTGATCACCGTTGTGTCGACTGCAGGTAGCCAGAAACACGTATCACGGCCGTATTGGGTGCTTCTTGTTACTGGAAGAAGTCAATTGACTTTCACTTCGTGCTGAACCTCGTTCCCAGCCTCAAGTAAGCACCGGTCTCCATCTTTTGAGAGACACACATCTGCTTGAGTTCGGCACTATTGATCAAAAGGAATGCTGGGTTGTGAGCTGGACCACACCGGCGCAGGGGCATGTAGGTACCGCGATGACTCTCGGCTCTCTTCCCCTTCTCTTGTTCCTCGGACCACCACGTACCTGGTCTTCATGACGCGAATGTATCGTCGATTGTGACCTTGAAACGGTGGAGGGGACGGGACGGGAAAGAGGGGAACAACCATAATTCCACAAGTCAGGAGGAACGCAGTGTTTGTGGTCGAGGACAGAGTGTACCTTCCCCCTGGCCTTTGTGAGATGTCACGAACCTGCATACGACCGAGCACCTGCAGTTTGTAATCCCCCCTTGTTAAATTGGACGAAGGTTATTGTCGATATTTGAAGTGCAAGTCGGAGTCTGGAACTAGAAAAAGGACAGATACCGCCGTGATCGAATTCCCATCAGGTCCTCCCTTCACTCCTACCAGAATGGAATCGCATTGGCTCTTTGATACAACACTGCCACAGGTAGTAGGTACCTACCTCTATGTAGACCGTGAACTCGTCGAGTTAGACAGATGGCAACAGGCCTACCAGAAGAGAGACGGGCCTCGTAAACTCAAACCTGTTCGGCACGACTCCTCACTTAAATGTTGCCATCCATACAGCCCCTCAAAGAGGCAAGAACCACGCAGCAAAGATTGGCATATGGCAGTGGTTGCCGGTTCATTCAGAACAGTCAAGTGAATGGAAGTTGAGAGTTGGATCACGGCCCTGCGCCGACCTACCAAAACCGGTGAATGGCCAAGGCAGGCAGGGTCAGGTCGCAGGGCAGGGGTCCCCTCCCCACACAAAGTGTCCTTCCAGAAAATTTCAACAGGAGGGAAACAGGAACCCAGACCACCCGCTCTGCTAGCTCCCCGCCTCGTTGAGTTTTGCCTGCCTCTGAACCAGCCGACAACTGCTATTTATCTGTCCTTCCTGCCCGTCCTGCTGCTTTCTTTCCTACCGCAACATCACTTTTTCTCTACAGTAACAGCATCTTCGACTCCAGTCCTCTTTTTTCCGGTAAGATCTCTTTCAGCTATTTCTCACTTTGCTGTATCCCGACACCAAGATCATCAGCCCATTCTTTCCAAGGTACCTTATCGCCCCAGGCTTATCCGAATAAACTGTACGGGTCCCCGATAAAGTGCTGCGATAAACCCCACACCAAGACTCCCCCCACCTTTTTTCCATTTTTGCACGTCAAAGCAAGCCCTCCAATCCAAGACAAAATTCCCACCCATACATTGGAAACTTTAATTGCCACCTACACCTCTCCCTTTACTGACCCATCAACAACTTCGTCTCGACAGACTTTCAATACCCAACTTCGAACCTTTCGATATACCCCCCCAACCAACATCAAAAATGGACTCCTTCGCTGCTCCCCAGGCCCGTGCCTGCTTCACTTGTGAGTTCGCCAATACAATCTCTGCGCCCTAGCTTTCGTTTGCTTCGCCGGCGTGACACATAGCTGTCGCCCGTGCTCGGTTTTCACAAAGCGTTGCGTCACTGCAATCCCTTTTACACTTCGATCCTGCGTCCCCGGATGCTACATACACACGGTTATACACAAGGAAGCTTAGCATCATTGTGCTGCGCGCTGGCGTCGGGTCCGGACCTTGGTCCTAGGTCCCGTGTACCGCCGCAGCCTTGATACTGTTGCGCTATGGGTTGCCATGCTTGGACAGGGCAGAACATCTTTACGAGTTCGAGATCTGTTCGTCGGTTGAGCGAGAGCTGTTGTACCAGAAGGCGAACAAGTTCTAAACCGTTTGGCCCCTACAGGCACCTGAATGAACCATTACCCACACATTGCCATATCAACAACAAACATCTTGAGAGTGAGGGGAGAGACATCTGACATGAAAGACATTAGGCGGCCAGACCACTCACCAGGTATGCGAAATATTCGGCGAGAGAGAAAGAGAAATACACCCTGAATGGCGGACGGGCGAAAACATCGGAGAGGTATACAAGTTGTGTGTTTGGTCATCATGCTGACTGGATATCAATAGGCCCGTGACTGCCCCAACAAGGGCGCTGCCAAGTGCTACAACTGCGGCAACGAGGGTCACATGAGTAAGTCCTCGCTCCAAAAACGTGTGCCTCTGAATGTCTTGCTGACAACATCATGCAGGCCGTGACTGCCCCGAGGGCCCCAAGGACAACGCCCGCACCTGCTACCGTTGCGGCCAGACCGGCCACATCAGCCGTGACTGCTCCCAGTCCGGTGGCCAGGGTGGCCAGTCCTCCGGCGCTGAGTGCTACAAGTGCGGCGAGGTCGGCCACATTGCCCGCAACTGCTCCAAGGGCGGTGCTGCTTATGGCGGCGGCTTCCAGAACTCCGGCTACGGTGGTGGCTTCGGCGGCCCCGCTAAGACCTGCTACTCTTGCGGTGGCATCGGCCACATGTCCCGCGACTGCGTGAACGGCTCCAAGTGCTACAACTGCGGCGAGTCTGGCCACTTCTCTCGTAAGTTTTCTTATGTCTACATTGATCCTGCACACAGCTAATCATGTCTCAATAGGCGACTGCCCCAAGGACTCCGGCTCCGGCGAGAAGATCTGCTACAAGTGCCAGCAGCCTGGCCACGTCCAGTCCCAGTGCCCCAGCGCTTAAATGCGCCCTACTCGCCAGGTAACACCAACTACCTTTGGCGGCCTCGCTCATCTGCTGTCTAATCGGTCCTGACCTTGCTCACTTCTCACCACCGAGATGAAGCAAGCAAGACCGGTGATAGACGGCTTTTACTGGGGGTGATGACATGGTGCTGCGTTTTTGCGTTGCCTTTCTGGGGGACTTTCTGTCCACGGGGTCGTTCTGCTGGTGTTTACTGGTCATCTGGATATCCGCTGTTTGGGACTTTTTTTCCCGGCGGGTCTCTTACACTTTTCTTAATTCTTCAACCTTTGCATTTTACGCGACACAAAACATCATGATGATCCGACAACCACTGGGGAAATTGGGAAAGCAAAAAAGGTCTTTTCACCAAAATTGGCGTCTGGACGGCCAGGGGTTACCTCTTCAACCAACCATACCGTATGGGTCTTTCTTACGACAAAAAGGGCTTGTGCAACAGGGGCGGGGCCATTGCACGACAACATCTTGCGGGTTTCTGTTTTTTTCACATATGGAACTTGAATGGGAAGGGAACTATCTTCATACTTTGAACGGGCATGAGGACATCATAATTATCCGAGATCTGACGGGAAAGCAAAAACGTATGGGGACTCTAGGTCAACGAATAAAAAGCGCCGAAAGGCCGTGGTGTGCGATGCGAGCGTAATGCATCGATGAACAAACAAACTTTAGTTCCTCTGCCTTGTGTGATGTGACTGCTGGTAAAAATCCGATGCTTGACAGGAATGGTGATATCAGAAGAAGAGGTCAACAACCTTGCCTTTTGGCCTACCAGTTGTTCGCTCTCGAGAGCCGTTGACTTGGTCGGTACGTCGGTCTCAACTGGATCCGACCTGTGCCAGATATCAAGTTCACATTGAAGGCGACACAGAATACTATGAAGACCTGACGAGTATACCTGAGACAAGGTCCAGAGTAGAAGCCAGACACAGGAGCAGACCAGCTACACGACCAAGAGTATCCACAGAAAGTCATGATGGTAGTGAAAACAACAGAATTGGAACGCTATTCATGCAATAGTTCTACATCGTCAACACCGCCCACCGTCCATTCACGGTTTCGGCGCCATCATAACCTGTTCTGTTTTCCCCTTTTTACTTTCTTTCCCTCTCTTTAGACCGTTTACAAGACAGCCTTGGGCATGTACTTCATAGCCTGCCTGACACCAAGGTCACCAAGGACCTCCTCAGCACCACCAAGGATGGCATCGAACTTGTAGCCGCGGTTGAAGTTCTCAATGACGCGACCCATGCCGGTCTGGGTCAAGCCACGACCACCCCAGATCTGGACGGACTCGTCGGCGATCTCGTGGGCGGCGCGCGTGCAAGACATCTTGAGAAGGGCGATGGGGCCGCCGAGATGCTTGGCTTGCTCGGAGTAGGGCATGTGGTTCATTTGGTAGCTGGAGGGAATGTTAGTTAGACGAACTCGGAAGGGGGAGAATTGATCTAGGGAGCTGCTTACGTGATGGTCTCGAGCCAGGACTGGTGAGCCTCGCAAAGGGCAATCATCTTGGCCAACTTCTGGCGAATGACAGGCTGGTCGATGAGACGCTTGCCAAAGACAAGACGCTGGTGAGCCCACTTGAGGGACTCCTCGACGACGAGGCGCATGTAGCGGATAGTGGCGCAGGCCATCATCCAGCGCTCGTGGTTGAAGTTGGAGAGAATGACATAGATACCCTTGTTCTCCTCGCCGAGCAGGTTCTCAACGGGCACCTTGACGTTGTCGAAGGTGATGTAGGTGGTGCCGGCGGCGGGCGAGTACGAGGTCTTGATGGGCTTGGTCTCGACGCCCTCGCCGCGCTCGATGAGGAGCACGGAGAGACCCTTCTCAGTCTTGACGCCGGTGACGAAGTAGTCGGAGAAGACACCGTTGGTGATCCACTTCTTGGTGCCGTTGACAATGTAGTGCTTGCCATCGGCGGTCTTGGTGGCGGTGGTGCGGAGGCCAGCGACGTCGGAGCCGGCAAAGGCCTCGGTGATGGCCAGACAGATCTTCTTCTTGCCGGAGAAGACCTCCTCAGTGATGCGCTTCTTGAGGGCAGGGTTCTTGTCGCCGTAGTTGAGGATGCAGGTCAGGCCAATGACCATGCCGGCCATGTTGCCGTCCTGGAAACCGCGGCAGGCCACGCGGACCTGCTCCTGAGCCATGATCATGTCGTGGAAGTAGTCGAATTCCTCACCCTTGACGGCGCCGTTGAGCAGGTTGACGCCGTGCAGGTGCTTGCCGGGACCCATGCGCATGTGCAGGATGCCGGCCTTGGACATCTTGTCGATCAGGTCCTGGCTGATGAGCTCGCCGGTGCGCTCCTTCTCGTGAGCCTCGGGGGCGAGCACCTCATCGGTGAATTTGCGGATGGCCTTCTGAAGGCTGCGGTGGCTGTCGTTGAAGTAGGGGCTCTTGAACTGGGGAGTGAGCCAGAGGGGCTCGGCGTAGGGGACGGGCGAGAGGTCGCCGGGGCGGGGGGTGATGATGGACTGCTTCTCGCCCTTGATGGTGCCGATGGCCAGGTCGTTGTACTTGATCAGCACCTCGTGCCTGTGGAGGTTGTAGAAGGCCGAGGTGGCGTCCTGGCCGCCGACCTGGCGGAGGACGGCCTCACCACCGGGGTGAGCGTCGAGGAACTCGGAGACATCGTAGACGACCGAGTCGATGATGAACCAGGTGCTGTCCTCGGTGTTGTGCTTCTTGACCTCCTCGCGGGTGAAGGTCTTGTCGGGGACGTTTAGTACGTTGGCCATTTTGAATGTGTGTGTAGGGGGGGTATAATATATATAAACAACAAAGAATTACACGATTCGGCTACGTCGTCCTAGAGGAGCAGGAGAATGGATGATGGATAATTGTAAAAAAAAAGATCAAGACACAGAGACAGAGAGGCACGGCTTTTACAACACACCGCGGATGGGCAGCCGAGGATCTTTTATTTTCAAAACCATGGCTGCGGAACATCGTCACCTGGAGAGCGGACCAGGGGCTGCTGGATGGACGGTACCATTGGATACTCGGACACCTCAGTGGCTGAGAATGGTTCTTGTGTGCCGAAGGCGTCGACCTCTCGGGATCTTCCTTTTGCTCGGTTCTCGGTTCCCCAGCCCAAAACGGGTGTTGCTCCAAGAAGACCAGGACGAGAGGCTATCGGTCTGCCTCGGCTTGCTGGATCGTGGGGTATGTGGAATGTGGGGAGCACGGGGCCATGTCTCCAATCTCCAATGTCTTGATTATGATTGGTTGGATTCTCTTGTCTTTCTCCAGCTCCTTGTTCAACTTTGTTGCATCCAGCGTTGGAGGCGCATCCGGCATGTGATGTATCCCTGGCCGTTTGAAGAAGAGGACCACGGCATTGTCTGAGGTAAGATTGTTAACACTTTATTTCCAGAACAAGGCTTCCAGGTTTTTGGACTTGAGTTTGGCATATTCTACAGTCAATATGCCTTCTTCGTGGAGGAGAATTCTCCGAGTGTTTTGGAGGGGGAGGTGGTCTCGCCAAGTTTGACAGATGACCACCTGGCAGACGTGGATCACGGCCCCATGGGGCAACACTTGCCAAGCATTATTGGATCCACTGCCAAAGGTCGTGTGTCCGTTATGGTTTTCGACTTGGACAAAGTTCAGCAAGGAGATGCTTTGAAGAGGCCGAGAGTGTCTCGAAATTGAGATGTTGAGATGACTGTTGGATTTGATGTGTGGCTACGGGTTGTCGAAATACATAAACACCAAAATTGTATTCGAAGGAAAGACCGACGATTTGGCTGTTGGCCGCTGGCTGTTGGTAACAGGCAACCCCTCATTGAATGGGATTCCCCACCTTCTACGAGGACATCGTTCGCCAAAAAGAAACAGGACTTCAACTTTTGGAGTTCCTCTCGTCCAGTTGACGATCTAGAACAAAACAAAACCAGTGGTGCGGATCTCTTTACGACAATCCAGGCCCTACCCCTTGCTTCAAAGCACGCTTTCTCAACTCTCGGGGCTGCGGGACACCTATTTTGAGCTTTTAGTTACGTCGAGCTACCGTTACTAGCTTGTCGAGCTTTCGGCGTTTGACTTACGGGCGAGCCCATGGTCATTGCTGCAAGATCATCAACGAGTGTGTTTGGACTCTTGTAAGTTTTTGACAAATAGGTTCTCCTCTTCTATACCCGTTGAAACGGCATGTCCATGGAAGTGTTAGTCACACCGAACATACTTAACGTCTCCAACTCTCGCCTTCGAGCAGTTCCAGTTTCGATCTGGTCATAGACTATTCACAACATGCTTGAAACATCAGCTTCGATTAGTCACCAAAGTCCGAAGAAACACCATATCCCTCTGGCAGGATTTGGCATACAGTACCAAGTGATATCGTGAAGGGCCGATGGGCAGTGCACACGGGACAAGCAGGATGACGCTGTAGGCTGTCTAAGTCTCGGCTATTTCAGCGAGGCTGTTATCAGCTGGTTTCAAGATACCCCTTTTGGTAATGGTCTGCCGTCTTCCGGTTGGACATCATGGACGGTCAAGTCATCCAAGGGATGGGGAAGGAACGCAGCATCACTGGTGTTGACAAACTCCCATGGAGTCGCTCTTTCGCCAACGCATGGGATTTGATATTCTGAATCAGCAACCCTTCTTTATATGATCACCTCATTGACCGCTTCCTTTGTTGCTTGTCACAAATCACACCGCCAAAGGGGCACTATTTACACATCTATCGCCACCGTTCTATCTCCATTTGGAAAGACAGCTCTTCCATCAGTCTTGACAACGACACTAGTCACTTCCTACCATTCTCATATCACATTTGACGTCCGCTTGGTTCAACGTTTCGGAGTCACTTTTCTGCGTCAAACTTAACCGAGATGGATGCTTACTCGATGTCTGTTGCTAGTGCTTCCCATATAAGCACCTCGAGGATATACCAGGATCTGAAGTCATCCAGGCTGCACACAGTCTCGAGTTTCAGCTTCGACAAGTTGTCAAGTCGATTTGGCATCAAAAACACATCTTTGAAGGTAAAGGCACCTAGACCGTTAGACGGAAAGGCCAAGATATGCTTACATTCCTGGACTAGTCTGGCACAATGGACCCCACGAAGAAACCACACATTGGAATAGTGGGAGCAGGCATAGCGGGTCTTCGAAGCGCCGGCTATCTCCTCGAGCTCGGATTCCAAGTCACCATTCTAGAGGCAAGAGACCGTCTCGGCGGCAGGATATACCAGGAGAAGTTACCTAACGGGCATTTCGTGGACATGGGAGCGAACTGGATCCACGGAACAAAAGAAAACTCCATCTTCCAGCTCGCTAAAGAGACAGGCACCATCACGACCAACTGGGACGGCGATGCAGCAGTGTTTGATGAGCACGGGCATATGCTTCCTGCGAAGGATGGCGAGAGGTTTTCCACGATAATGTGGAACATCATTGCGGAGGCGTTCCAGTACTCGGACAAGCACAGCGCTGAGATCGATGCCAGCAGGTCACTTTTGGATTTCTTCAAGGAAAAGGTGATAGGGCAGATTCCGGAGACAGAACCGGACTATGCAAGGAAAAGGGAGATTGTGCTGCAAATGGCGGAACTATGGGGCGCATTCGTTGGCAGTCCTGTTGAGAAACAGAGCCTAAAGTTTTTCTGGCTGGAGGAGTGCCTGGACGGAGGTATGCGAACTTCACAGACTGGAATCTTGGATGACGATGTTAACAGAGAACCAGAAAACCTCTTTTGCTCCGGCACCTACCGAAAAATTATGGAAAAGATTGTAGCCCCCGTCGTCGACGGTGGCGCCGACATCAAACTCCAAACCAGAGTCGCCGAGATCTTCGGCAAGTCCGCCAACACAGGCAGCAACACCGTCAAAGTCAAGACCACCGACAACCAGATCTACGAATTCGACGAACTTATCCTCACCACCCCGCTAGGCTGGCTCAAGCAAAACCTCCAAGTCTTCCACCCGCCTCTCCCTCCCCGCTTAACCACCGCCATCCAAAGCATCGGCTACGGCTGTCTCGAAAAAGTCTACATTTCATTCCCAAAGGCCTTCTGGCTCGAACCCGACGCCCCCTCCAAAAACAACAACGACAACCGCACAGTTAAAGGTTTCTGCCAATGGCTCTCCCCCTCGTACGCCTCCTCCACCAACCCATCCCGCTGGACCAACGAGATCGTCGAGCTCGGCTCCATCGACCCGTCCGTCGCCCATCCGACTCTGCTGTTCTACATCTACGGCGCTGAGTCCGAGTACGTCACCTCCAAGGTCCGCTCTCTTTCCTCCGGGGCCGATAAGAACGACTCCCAAGAAGCGGAATCCTTCCTTTACGAGTTCTTCAAACCCTACTACTCCCTCCTACCCTCCTACAACCCGTCCGACCCCGACTGTCAACCATCAGGTTATTTGGCCACCGACTGGTTGCACGACGACCTAGCGGGTAACGGAAGCTATTGCAATTTCCAGGTCGGGCTAAAGGAAGGGGATAAGGATATTTTGGCCATGAGACATGGTGTTCCTGAGGAGGGGATCTGGATGGCGGGAGAACATACGGCGACGTTTGTGGCGCTGGGGACAGTGACGGGGGCGTATTGGAGTGGTGAGGATGTAGCGAGACGGGTGGCGGAGGGGTTTGGAAGGGGTGTTTCTGGATCTAGGGAAGCGGCCGTGTAAGGAGGTTTGAGAAGAAGATGTTAGGAGAGGAGGAATGGTGTGATGAAGATGCGAGAAGAGCGAGCATGATAATTTTAGGGTTGTTTAGTGGAAAGGAATTGGATCGGCTCAGCAGGCGAGTTTTCGGGATAGGGGAGTTACTGATTAGGTACATATAGCGTCTGTTTGGAATTCAGAGAGGTTGAGGTGGTGTTTATCAGAGTATCCTTTAGCTTGTTGCTCGACTGATGCTCAACGGCGTGATATTTTGTACAAAACCATGTTCCCCTTCCACGTTTATGCCCTTTCGAAAGTTTTCATCTGCTTCAAATAGGCGAATATCTTGATATGAGGTCGTCAGAGATCACATGCTGTACGGTCGAAAGGCTGGATCTTTCGATGTTTCTTCAAGTTCAAAGATGGTGGGATACGCCTATCGGGTGGCGGATACACAAGATATGGTCTGATAGATCGTCCTCCTTTTGATGGCGTTGCGGCGTTGCGAACTTGTGACACCAGTGGCACTTGAGTGATACCTGACAATTCGCAAATCTGTGGAACGTTTGGGAACGTTTGGACGTAGTAAACAAATGATAAGTCATGGCGACGTCAGTGTTCAGTTTTCAGGTGTTTCCGTTGATGCAAGCGTTCAGACAGTGATTTGAGATTTCCCGCTTGTTGACCTGGAGTTGACAACATTGACCGAGCGGGCTGGGGGCCGGGAAGAGGCCTGGACGAGCCGGAGATAGATCTACGGGCTCTCGAATCTTGGGGTTTAGATCTCAGGCATCAGACAGCCCTCAGACCAGCCTCCTCGTCGGTTGATGAAGAAGAAAACAAGTTCTTTGCCACTCACTCTAACTTGGAAAGGGCAGTTTAGCGATGAACGGGAAGCAAATGTGATAACTCTGATGAGCGGCCAAGATACACCGTGACCGATAAGCACATGAATGGTGTTGTTCAAGATGGGAGGTTGAATCAAGGGAAAAAGGTCAACTGATTGGCGATACTGACCCCCTTGAAGCCTGTCACGGGGTTGGCCCAGCACCCGGCAAAGGCAGTGACCCCTGTACATGGAACTCCGCACCTCCCATGGTGGCTCTTTCAGGGATCGCTTACTGCCCGCAGCGCTTGCACCACCTCGGACGCCGATGACAGAACCCCCATGGTGAGGCCCGGTTGATGCAGTTGATGTTCTGGTGCATCCTGTGCCCCTCCACCAAAGCAAGCGTTCCTTCCACGACTTTTGAACACTGCAACACAGCCTGCGATCCAGGCGGTTCAGTTGGAAAGTATCACTGCCAATCAATTACCTTACAAGCGCACCTTGACGGCTTCCTCCTGCTTGGACATTGCATGTTCCATTCTCCATCTCTCTGCCCGCAACTTGGGTGCTCACATTCACAATCACATTCACATTCACATTCTTCAACGCGCACCCTTATCACCTTTCTTCTTTCCCTACAGCCACTTTTTCCTTAGTCAGTCAGTAGGGCCCAAGTTGAGTCACGACCTTTTACGACTTCCCAAGTAACCACGGTTCCCACCTTTCTTTTCCCCCCATCAGACCGGTTTAGATCACGCCGTCAGATCGGCCTCCGGTTCACAGTGTTCCTGAAACAGCGACAACGAAACAGGCTCCAGTTATAGGCTTCCCCCTCTGCCACTCCCTCTCGCCCCGTGAACGTCACCAGCCGCCGGGCTTCGCGTTATCTTATCAACAAACGGATAAGGCAACCGACCGTTACACCATACAAGAGACAGGAACTATTCCTAGACAACTACACCCCGAACCACCACCTCCTCACAGCCCTCTCTCTATACATCCCTCTATGACCAACTAGTTAGACATACCCCAGAAAGGTAGACAGAACCAACTTCAACTCTCCCAAACCAAATACAACCCAGCGATGCCCGCCGCTCAATCATGACCTTCCCCGTCTTCCGCTACCTCGTCCATACCGCTACTCGGCTACCTGTTGGATGGTTGTTGTCATTGGAGGACACTCTTCAGTGATCCAGTCCGCCCTTCGTCATCCTCGCTCGATATCCCATAGGCTTGTCATCTCACTGTGTGTCTAGTCATTTGCCGGAGACCCTGAACAGGTTGGGTGCCGTTAACCGACCGACTTCGGCATCTAGACTTATACCCTTCCTTATACGCTCCCGCTCCATCTACCTTGTCTGCCTAGAACCATCACCGTCTACAACACTCTCGGCATACCTTGACGGCCACTGCCGGCTTCACACTTCGTTCCCCCGAGACCTCGCCTACGATACCCAAACATAATAACGAACGAGCCGACGAACGAACCACCGAAACCATGTCTTTCTTATATCGATCCTTCGTCAACTCGATTCTACCGAAGCAGTTGCTTCGCTTCGTCTTAGCACGCCTAGACATCCTCGACTCCCAGGCACTCGACCTAGACAACCTCAACTTTGCTATTGGGCGAAATACTGTTCTAGAGTTTCGTGATGTTGGACTTATTCTATCCGTACGTGATGCTTCCTATCTGTACTGCTCTATCATCACGCTAACCACTGGGTACTGCTCCCTCAACAGAAACTCGAAGCCCTAGCGAAACTACCCCCAACCTTCAAGTTCCAAAAGGCCAAAGTCCTCCTACTACGCATCACATTACCGGTCGATATCTTCAATAGTTCAATAACAATCGACGTTGAAGGTGTTGATGTTAGGTTACGGGTGGCGTCAAAGCAAGAGCAGGATGAACAAACAGCCAAGAAGAAGGGAACACACAAGGAGGGCGATGAAGTTGTGCCAACTGCTGCCGACCTAGCACAGTCTTTCCTGCAGACGGCAGTCCCGGCCGACGAGAAGAGGCGGCTGGAAAAGGCTCTCGCTGAGGAAGTACAGGAGGCGTTGGCCGAGTCCATGAGCGACTCCGAAACTGATGACGATGGCTCCTTTGCTACCTTTGGCACCGGTCAGGGCTTGTCGTTGCCAGCCTTCTTCACCAACTTCCTGCAGGGCATCATCGACAGGCTCCAGATCCGAATTCACAAGGTCACCTTCCAACTCGATATGGAAGTACCCGTCGAACCGGGTCTATCGACGACCGAGCTCGTTACCCTCCAGCTGGCGCTGGACGAGGTCATTGCGGAAGGAGTCATGGCACCGGAACAACAAGAAAATGGCTCACTTGCGATAGTACCGAGGGAAGGCAAGCGTCATATCCTCCTGGACAATCTCCGGGCATTCCTGATTACGGAAGCGAACGTATTCTCTTCCCTATTACCGACTCAGTCAGCACAGTCATTGGTGAAATCCCAGGGATCAGTACCCCATGATGTACCGTCAACATTTCCCGATATGTCGTGTTCAATGCAGTCATCAATGGGGGGCTTGGATATGAGCTTAAACCCAGATCAGATCGAAGCCCTGGACATGCTTGCACAGAGCCACTACGAGGCACGCGATAGCGAAGATGCTTTGAATATTCCGTATGAGGACGACACCGGGGATCCAGAAGCCGAAGAGAATGTTGATGGATCTTCGCCTCTTTCGACGCCCAGGGCTTCCATCTACCAGGAACATGACGCACCGATTCTCCAGGACCATGCCAACTCAGCTGTCATGCAACATCAACCGGAACTATGGTCGTCCTACGAGCGGGGGATTCGATCCGAACCCGCTCTTAATCTGACGAGTTTCCAGCCTCTGGATATGCTCTCTGGTGCCGTGTCTCCGGCACACTCTGCGCCATCTTCGTCTGCTAGTTCAGTACGGTCGGACGATGATGTACCAAGCGCTGACGTGGAGGATCTCGCACAGTCACATCTCTACAGCCACGAGGAGGCCGAGAGTATGTACATGAGCGCGTTCTCCGATGCTCGTTCAACGATGATTCCCGGAACCAACATGCCAGGGGGTTGGGAGTCTGAATCGTCCGGGGGCGAGTCGGCCTCAGAGCAAAGCCCCCCGAGCACTCAACCTCCGGTTGCACGCGAACTGCCACCATCCCCCAGCGATAACCCGGAACTACCTGACCCACGACCTCCCCCCGAATCGATCCAAGGTGATGGACCACACCACGAAGATACACCACGCGGGATTACGCGAATGGTCAAGGAGATCGTGTCATTGGACTCCATCTCCGTTTACGTTCCGTCAACGAGAAAGCAACAGATTCCTATACCAGTCACTAATCTTGCGAAGTCGAATCCTAAACTTCCAGGAGCGTTTTCAGTTCATCAGTCATATTACAGTAATACTACGGATCAGTCAAAGTTCTTAACTCCTGAGGAACCTGAAGAGGATCACCATGACGAGGGCATCGAAGTCGTTTTCAAGCCTCTGACACTGCGGTTCGATTCATCAGTGGGATTCCTGCTTGCCATGGTCGTTACACGGCTGCTGGAAGCATTTCAAGGGTCACCAGATGAGACTGCGAAAATTGAGCCATCCAAGGATGAATCGAGTATACCTGATATCAAGGTTACCTTGGAACAGGTAACCGTGCAGTTCCTGGAGAAGCTGGCTGGCGTAGCCGATACCGCGAAGAGGATATTTGAGACACGACAACCTGCCTTCGGCTCGGATGTCCTCCTTGAGGCCAGCCTTACGAACTTGAACGCATCTACGCAGAAGTCCGAATCCCAAACGGAGGTAAATATCGGCATCGAGAAGTTCACGTTCGGTTATGCCGACGAACCCATCGTCTCGTTCAAGAGCGAGACTGAATTGGTCAGCTCCACATCGACTGTTGGTGCGTTACCCATTGGAAAGGACATTGCAGTCAAGGCCACTATCACATCCGACGTGACTCGGGTTGACGTGAAGACATTACCTCTCTACATGAAGCTCGATTTACAGAGGTTGGACGAGACATTCAGCTGGTTTGGAGGACTGAGCAGTTTCCTTAACATGGGATCGTCAGAGGCCTCCGTAGAGAAGGCTGTACAGAAACCAACGAAACCCCCTCAAAAGGCCCGGGGCGTGCGCTTCGAAGACTCGATTGATTCTATGGAGAAGCGGTCAGAGAGCAAGATTGATGTGCGCATCAACGGTGTGCAAGTGGACGTGATCGGCAAAGACTGCAGTGCAGTCCTGAACACGAGTGCCATGAAGCTAGCACACCGCGAAGAACTAATCGGCATTCACTTTTCTACGATCAGGCTCTCCGGACCTTTCGTGAAGAATTCCCGTGCCATGCCGCCAGTCATTCTAGAATTGACTAATACAATGCTGAAATACGTCTTGACGCCTCGGACCGAGGATCTCGAACGGCTTCTTGAGCTTATTACACCCTCAAAGGTCAAGTTCGATGAGGACGAGGATGAGATCATGGTGGATACCTTGCTAAGGCAGAGGAGGAAGGGGTCAGTTCTTGAGTTGACCGTTGGTATTGTTAAAGTGAGGGCGGGCAATCTGGCTCTGCTTGACTGTATCCCGAGTTTGGTGGAGGATCTTACCAAGCTGGGGACAGTCGCAAAGTATCTACCGGAAGATGACAGGCCAGGTCTGCTTACGCTTGGGCAGGTCAAAAACGTGGACTGTGAAGTTGATGTCGGAGGCAGGTTTGGTGTTGTCAACGCGCGACTGGAAAACGTTGAGTTGGCTCAGATCACAGTACCGTCGTTGGTGGCAGTCGCGGTCGGCGTTATCGAGGTCAACCGGAATGAGAAGGACGGTTCGAAGAAAGAGGAGCTGGTAAGCACGTTCACTGCCAAGGCTCCGGGTACCTCGCTAGGCGCCTGTCCTGATCGATGCGCATGATCGACGATATCGAACCGGTGTTGAAGGTCAAGCTTTTCGGCCTGAACGTGGACTACCGAGTAACGACAGTCATGGACGTGCTGGGGCTTTCTCCGGAAGACACAACACCGGAGGAATATGATGCCCATTTGGCTGCTTCCGTCGCGAACCTTGGAGGCCAGGCGACTGCCGCTCTGAGGAGACAAGACACGCCAGAGAGCCCAGTGGTGGAAAAGGAGTTCAAGCCCATAAAACTTGATGTTGCCTTCCGCGACTGCGTCATTGGCCTCAACCCTCTTGGACGACCTTCAAAGTTGGCTATCGTACTTGCAGACTCGCATCTGGAAGCCATTCCCGGCAAGGACAACACTCTTGACGCTACAGCAACCTTGAAGAAGGCGTGCATTCTTCTCATTGACGATGTGAAAACCCTGCAAGACGTCCAGATCAACACACGAGGACGCACCCCAGCCATGAGCACCCCTCAGGCTCATGAACTTTGCAAAAAGGGATTCGTCAGCATTTGCGAGATATCATCCGCAAAGGCTGTCGTCAAGGTTGGCAAGGATGATGATGGGGAATCTCATGTTGAGGTGTCTGTCCGTGATGACCTGCTTGTTCTTGAGACTTGCGCGGATTCGACACAGACACTTATCTCATTGGCCAACGCACTCACGCCACCGACTCCCCCTAGCAAGGAGATCAAGTACAGGACATCCGTGTTGCCTGTTGAAGACCTGTTTGCGTCTATTACCCATGATGCTTTTGGCAGAGCAGAGGGAGAGTATGACTTTGACAATGACTTTGCCGGTGCTCAAGGCATGGAGTACGGGAATGAAGACGACGATGACTACTATGGCATAGGAAGCACGGAGCATCTCGAGGTACAGTCAGAGGGGTATGGTGTCGCAGAGGAGCTATTTGATGCTACTAACAGTTCGATACTGGACGGCGATATTGAGGTGGAGAATACGAAGGACGGCATGCTCGTCAGCGCAGCAAACCTTGACGAGCCTCCGGCTAGCAGCCAGAGTGAGAGTGACCTGGATATCCAGGAGAATTACTTCTCTTCTGAACCGGTTCAGCACACGACGCCCCGCTGGAACTCGAGGAAGAACCTTTACGAACAGTCGAGTGATTCCAAGGTCTCAAAGAGCCCTCTTGTCATCTACGTTCGGGATGTTCATGTCATCTGGAATCTGTACGATGGCTACGACTGGGTTCGCACGCGGGAGATTATCACCAAGGCGGTCCAGGATGTGGAGGCTAAGGCATACGAACGCAAGGCTCGAGCTGAACGCCACACTCATGAGGACGAAGGAGATGAAGCATCCGTCGTTGATGACTGCTTGTTCAACTCGATTTATATCGCGGTGGGACCCAACGGTGACCCAACCAACCTCCGACGAGCTATAAACCAGGAGTTGCAGTACCAGGACACCACCACCGAAACCGAGTCCATTGCCACCACGGCATTCACCACCTCGACTGCCCGCGCTTCAGGACACCGTCAATCGCGGCCAAGGGGGAAGACGCTGAAGCTTAGCCGCAGTAAGAACCACAAGATCACGTTCGAGCTGAAGGGCGTCAACATCGACGTGGTGACCTTCCCACCCGGCAACGAGACGATCAACACCATTGATGTTCGCATCCACGATTTGGACGTCTTCGACCATATTCGGACCTCAACATGGAAGAAGTTCGCCATGTACGACATTGATGCAGGCGAACGGGAGCTTAGTAGGCACATGGTCCATCTTGAGGTTCTCAACGTTAAGCCTGTTCCTGATCTGCCGGCTACGGAGCTTGTGGTCAAGGTCAACATCCTTCCACTAAGACTTCACGTCGACCAGGACGCTTTGGACTTTATCACGAGGTTCTTTGAGTTCAAGGATGAGTCGCAGCCTATTCATCAGTCAACTAGCGATGTGCCGTTTGTTCAGCGCTGCGAGGTCGGTGACGTGCCGATACGGCTGGACTTCAAGCCAAAGCGGGTGGATTATGGTGGGCTGAGGTCTGGTCGTACACAGAGTTTATGAACTTTGTCATCCTTGAGGATTCCAGGCTCGTGCTGAGACATGTTATCTTGTATGGTGTGTCTGGACTCGACACGCTGGGCCAGAAGCTCAACGACATCTGGACCGCCGACGTCAAGTCAACCCAACTCCCTGGCGTCCTAGCCGGCGTGGCGCCTGTCCGCTCGCTCGTTAATGCCGGCTCTGGTTTCAAGGATCTCATCGAGATTCCCATCAGGGAGTACAAGAAGGACGGTCGAATCTTCCGCAGCATCGGTAAAGGAGCGACAGCATTCGCAAAGACCACGGGCACAGAAGTCGTCAAGCTAGGTGCCAAACTCGCCATTGGTACTCAATACGCCCTCCAAGGCGCCGAAGGCATGCTAGCCAAGAGCCCTCCCACAGGCAGCCACAACTATGCCCACGCCGGCCCTTCATCCTCCTCGGTAGCCGCAGCAGGCGGAGGAGACTATGACGTTTTGGACGAAGATGAGTTCGCCGATGACCACACACCCAAGGCAATCAGTCTCTACGCCGACCAACCCTTGGGTATCATGCAAGGCATGCGTGGCGCCTACGCCAGTTTGTCTCGGGATATTGCGATTGCCAGAGACGCGATCATTGCGGTGCCTACTGAAGTGATGGAGAGCTCGAGCGCGCAGGGAGCGGCGAAGGCGGTACTGATGCAGGCGCCGACGATTTTGTTCAGGCCGGCGATCGGGGTGAGCAAGGCTATTGGGCAGACGTTGCTGGGTGCGACAAATGCGTTGGATCCGAATCATCGGAAGAGGATTGAGGCGGTATGTCTTTATCCATTTCCTACACGACTTGATAGCAGTTTACTGACAACGATGGTATGAACAGAAATACAAGAAGCACTAAGCAAGCGTAAGGAAAGGCAACGAGCCTCCTAGCTTTCAGTGTCGAACACGATTACCATTATAGCTGAATGGATGGATAACTGAACCTAATGGCATGGATTTTAGGGTTGGATTGTTTTGACTTGGTTGAGTTACGCATATCGAGCTCCCGTCAGGATGAGTATCGAGTATGCCAGGTGGTAGGAAACCACGACACGGCAATCTCCGTTGGGCATGAAGAGGTATCAGGTCCTTCTCCTCTTTTCTTCTCCCTTTGTTATTGTCACGCAAGCATGGAACGCATGGAATCAAGGCAGAGTTGTATGGCTTTCCCGGTTATGGGATATGGTCTTTCAAGCCCGTCTTTCAAATCACTCTTGGTTTTTGGCTGGGTTGGTAACTTGGTATGGATTGCTTGGTTGGGTACACGGTGAGCATCATGGTTTTGTTTTTATTGCAGTATTACATGGTGTCAAACAGCAGACGGGCAGACAGAGAGACAGATACGAAGATGAATGCATATTTTAATTTTTATACTGGAGGAGCGCAAAAGGTCTAGTGCCACTTCATAAGGTAATGCAAAATGACAAATATACAACAAAAACACATGGTCCGCTGGCTCAATGGCAGAGCGTCTGACTACGAATCAGGAGGTTCCAGGTTCGACCCCTGGGTGGATCGAGATTTCGAAATCCTTCAGAGTTTCTGAAGTTTCTCTATTTTTGCAGATTTTTCCAGTGTTTTTGGGTGGTGTGAAGGGTGGAGGTTGACATGGATATCCTGGGTGTGGAGCTTGTCCAGGGCGGAGCTTGGGATGACCTCAGATGTCATAGCTTCAACAACGACGGATAATCTATGAACTGCTGTCTTTTTGTACTACAGTAGATATTATTGATGCAGTAGGTATAGACAGTATCTCTTCTTGTTGTACTATGCTCATTAATGTGTGTATATCTATCCTTTCGGAGGCCTTTTCCCGCTTGCTTTTCCATAGGTAGGTAGTCGTGCAACCGGTTATTCCGAACCCATTAAGTCCAACCCGACCGAATTTCCCATGTCTTTGCTTTGCTTTTCAGAACCAAAACCATCCTTGTTTCATTGTTATGTTCATTCATCATACATGTACAGTGAATCCTACTCTACTTGCTCTGCTCTTTTTGGGTCTATCAACCCCAGGTCCAAGAAGTGTCTAAGCCTCAATCTCATCATCCCCCCACCCGGCCTCCTTCGCCTGGGGCTTCGCACTAGCACTCCCACCGCCCACTACCCTTCCACCGACCTTCCTCTTGACCCTGCACCGCATACCAATCTCCTCATCAAAGATGAACTGCCAAATCACATGCGTCCAGCTGCGATGCTGCGGCAGTCCCTCGTAGAACTCGCTGGCAATCTCGTACAGCTTTGGCAGTCTGGTCCACGGAATGGCCGGGAAATCGTGATGTTCGTTGTGCAACCCGACGTTATAAGTAACCCAGTTCAATGGACCATAGTAACTGAACGTCTCCGGCACAGGGATCTTGTTCGCAGGGTCGCGCGCCTCGGGGGTGATCTTTTCGTAGACGTAGTGCTCTGCGATGAAGTGGCCGGCTGTGGGGTGCAGACTGCCGGCGAGGAAGGATGACAACAAAAAGTAGAGGAGGGAGTTAACTGTGAACCAGGAGTCTGGCAACAAAAAGACCAGAGAGTAATCGACGAAGAGCTGGATGACGAGGTTGAGCCAGTGCACCCAGGTGAAGGGTACGCGGTAGATGGCCATGGGACGCAGGGCGTAGAAGAAGATCTGGAAGGTGCAGAAGAAGGCTTTGCCGAGGATGGAGTCGAGGAAAACGGCTTCGAAGGCGGTGGGAAGGTCGGTGTCGAGGCCGTCGACGCCGAGGGATTTGTGGTGGGTTAGGTGGTAGGGCTGTTTTTTGTTATACTTTGTTAGCTGTTGTTTACCGGGCCCAAAGAGAGGAGGGGAGGGAGAAGAGGGAAGGGGAAGATAAACCTACCCGGAAAGAAGCACTATACGGCACAGCAATAGGCAAGTTGGCGATAATAGCAAAGAGCCTGTTGGCGGTAGGCGAGCGGAAGGCCAGATTATGGGAGATCTCGTGGATGGCTAGGAACAAGTTCTGGTTGCAGGTAGCGCCGAAGACGTAGCCCGTGAGCCAGAACTTCCACGAGAAGAAGGAGGTGTCGCGCAGGAGATGGGCGAGCAGGAATTGGAGCGAGACGACGCCGAGGACGACCCATTTGGTTAAAGGTTCGGGACCGCAGAGCTTGGTAACCTGTCATTGAAGCATAAGAATTAGTATTCATCTTAGGAGTAGTGTCTAAGTGGTCTGTCTGACGGGAAACAACGTACCTCTGGATGCGCCTTGATAATGGCCATGCGCCGCGTCCGGTGAGGTTCCTCGGTATAAGTCCAAAAGAAGTCCTTCTCGAGAGCATCGTTCTGGTCGCTGGCAGCGCCAGTGGTCTCTAGCTTGTCATTCTGTTGTTGTTTCCGTTGCTTGGACGACGAGTCCGTGGTGGCCGTCGTTACCGCTGAGGCGGCCATGATGTTGTTGCTGGTCGTTACAACTTCGGAACTCGTGGGAAGATGAATGTTCGAGTGTGCGGTTCCCAAGAGACAACTGAAACCCAACTATTCCACGGTAAAGAATGAAGGGAACTGAAAAAGAAGGTGTAGAGTAGGATGAAAGAGAGAGATGGTGAAATTGGAATGTAATTCAGGGTCCAACTACTCAACAACTTTCTTTCAGAGTAGCACCAAGCTGTCTGTCCCACACGTGTAAACAGACAGATAAGGAGAGTGGGCGTTGTTGTCAAGCAATCCCACAAGCCTGGAACGTCTTGGCGAACAGTGGACAATCCAGGGGCAGGATGCCCGAACACTGGACGGGCAGTGGCGGCGGGCCTTTCACCGCTGTCCCACACCAATTGACATTCCGCCCCCGTGGACGAGGTGTTCGAAGGATCGTAAAGTTTTAGCGGGGCCCCGAACCTATGCAGCCAATGACACCGGACTCGCCGCCCTCCGTCCCGCGTTATTGGCCCAAGCTCCCGGGCTGTGGTTGCCCCTGAGATGCTTTGCCCCTGAAATATCCAAACAGTTGGATGTCGACTCGGCCAATCTGATGAGCAGTGAGGTGAGAATTACTGGAGATCATGCCAGCAAACATAAGAATGGTCTATAGTGACACTTCAACTGAGCTCGTCGTTTACTGTGACAGGATATGCTTCATTAAGTTGCCTTAATCCCATCCGTCGAAGTGTTTAAGACGGTTGTATGCATATTGTTTGACGTGAGCTAGTGAGCTTGCCGGGAGATGATGGAATTTTAAACATCAGATACCGACCAACGAATCCAAGCTCAAGTCAAAGCCTATGGGATTAAATCTCTATTGACGTGTATCATATGGTCGGTACATAACCCTTATATAAAATCAACCCGCCTGCTCTATAACTCCTCATGCTCGTGTCCCTCATGATCATGATCATGGATCACTGGCTGTTCAGGCCTCCCGCTGTCCTTGTGTAGATCAACTCCAATCTTTCCCCTCCACTTTTCCCATAACGCCCAAAACTCCTTTTCCATGCCGCTTTCCATTTGGTCTGGCAACACCACTGTATACTCGACGTAGAGATTTCCGTACTCCGTCTTGTGGTAAACGCTGTCACCATCTTCGTGCCATTTGGGCATGCCTTCTCCTGGTATCGTATCGACGTGACCTGGCTGCACCACCTCGCCGCGTTGCCTTCCAAGCCTAACCACATGTCCATCCAGATGTGTAATGTTTCTTGTCCAGTCGCCCATCCACGCCTCCCTGAGGCTGATGATCTCTTTCCAGAACAAATCGTCGCCCTTCCTCCTAAAGAAGATGCCATCGAGATGATCCGGGTTGTCTTCCTCAGGGTTCACACTTGGCTCCTTCTCCACGACCGTAACGATCAGGTCGCCAGCAACGTAATCCGGGCTCTCGTCCGCCTCGTTCTCGTATACGATCCTTGACCCTTCGGCCATACCACGCTCAACGTTCAGTCCCACCGTCGCCATCTTCCGCAACACCCTCTTGCCTTGGCAAACGGGGCACTTATGCCTTATGCTCTTGCCCCTTCCGCCGCACTTGTCGCATTGCACCTGCATCTGTTGAATCATGCCCGGCGCCAGCTGGTGTCTGACGATCCGAACACCGTGTCCACCACAGACGTCGCAGGTATCGACGTGCTTATCCGCCGCTCCCGTGCCCTCGCACTCCTCGCAAATCTGTTGCTTGTCCCATTGGAACTCGGTCGTGCGCCCGTTGTAGAAGTCGCTGAGGGAGATGCCGACCTTGAGCTCGACGTTGGGGCCGCGTCGCTGGCCGGGCTGGTTGCCGAAGTGGCCACCGCCGCCGAAGAAGCGAGAGAAGAGATCGAACGGGTCGTGGTGTTGTTGGCCACCGCCTTGCTGACGCTGCTTGAGGCCTTCGTGACCGTACTGGTCGTAGATCTTGCGGGATTCGGGATCGATGAGGGCCTCGTAGGCTTCGGATACTTCGACGAACTTGTCGTGGGCTGTTGAGTCGCCTCTGTTGCAAGTCGTCAAGGTTAGTCGGTGAGCATTGGAAAGGGGAAGGTAGAAAGGCAGAGATAAGGAACGTACGGGTTCTTGTCGGGGTGATATTTCTTGGACAATTGGCGGTAGGCCGACTTGATCTGCTTGTCCGAGGCTTGCTTGTTGATGCCGAGAACCTTGTAGTAATCCTCGATACCGAGCGCAAACTGCGCAAGTGTTAAGAGAGCCAACAAGGCTCCCTTCTTGAACCACATGGTGAACTCGTTGCTATATGCTGGAGTAGACGCCGTGAATAAGGAACGGTGTCCTTAACAAGGTAGATAAAGGGACCAAGTATCAATGGTGTGAGCCAAGTAAGATCGAGTAAAGAACGACTAGAATCTTAAACGTCGAGGCCATTCCACGTCGGTGACGTGGTGACTGCGATAAGGTTGTGAATATGGGAAATTGTCGAGGCCAAAAAGGTACCTGGGATGGAAGATTCCACTTATACATTCGCGATGAACAGCAGCAGCCAGCGTGGTCAAAGGACAAAGTATCTTGTACCTCCGCGACTCGGCACTGGCAAAGGTGACTTGGCGTCTCAATCGGGGAAGATGCCACCTGGTCGCTACCAAAAGCATGTTAGCTGATTGGATCGAAGGAAGACACCCCGGTCGGTGAAGCACATGCCTAACCCAAGCTGAGGCTAGCGGGGCGAGACACTGCAACAGGCCGATAAGATAAGGATTCCAGTGCTTCGACAGTTCAGTGATGCACCATCCAAGGTTCTCAGTTAATGTTGCCGCCTTCCATCACCAACCAAAACTGGTCAACAAACACAGAGCTACTGTCGCGGTTGGCCAAACACACACACAATGGCGTCAAAACGATATGCCTTCGTCCCTATGGACGACGAGTCTGCTGGGCCCTCAAAGAGCGACAGGAAAGACAGAGACAGAGACAGCAAAAGGGACAGGAAACGCGACAGATCGCGCGACCGATCAAGGTCTCCGCGCCGACACAAGAGCAGGCGACACGATGACGACGATTCGACCCGACGCCGGTCCCGCTCGCGATCACCACGCAAAGATGACAGCCGGTCAGACTCGAGACGTGAACGCGAAGACCCCAAGATCTCCGACCTGAGAATGAAGTCTCGATACGATTACCTCAAGAAGAGAGAGACAGAGAAGCTCGCCCTCCTACGAAAACAAGTCGCCGAGGAAACAGCCGAGTTGCGATCCGGGGTCCGTCTGTCCGAAAAGGAGAAGGCTGAATTCGCAAGGAACAGAGAGATTCTGCGCCTGGCCGAGGAGCGAGCACGCATTGACGACTACCAAGACGGTTACCGCCTACCAGACCAGTATGGCACCGACACCAAGAAGAAAGAGGAGGCTCTATACAGCCGTCACGTTGAGAGGGACGAGTACGGCAACGAAAAGATGGTTACCGAATACGACGAATGGGAGCGCGAGCAGACTGTCAAGGCCAAGGCGCAAATCTCATCGCGAGGCGAGCGCGAAGACGGGGGAGAATATGACTTCTTGCTGGACGAGGATGCCATCAACTTTGTCTGTGATGCTGCGGCCAAGTTCATCCAACCAACCGACGGGTTGACTCCCGAGCAGAGGATACTGAAGGAGAAGATCGAAGCGGCCGAGAGGGCAGCCAAGTCGATACAAGAAGTACGCAAGAGTCTTCCCGTGTACGCTTACCGGGACGCCTTCTTGGATGCGATCAAAGAGTACCAAGTTCTTATCCTTGTCGGTGAGACTGGTTCGGGAAAGACAACTCAAATACCCCAGTACCTTCATGAGGCTGGATATACCGAGGGCGGCATGAAGGTTGCCTGTACGCAGCCGCGTCGTGTTGCTGCCATGAGTGTTGCTGCTCGTGTGGCTGATGAAATGGGAGTCAAGGTTGGAAGGGAAGTCGGTTACTCGATCCGTTTCGAGGACTGCACAAGCGACAAGACAATCCTCAAGTACATGACGGATGGTATGCTACTGAGAGAAATGGTTACATCGCCAACATTAGAGGGTTATTCCGCCATCATGATTGACGAAGCCCACGAGAGAACAGTCCATACCGATATTCTACTAGCTCTCATCAAGGATCTCACTAGGGCGAGGCCGGATCTGAAGCTTATCATCTCGTCCGCTACGCTTAACGCCGAAAAATTCAGCACGTACTTCGATGATGCGCCCATCTTCAACGTTCCCGGTCGTGTCCACCCGGTTGACGTATACTACACTTCAGCGCCAGAAAGTAACTACCTGGAAGCCAGTTTGGTGACTGTGTTCCAGATCCATGCTACACAGCCAGAGGGCGGTATCCTGGTGTTCCTCACAGGTCAAGAAGAAATTGACAAGGCATGCGAGCGAGTAGAAGAGATCAAACGGAAACTGGGTAGTCGAGTACCCGAAATCATACCTCTACCCATTTACGCCAACATGCCCTCGGAACTGCAGGCCAAGATCTTCGAGCCGACACCACCAGGAGCTAGAAAGGTGGTCTTCTCGACAAATATCGCCGAGACATCCCTTACCATTGATGGTATCGTGTATGTTATCGACTGCGGCTACGTCAAGGAGAACACCTTCAGCCCCGTCGGCACGACAGGACAGTCCACGCTCGCTGTAGTGCCATGCTCACGAGCCGCCGCGAACCAGCGTATGGGTCGTGCCGGTCGTGTCCGCCCAGGCAAATGCTTCCGTCTCTACACCAAGTTCGCCTACCTCTCCGAGATGGACGAGTCACCCACACCTGAAATCCAACGAACCTCGCTATCCAGCGTCGTCCTCCAACTTAAAGCCCTCGGTATCGAAGACCTCTTGGGTTTCGATTTCCTCGACCCCCCACCAACCGAACTCCTCATCAAGTCCCTCAACATGCTCTACGCCTTAGGCGCCCTCAACTCCGCCGGTCAACTCACCCGCGTCGGCCGGCAAATGGGCGAGTTCCCCGCAGAGCCAATGCTAGCCAAGGCTCTCATCGCCGCTACGACCGAGGGCTGCGTTGACGAGATGCTCACCATCGTGTCCATGCTTGGCGAGGTAGCCACCCTGTTCTTCTGTCCCAAGGACAAGAAGGTACACGCCGACAGTGCGCGCGCCCGCTTCACTGTCAAAGATGGCGGCGACCACTTGACCCTACTAAACGTCTACAATCAATGGGTGGACGCCGATTACTCCCCCATCTGGGCCAAGGAGAACTTCCTCACCCAGCGCTCGCTTACCCGTGCTCGTGACGTCCGCGATCAGCTCGCCAAGCTGTGCGATCGCGTTCTCGAGGGGTCAACATCCACGTGTGGCGGCGTATCCAACATGCAGCCCATCCTTCGCGCCTTGACAGCGGCCTTCTTCCTCAATGCTGCTAGACTCAACAGGGGCGGAGACGGATATAGGACGCTGAAGAATAACATGACGGTGTACGTGCACCCGAGCTCGGTGGTCAAGGGGATGGATCCACCGCCCAAGGTCATTATCTATCATGAGCTGGTGGTCACGACTAAGGAGTTTGTCAGGAGTGTTATTCCGATTGATCCCAAGTGGTTGACGGAGTTTGGAGGGCATTATTATGATGCTAAAGATGTGGAGAGTATGACGGCTAAGAAGTTACCGAAGGAGAGGAAGTACTGAGTGTTCGCATTTAGGAGAGGGAGTGTTGAAAGTGTTGAGAAAGTTCTCTTTGTTGTCGAGCGAAAATGCATTGGGGTTCGATCATGGCGTCGGGAGCGTTTTGGGATATCTTTTTTGGCAGAATAAGGGTCTGTTTACTTGTGGCTGTATTGGGTAGCTGTTGTTGACGAGCACCTAACAACTCATGCACAGGTGTATCAAAGCAATAAAAACATAATGGCAATATCCAAAGGAACTTGGAAGTCATTCAGTCTCTTCATGTCTGCCCAAGTGAGCTTTTCTTCGTCTTCACATTGCTCGAGGTTCTCACAGACAGCGGCTTACAAAGCCAAAGGTACCTAGAATTACAAAATTTCGCCCCACACCAGGACTCATTCACCCCACTAAAACTTCTCATTGTTCCCTCATCACCTTCACCACATCGTCAACAACCACAACCACATCAAACTTCAACCAAGAACACTACGAATTTCCTCTTGTACCCTTACAGTCTTGGTACCCGAATACCTTACCACACCAGACACTACCCAATTTTCAAAATACAGAACACAAATCTACCATCAAAATGGCACACCAACCCCAACCCAAACCGACAACACGGACCCCTTCGACTTCTCCTCCTCCCTCCTCAACCTAGAAGAAGATTTCTACCAACAAGGTTACGCCCAAGGCGTATCCGACGGCGTCAAAGCCGGGCGCACCGAAGGCCGGCAGCTCGGTTTGGAAAAGGGATTCCAGAAGTTCGTGCAGAGTGGTCGCTTACATGGACGGGCTATTGTTTGGGCGAACCGGTTACCCTCCAAACAGGGTGTCAGGGGGGAATATCTTAAGTCGCAAAGCCAGTCCCAAGGCCAGCCTCAAGGCCAGCCGCAACCTCAGTCCAGCACCACAGAAGAAGGAAAGGAAGGAAAGGAACCAAGTCAAACTCTCAGCTCGGCAGTAGACAACTTGAGCCTATCAAACTCGCCAAGCAAGAAGGAGCAAAACAAGGACGAGTTAAAGTTACTCCCAAACAACACCCGTCTGGAGAAACACATCACAACCCTCTTTGCGCTCGTCGAGACCGACACGCTTGCCAAAGAGAACACAGATGAGGCGGTCAACGATTTCGATGATCGACTAAAGAGGGCGCAGGGGAAGGCGAAGATTGTGGAGAGGATGGTTGGGGAGGTTAGTAAGGCGAAGAGTGGTGGTGGTGCTGGTGCGGCTGATGGGAAGGCTTCGGGTTTGGAGGTAGGGAGTCCGGGGGAGAGCTCTGGCACCGGAGCAAGGACGCTGATTGCTGGTGTGGATTTGGGGAAGATTGGGAATGAGGTCTAAGCTTAAGAGATGGGGTTGAGCTGGACAAGGGCCACGGGTGGGAATGAAGTACCGGGAGACCGGGAGGTGAGGGATGCCATATGGGGAAAGAGGGCAGGTTCTGAGCTGCTGAGGATGGATGTAGTCTGGATGCCACACAAGGGTTCTGAGAGGGCAGCTGTTGCATAGAAATGAGGAACGTAGAGGAAGCCCAGAACACATCATGTGCTGGCAAGCCGGATGGATATTCCTCGTCGCAGGGTGTCATATCTCCTCGGCTATGAGTCCCAGACAGACGGCAGTATCACTGATAAAAACCACATACCCCTTCAGGTTTTGAATGCCGAGGGTCCATAATCTAAGCAATGTCTATACGTTCCGTCTACCGCTTGCTTGCTTGGTTGCCTGCTATGTACACCAGCCTGAACGTATCTGGTTTCTGGTTTCCGGTCTCTGTTGTTACTCTTCAAAGGTTCTGTGATCCCTTTCAGCTTTACAAGCTCGTCTCCTCAGCCTTCCTTCCTTCCTTCCACTTCAGGAGAACGACCTGCAAGGGTAGCTATAACCACACCAGTTAGCATCATTTCTCCAATCTTGCCCACCACAAAACCCCAGGACAGAAAAGACTCACGCCTCAGAATAAGAAGGCTCCTCAGCCAACTGATACTTATGCACATCCCACTTTCCCTCCTGCGTCAACCTCTCACCACTCGGCAGCGGCGGCAGACCTCCCGTCTCAGCAAGCACCAGCTTCCCAGCCTCCACCCCGTTGCCCTCAAAGTACTTGGCCAACCCTCCCTGCTTTCCGGCCTCCTGCGCCGCAACAAGCTGCTTGCTCCCGCTCTCGCCCACCAGCTCCATGCGGGGGTGGCTCGCGCTGCCGACGCTCAGCAAGGCAACGGCCTCGGCCTGGCCCACGATGGACAGGCGCGGGTAGTTGCGCCGCGCGTCACGCTTCCAGTACGGGTTGTCGGCGATGTCGCCGGCTGGATAGGTGACGGGGTCGTCGTACGAAAGGGGGTCGAGGGAGCCCGGAGCTGGGATGCGATTGTAGGGGTTCAAAGGAATGCCGTTGGAGCGGTTGGGGTCGATGGCGAAGGCGCGGCGGATGCGGTCCCAGATGCCGACGGATTGGACGGTGTATTTCTGGGGGTTGACGGTGGTGTTAGTGACTACTTATAGGTGGAGACAATTGGACGGGCATGTAGGGACATGAGTCGGGCAACATCATAGTGGAAGTCGTTTTGGAAACGACAATGCGACTGCGATTTGGGAAAGTGGTGATATGGATGCGATTGATCACTCACCTGGCCGACAGGCACAACGCCGCCTGCAGTGGTCTTGACCACGCCGGTGACGACTTTGGAAGCCATGGTGGCGGCTGTCTAGAACCCGTTTGTTTATCTTGGTGTATAAGTGGGCGGGTTCGACGACGACGAGGTGTGGATTCCGAGGGGACCTGACCACCAAGGATGATGGAGTTCGTGATGCTCTCACGAGCAGTTGCCGGGAGCTTGGCCTGACAGCCGGCAAAGCTGCTCCTGTCACCTGCCAGCTATTGTTGCGATATCGTTGACGTTGGTCAAGGGACGACGCTCATGCACGGGCCAGCTTTTATGCTTGACCGTACGTCAAAAGCCTGGACCACTTCCTGTCTCTTGTCCTTCCTTGTCTCTAACGGCATCCACCGACAACAATCCACACTGCTGCCGCCGGCCGCGTCGTTCCAGAAAAGAGATGAGAAGCAAAGCAAGCACAGGACCGCATTTCGGGACCCCGGATCCAGTCCGGCTCCCCTTTCCTGCCCCCTCCCTCTCTTTTACGGGCTACAACATGGCGTCAGTTCACATGACTTGAAGACTGAGAGAGTCGCTGAAGTGTCTACTTCATCAATGCTGTATCAATTCGAGTTGAATTGCCAGCCGAGAAAGTTCAAAGAATGTAATTACACAAGAAGAGCTGATGATGTTCTAGCTCCAAAGAGAACCCCAACTAGTAATCCACCCAACCATTCGTTGCCCTGTTCTTGTCGCAATAGCGACGGGAGCTGTACGTACGCCATCCGTTATGTCAGTGTGGCATCCGATATCCATGTACCTGATGTTATACCCCATCTGTTGGAGCTATACCTGTTGTATAGTCAACACCATCCAGGTGTCTCAAGTCACCCCTAACTAGACGTGTTACGCGATCGTCCTCCATCCAGACCCTCTTTCCTGTTTCTTTGCTCTTTTTTTATCCATCCCCAAAGTGTCGCCCCATACGGACTAGACAGACTGTACAGACAGGTGCAGGTACTCATACAGACACTCACTGCCAACTGAGTGCCTCCCGTCTCCAACTGCTTGCTCTCTCTGCCTCTCTGCTGCTCTCGAGCCCGCTTCTCGCTCGAGCTTCACCGCGTCTGCTTCCTGATTGGTCAGAGCTTTGCGCAACCACCTTCAACGTCCTGTCCTGTTTACAACGACACACCTCTTTCTTTCCATCCTTTTCTCCTTTTCTCTTTCTTCTCTCCCCCATTCCTCTCACCTTCTTTCACCATTTCCTCATCAACTCTCAACTGTATCTCAGTCGCATACTTACGGCGATCTCATCACTTACACAACCACCAGCTATCTTCTATAGCTCTTTATCCCCTTTCTCTTACACTCGCGTGTAAGCTTCCACTTTCCAGCTTCACCCGCGCAAAGTCCACAAAGACAACCATCACCATGCCCGTTGAGCTTCGCAAGCGCAAGGCCCCGCCTCCGCCTCCTGCGCCGGTGAAGAAGCAGGCCACCAAGGCCACCAAGGCCGCTGCCAAGGCCAAGGCTCAAGTTGAGGACGCCGCCTCCAAGGCTGCCGAAATCGCTTCCAATGCCGCTGAGGTCACCACCGAGACCGCCACCGCCGCTGCCCAGGCGGCTGCCGAGGCCGTTGCCAACGGCGCTTCGAAGGCGGCTACGGCTCTGGCCGGAAACCCCAAGGTCGGCGACCTCATTGACCTGGACAACTTTGGCGGTGAGGTTGAGACCAATGACGGCACCAAGACCAGCTTGAAGAAGCTCGTTGAGGAGAGCAAGGCTGGTGTGGTGCTGTTTACTTATCCCAAGGCTTCTACTCCTGGCTGTAAGTTTTTACCATCCGCTGTTCTGCTTTTTGTCCACTTTGAGAGATCATGAGGACAGGAATGTATGAGTTTGCAATGTGTGTTTGCGCTTCACAGCTTTCCCATTCGCTCAAGTCACACACCGCAACCTCTCATTCACTGGCTTCATGTTCATTCAACTCCCATTTGTCAATTCACCATTCACCAACCCTTCCGCCCCTTTGCAACGCATGCGTTAGCCGTAGCCGTTTTTAGCGGGAGCGAGCGGGCGGTATAGCACTTCCGCGGTATAACCCACTTACACGCGTTTCAATGCACCTGTCCAATCACCGTCATCCTTCGCCCCAGTTTTCGCTTTTTGTCAAGAAGACCGCAAAGAAATCCCATAGTATAAACGCTAACAAACAACCACAGGCACGCGACAAGTCTGCCTCTTCCGCGACTCGTACAGCACCCTCTCTTCCGCCACCGGCCTCTCCATCTACGGCCTCTCCTCTGACTCTCCCAAAGCCAACACCACCTTCAAGGAGAAGCAGAAGCTTCCCTACCCGTTGCTGTGCGACCCCTCTTATGCTTTGATTGGCGCCATCGGCCTGAAGAAGGCCCCCAAGGGTACCACCCGCGGCGTCTTTGTCGTGGACAAGTCTGGCAAGGTCCTGGCTGCTGAGCCCGGTGGGCCCGAGGCGACGGTCAAGGTGGTGGAGAGGGTGGTGAGCGAGATGGGAGAGGAAGGCCAAATTCGGAAGGAGGAGGCCGAAAAGGCCGAGGAGGTTGTCAAGGAGGAGGGGGAGAAGGTTAAGGGTAAGGATGAGAAGGCTGAGAAGGCTGAGAAGGCCGATGAGGAGGACGACAAGGAGGAAAAGGAAGATGAGAAGAAGGAAGAGAAGGAGGACGACAAGGAGGAGAAAGAAGGTGAGGAGAAGGAGGTCGTCAAGGAGAAGGAGAATGAGGATGAGGCCAAGGAGGCCGCTATGGACAAGGCCGAGGCAAAGGCCAAGGAAAGTGAGGAGAAGAAGGATAAGGACGAGGACAAGACCGAGGAGAAGAAGGCGGAAAAGAAGGATGCCGCTACCGAGGAGAAGTCCGATGACAAGACTGAGGAGAAGACGGAGGAGGATACAACAAACGGCGAGAAGAAGGACGCTGAGGAGAAGACCGAGGATAAGAAGGAGGAAAGTGACAAGGCTACTGAGGACAAGAAGGAGGACGAAAAGTCAGAAGAGAAGAAGGACGATAAGAAGGAAGATACCGAGATGAAGGACGCATAAATCGGTAGTCTTTCGCCTTCTCCTCTTCTTGTATCTTTAATATCTTTTTCTCCATCTCTCTCTCTCTCCAGTTGTCGTTACTGTTTGGATACTATCTAGCTTGGCTTTTTTTAAACTCTGTCTCCTTGTGTATCTCAAATGTATAATCCTTGGTTTTCAGAGTGAAATTTGAAGAGTCCAGTACCAGGTCCTGGATACACGCTGAACTGAAATTTGTTGAACTAAACCTGACAGACGTGATCAACTAGAGGTACACTACGCCCATCTCCTTTGTATCCATATGTATACATAACAGTCAGTAGGCTAAAATCCGTTGAATAATGGAGTGGACTTTGAAGTTACCAGTACTAAACGGGGTCCTGGGTTGGATATATGCCAAGACTTCAGTTTAAAAATCTTGGATTTAAGATCTGCACTGGGTGATCAACCATACATACAATAAATACGCAATGCCGTTGGCTTGAGCTGAGCTGCTTAAGTTGTGTTGCATGTCACAGGTGCAGTTCCTTATGAGCTGTGCAGACTTGCGCGAGAAAGAAAAGCACGGGATAATGAAAAAGATGGTTGCTATGGTTTCGGCTTTGATATGAAAACAAGGGACGAAGAAGAAAAGAAAAAGAAAAAAATGAACGGGAGGACAAAAGCAGACAAGAAGAAGAAGGTCCTCAAAAGGAGGTTCCTTTCTAAGATAGAGTCTTGACTTGACATGAAAACGGGCCAAAAGGACGCAACTTCAGGTCTGGTGAGAACTGACACATGATTATTCTTTTTTGTTAGTGCCTCATGTAAACGGGGAAGAATAAATGCCAAAAGAGAACTGAACCATGCTCGCTCGAGCTTAGAAACAGACAGGCAGGCAGGCAGGCAGAAATAAAAATTGTACACTATCATCCCTTCCATGTTCTTGTAGCTATATGTACGTACCTATATATGTACAGGCAACCAAAATAGGAAAGAAACTGAATCAAGGATATGAGAACATTATATGGTAAACAAACGTCTGTTCGGTTAGTAGTAGTATTTCGCTCAATGACTGTGTGTGTCCAGAGCTCGTCCGGCCGTACTATCTCTGCTTTCACTTGATGAGTTGGGTTTTTTTTTTTTTTTTTTTTGGTTTTTTTTTTTTTTTTTTTTTGTTTTTTTTTTTTTTTTTTTTACTTTTTTTTTTTTTTTTTTTTTTTTTGACCTCTCGATTGAGTTCGCTCTTTGAGTCATGGCAGGTAGCTAGCTACAGGCGCAAACAAGGGAGGTTTGGCTCCGGTGTAGGTTTCATTATTGGAGTGTCCATGCATACATTCAGTTGTAGATCATACCTGTACTTATTATTCTTCACGCCTCCAGTTATTTTAATTTTTGGATAGGTGATATTTAAGAGGAACGCATATGTGCCTGTACGAATCGGGCAGTAACTACCATTACTACACCAGGGCACGAAGGATGTCAAGCGTCATGACCATGGTGATGAAAATTTCGCTTCGTGGATTAAACGCTACTGATTCTGACAAACTAAACTCCAATCTTCACTCTTAAGGCTCGATGTCCGACTATCTGGAGATGACAACACGGACGACGGGCATGAGTACACCCGACCAAGTGTCTCCGAAAATGAACAGAGTGCCTAGAAACTTCCGGGCCCGGTTCATCCTATAGTCCTCCGCCTCCTGCTCCGCCATCGTGATCCCACCAAGCTGACTTCACAAAACCCTTTGTGTTTGCTATCCTTTGCCTCAAGATGACCGCTGTGATAATCGTGATGGTCTCTTGGCCTGTTTGAAAGAGCAAACTAGCAATCGTTAGTAATACGGATGAGAGGAAGCCTGGACACGGAAAAGGTATCAACCTCGACTTACGCAGACTTTGCCCATGGCAATACTCACAGGGTTCTGTGTCTCCACGCGGATGACACACGGCACGACGGGCTTGGCACTGGTTGCATCTCACGTACAATGGTCGAGGCTCCAGGTCGTCATCGTAACATACTGGAGATTTTGTCAACGACACACGATTGCAGAATACGGGGTCGAAGTATATGATGGCTTACATAAGCCCTGAGCCTGGCAATCTGAGCATCGTGGCATTGTGCGGTCGCAGTTTCTTCCTGCGTTTTTACATAGTTTACAGCCTGGCGGGATGCGTGTGTAGGTACAAGCTGTAGAATATGTGAGCAAGCATAGACAGAAGCTTAGAACAAGTGATACGAAGGATAATTGCACTAGCCCACCTTTATGTTCTTGGTCGCAAGTGTAGCAACACGGGTACTGGCGGTTACATTTACCACGTAATTCCGGGCTACGACTACAGCCATCACATATCATTGGCATCAACACTGTTTGCTGACCCTGCTGTTGCTGCCCTTGGGGATGTTGCTGCCATTGGGGATGTTGTTGCTCTTGGTCTTGTTGCCGACGCGGAATCGATATCGGAGATGGTACGGGTTGCTGCCCTTGCGGCTCTTGGTACCGTTGCTGAGGTGGCATCGATAGCGAAGACGGTACGGGAGGATGTGCTGGAGTGGAAAATCCAGAATCATAAGACTGTACGGGAGAAGGTGCTAAAGCCGGCAATCCAGGACTATTGTACGGAATGGCCTCGCAATGATGCATAGAGTTCGAAGGAGTCGGCACAAATGATGGAGCCGATGGTGGAAAAAATGCTCCCGGATGATTCGTTTCTCCTTCATCGCCAGGATGAGAAGGAAAAGAAGCATCCGGAACCTGATTTGGCCGATTGTCCATCTGAAGCGCGTCGAGAGAAATTAGGAGACAGGGGAAAAAAGTATACAGAATGGCCAGATGCAAACTTGACGATGCTCTCGATATCGGTGTATATCGGTGTTGAATAGCAGAAGCATACCCATTGGAGGAGCATGGTTTGAGGAGAGGTAGAGAGGTACCTTAAGTATTCCTTCCATGTAGCATGATAGTTTGCTGGCTAAGACCTTTCACGGGAGAAGGCAACACTGTGAGGATGTGCATTCTTGTCACTGCCTTGTGGATGTCAGTCTCGACGCCTCTCGTCTCGCATTCTACGAGTACTAGAGGCAGTGTCGACCTGATGCCCGAGGCAGGAGACGTAATTGCTTTGGTATCTACCTGTACCTACCTTCCAATTGCGTAGAGGTAGCCATTTGAGATCGCGCAAACGAAAGCGTGGTCAATGAGTGCCTGCCCGCCCTGAAGCCCAACTCCCTTCACTGATGACGTTTGTCGTGTGGGTTCCCATCGGGCGTGCCTGCCTTTTCTCATTCAGACGCCCGCCATTGCACCCGTGCCCGTGCCCGTATCGTTCTCATACGTACCTTCCGCTTTAAGTTCTGCCTTCATGCTCAGCCTTTTGGGAGCCACGGGAGACTCAGATACTTAAGAGCTGTCGCCTCAGGCTCAAACAAGGAAGAGCTGTTGGCGGGGCAGCTCCTCCCCCAATGGGCATATATTTCTTGCGTGCCACTTCGACCATCTTCTACCCGAGGCCCCTCTCTCCTTCCCTCCCTCCCTCCTCCTCTCACCTTTTGCGACTTCCTCACATCCTTTCCACCCCGTCAGGATTTCCACTTGCCCGAAGAACTCGCATCCGCACTCAAACCTTGACATCGACAAAAGGGAGCTCAAGGTCACTATCAATCAACAAGCGTCGCGTAAGTGCCATCGCCTTTCCATATTTGTTCTCCCGCCTATATCGCACCTTATGGTCGTCGCGGGCATCGACTTCGGTCCGTGTCTCGCATCCCCCCTCATTGCTACCTCAGCTTGACCGTTGTTTTATTCTCGCCGCCCCCTCCATCTCCTTCCCATGTTTTTCTGCAGAGGTCCCTTCTCACCCACAGCTTTGACCCATCAACGATCGGAAACTTCATCTCACGTTTGACTCACCCTCCCCGCATAGCTAACATTCTCTCCTTCCACGCAGCGCGACAATCCATATACTTTCCAGGAATCGCGAGGAACCCCCGCGAAGACGGAATCAACATGACCACTTGGGAGACGGCTGACTCTGCTTGGGGTGCGGGTGGAAACTCCACCTTCACTGCCAACGATGGCAACTTCGACAATGCGGGCTTCGACAACCCAGCCGACGGCGCTGACCAGCAGGAGCCTAACGGTGCTTGTCGCCGTTGCAACGAGGAGGGACACTGGGCCCGCGAGTGCCCTAACGCTCCGGCTATGACCTGCCGCGAGTGCGGATCGCCCGACCACGTCGTCAAGGAGTGCCCCGAGGTACTTTGCAAGAACTGCGGCGAGAAAGGTAAGACCAATGTTGTTCTTCTGATACTCTCAATCAGTCTAATTATCTTATCAGGCCACAGGATCTCCGAATGCGAGGCGGCTCGTGCAATCGATCGCAGCCACTTGCCTGACAAGTCAATCCAGGAAGCCTGGGACATGATTGTCGAGGCTGCCAAGGAGCAGGAGGTCGCCGATGTCAAAGAGGCCATCCAGATTTACGTCAAGGCGAGCCCTGAGACCACCTATGTCCAGCTCGAGGAGGCCCTTCGCGCTCAGGATGTCAAACTCTGGCTGATTGCCATCGAGAAGACCGTTATGAGTACCATGACCAACATGGACTTGCAGGGTAACCTCAACAAGAAGTATACCGTCACTTATCGCTTCAACTGGAACCCCCCTCGTCCTCGCGATCGCGACTTGTGGCCCGCGGATGTTGCCGAGAACCTCGAGCGTCTCCAGGATGCCGGTGAGGTTGTCGCTCACGGCATTCCCAAATGCGGCAACTGCGGCGAACTTGGCCACATTCGGAAGAGCTGCCCTGAGGAGCCCGAGCAGAAGGAGGAGGTTGTCATCAAGTGCTTCAACTGTGACGAAGTCGGCCACCGTATCCGCGACTGTGAGCTCACCTTTTCACCGCCGGAGTAAGACCTAATCTAACGGTATATAGGCCCCATTCCTCGCGTCGACAAGTTCGCCTGCAAGAACTGCGGACAAAATGGTCACAAAGTTGCTGACTGTAAGAGCCGTTCTGTGACCAAGTATCAAGACCGAGTAATGCTAACAAGTTGTGCAGGCACCGAGCCGCGCTCCGCTGAGAATGTCGAGTGTCGCAAGTGTAACGAGAGTAAGTAGTATAAACCATTCCCAAAGCGTGTGTATGTATGATGGCTAACACGTCTCATCAGCGGGTCACTTCAGCAAGGACTGCCCTAAAACCGGCCCACGCGGCTGCCGCAACTGCGGCCAAGAGGGCCATATGTCGAAGGAGTGCACCGAGCCGAAGAACATGGACAACGTCCAGTGCCGCAACTGCGATGAGATGGGTCATTTCAGCAAGGAGTGCCCCAAGCCTCGTGACAGTGAGTAAACCATGGCGGATAACATGTAGCCAAATCGCTAACCGCATTCCAGTCACCCGCGTCAAGTGCTCCAACTGCCAAGAGATGGGACACTACAAGTCCAAGTGCCCCAACCCGCTCGTCGACGAGGACGCTGCGGGCGGCTTCAACACCCAGGGCTTCGGCAATGCTGGTGACAACGCTGCCTTGGACAACGGCGGCTTCGGCAATGGCGGTGGCTGGGAGGTGGCCGCCGGTGGCGGCTGGTAAGAGCATCGACACTTTCCCCTCTGCGCCGCTTGTCGGAAAGTTGGAAAAATCCAACTTTGACGAGTTGCAGAAAATGAACAATATCTTGCTCCATGTTAGGGAGTTTGGTGAGGAGTTTGGTGACAAAGATCTGTCAGTGATATTCAGGACAGTTCTGCATGCTTTCTCATGGTAACCAGGTTGAGATGTTATTTCAAGGCACCATTTTGATAGGACGATGGAAACATAAGTGCCATCGATTGCTGGGACGGTTGCTTCTCAAGAACTTTGGGGGCCTCTCAGTACGGGTTCTGATCATGGTGGAATAGGTACCAGGGACAGTCTTCAGGTAGTTCTAGTCAGGTGCTACATATCTCAAGCCTGAAAGGTTCCTTCAACGATCATGTGTGTGCCATCGTGACTTCGCTATTGACTCGGTGGTGTTGGCCCGGTCGGAGAGAAGACCACCTGGATGCTGAAGCATCATGCCCCGTGTACTGCTACTTATTGTAAGATGTGACTGTCACAACAAGGGGCGGGATACGGGGCACAATGCCGGGAGCATCCGGATGACCCTCTCTCCGCAGCCTATGTATTGCGTTAATCACTCCGATGGCATTTTGGACCGCGATGCACCAACTCATGACAAACATCGCCTCCAAAGCGAGGCGGCGCACGAGAACCAGTGCGAGACATCACGAGGCCTCAGCGGTGAGCCGTTGCGGGTAACGAGTCGGATGCATCGTAGTCCGAACAGTGATGATTCCCAGACTCTGTGGCCGCCACCCTCCTGCTTACTTCGTCAAGATGCCATAGATATGGGGCCGGTTTGGTGCCACTGTTCCTTAGGCGGCTGAGCCAAATCGACATCAGTCCACGGGCCAGCCTCCTTCAGATACCGTGCGGTGTCGCGACGAAGCTGGCATCCGCCCAGACAGACGGGCCAGAAGAGGTTGACAAAAGCCTGGTAGGCATTCATGAACCAACCGCCCGGCATGTCAGAGCAGCACTTGACGTGCTCGTAAACGAACCACCGGCCGCCTGGCCTGAGGTAGCGGTACAAGATCCCAATGTTCTTTTGCGGCTCCGGGATACTGCACAAGCAAAGGATCGAGACGATGCAGTCGAGTGATTCGGGCTGGATCTGAGGCGCGTAGCGCTCGATGTCCTCGATGCCGAAGGGCAGGATCGTGTAGGTTTGTGAGAGACCCGCTTGTGTGATGTTGTGTTGGAGCAAAGGGTGGATGCCGTAGTTAGGCTCGACGCCGTAGACTTGGGTTATACGCTGGCGGGTTCCGATTGCTTTCTTTGGTGTTGTTGCCTGTTTTTGGGGTGGTTGCTGTTGCTCGGAAGCGGGTATCGTTGCCCAGCTGGCTGATAGGCCTTCGTGTTCTTCTCCCTCTCCATGCTGCCCCTGCTCCTGTTCCTCGGAGTCCTCGGAATCCTTCAAATACTTCTCATCACTAAACAAACTAACCCACATCCCGCTCCCCGGTCCAATCTCCAACACCACTCCTCCGACACCAGGCGCGTGCGCCTCGCTCTTGGACACGACCTGCCCCTTTGTCACACGACCTTCGAGCAGAGGCACAACGTTCGCCTCGGCGTTCGAGCGAACTTGGGGACCGGCCCAGGACCAGAAATGGCCGAACCAGACGGATTGGAAATCATTGGAAAGGAGAGGGCCTCCCAAAAGGGCGAGGAAACGGCGCTGCCGGAGGAGGGAGAGGATGGTTGTGGGCAGGTAGGAGGCGGAGAGGGACATGAAGATCCAGGGGTCGATGAGGGCGAGGAGGGTGGTTTTTAGGGAGGTCAAGAACCCGGGTTGCTGCCCGGAAGGGCGGGAGGGGGACGGGGCCATTGTATTGGTGTTTGTTTACTTCGTAGGGGTTGTGTGTGTTGTGTGTTGTAGGTTGGTTGCTGTTAGACGAGGCCTGTCGTCTGATGTTCGGCGATGGTTGAATGGTTGACAAGGTGAGAAGGGTATATCGGACCCTTCACAAATGGGTGTGAAAGAAGGGTTCGGATGAAATCCCTAGAAAAAGACTAGCACTTCGAACTCTTTTATAGACCTTGGCCCAAAAACGAACCTCGTGACTCCCAACCAATGATGGCGTGCTATATGACACTTGCCCAAGCCGAACAAGCCTGGATGTGAATGTGAGTGAGTGAGACTGTGCGATGCAATATGAGAGTGTGTCGTCCTCTCTCTCTCTCTCTCCGCTTCGGAAGGCAGGTAACAAAAAGCAGGCAGGTGATGAGACGCCCTTTGACAGTGAGAAGCTTGTTGTTATTTTTAACGTCTACTTCCGCCTCCCGTAGGGCATGAGACGTAATAGACAGTGAGAAGCGGCAGACAGAGACACACATCAAAGGATGCAAACGCGCGCGCTTAACCCTAACCCCAGACAATACCCCCTTTTTCCCCGCTTTGATGCTCGCTGGCCCGCTGGTTTCGCTGACCAACACCGAAACCCGGGTGGGCCAATAGAAATAGCCGATTGCCGGCCTGCCGAAAGCTGGCACGGATACAACGCGGATTGGGAAGTCCATTGGATGGCATCATCGGTCTTGGACCGGGGTTGAGTTATCAATGGGTGGATGTTTCAACCTTACCCTCCGTCGTCGGCGTTCACTGTGATACTACCTACTCATATCTTCTCCATATTTCAAATTGAAAGGTTGTCGTTCTTCTGTTTCTCATCTACCTTATCTGTGAAGCTATTCCCAGTAACCGGACGCACTTACACGAAGCTTTCCATTCCCAAAGCGGACGAGGAACTGCCTGTCCTTCCTTACATCCGTACACTCAACTCAACCTGACTAGTGATTGGGTTAGTCAACGACCACGAAAACGCCATCAACGTCTTTCGCAACCAAGAACCGTTTCTGTGATACCACACCACAGAGGTAGTCACCAAGTCACTGTAATTGGGAAACATAAACGACACCATGCCTTGCCCATTTGACCTCCAGGCCGCCATCCAAGGCGCCGACAACGATGTGGCCGTCATCATCCCCTCCAAGCCTCAAGCGCTCACAGTCACCTACGCGGACCTGAAGCGCGAAACGGCTTCCTTCCAGAAGAAGCTAGCAGACATCGGCATCACCAAGGGCTCTCCCGTGTCCATCGCTATCGTCAACTCATACGAGTTCATCGTCTCCTTCCTGGCCGCCTCGTGGCAGCGCGGCATCGCCGCCCCTCTCAACCCGGCCTACAAGCAGGAGGAGTTCGAGTTCTACATCGAGGACGTCAAGTCCGCCATCGTCATTGTCCCCAAGGGCGCCTACAGCGCTGGTGCTCCCGCCGTGAAGGCCGCGCAAAAGTTCAACGCCGCCATCGCCGAGTCCTACTGGGACTCCAGCAAGAACGAAGTTGCTCTCGACGTCAAGGAGCTGGGTCAACTCAAGGGCAAGCCCGCGCAGCCCTTGCTGAAGCCAGACGCTGATGACATTGCTCTGGTCCTGCACACCTCCGGCACCACCTCCCGCCCCAAGGTCGTCCCGCTCACGCACCGCAACCTGACGCGCACCATGAAGAACATCCGCAACACTTACCAACTCACGCCCTCCGACCGCACCATGCTGGTCATGCCCCTCTTCCACGTCCACGGCCTGTTGTGCGGTCTCCTCGCCCCTTTGCTCACAGGCGGCAGTATGATCGTCCCCAGCAAATTCTCCGCGACTGATTTCTGGCCCGACTTCATCACCTTCAAAGCAAACTGGTACACCGCCGTGCCCACCATCCACCAGATCCTTCTTAAGCACCCTGTCCCCAACCCTCTCCCGAAAATCCGCTTCATCCGCTCCTGCTCCTCCCCCTTGTCGCCCACAGTCTTCCACAACCTCGAAAAGACCTTCGGCGCCCCCGTCCTAGAAGCCTACGCCATGACCGAGGCCGCGCATCAAATGACTTCCAACCCTCTCCCTTCCGTAGGCAAGCGCAAGCCCGGCACCGTCGGCCTCGGGCAGGGCGTAGAAGTCGTCATCCTCGACCTCGACCAGGCAAGGTCTTGCCAGACGGCACGGAGGGAGAAATCTGCATCCGCGGTGAAAACGTCACCAAGGGCTACCTGAACAACCCCGCCGCCAACGCCTCCAGCTTTACTCCCTCGGGGTACTTCCGTACCGGCGACCAAGGCAAGAAGGACGAAGACGGGTACGTCGTCATCACCGGTAGAATCAAGGAGTTGATCAACAAAGGCGGCGAGAAGATTTCGCCTATCGAGCTGGATAATGTGTTGACGCGCCACCCGGCGGTGTCAGAGGCCGTCAGCTTTGCGGTTCCCGATGAGATGTACGGGCAGGAAGTTGCTGTTGCCATTGTGCTGAAGAGCGGGCAGAAGGGCGATGCGGAGGAGTTTAGGAAGTGGGTTGGGGATAAGTTGGCCAAGTTCAAGGTGCCGAAGAAGATCTACTTTACGGATGTTATGCCGAAGACGGCGACGGGGAAGATTCAGAGGAGGATTGTGGCGGAGGAGATGCTGAAGAAGGAGAGTCGGACTAGTAAGTTGTAAGTTGTGAGTTGGAGATTGTGAGGTGGATGGATGGGGGGATGTATGCTGTATATGGGATGAGAGCCATGATAGATTGTGTATATGCCATGGTAGAGCTGGTTTGCGAGGTGGGACCTGAGATATAGAGGTTTGTTTACGGGTTTGCTAGAGCACTCAAAAGTTTACACAAGGAATGTTATAGTGCGGAACAATGGAAATTGTTTGATTGAGCCAGGAAAGATGAATACATAGAGGGGTACATAGATATGTAAGATTCCATGCTGTCTGTTGGTTGTGTATGGAATGCTGATCTAGGTCTGTAAAGTATTGGAAGTTTCAGGTTCTACTCGGTGAAATGAAGCTAAAAAGTTCGCTCAATGTGTCGAGCCATGTCAAAACAGCTGAAGCTCGTGACCAAGATGACAGACAAGCACATTTGCTAACATCTCCAACTACCATGTACCCGTCGGTGAGGCTGTTTGACAGATTCTATCTGGTTCCCAACTCTGTTACCAACGGGTAGTCTCTTAATCTCTCTTTAGACAGTTCTTACCTTGAGAGAATCTGCAAGCAATCGTCGACAACTCATTTTACTCAAAATCATCAAACTGAAACAAGAACACAATTATTAAACTACCTAAAGCAACTTTCTGCACAGCGAAACCCAAACAATGAAATGATGCAACGAACTGCCTTTATGAATGCCAAACTGCAACACAGAAAAGCCAAATAACAAACGACTAACAAAACCACAAATCCCGAACAAACACAATGATGCGCGATAATACCCTCTTCTCTTCATACTCAACTTAACTTCTCGTCAGTCAGTTCATCTGCTCTTTCTCCCGAATCCAGCCCACGGTTAAATGAGGTGGCTGGCAAACAAGCCTTTGCTGATCATCCCAACTCTTTCTTGTTTCCATCATGCCATCCATGAGCTTCATGTACCGCAGTAGCCCTGTGGGGTGACTTTCGTGCTTCACCATAAAACAACCCATATCCACTCAAGATCACCGACGATCGCCCGTTTCATCCACCAGAGATCAACATCCCCTCGGGTCCTTAATCCAAAACCCGGTCCCCGGTCTCCGGTCCCCCAAGTGTGGCTGGTGCAAAAACGTACCAAGTGCAGTGTCGGCAATGGTAATGTGTTGAGGGACGGTGAAGAGAGACAGTGAGAGAGGTAATTAAGTCTAGTAGTGGTTTCTTTCTGCAAATATGGGGTCATATGATGTGTGCGCTCCATGCAACCTTTGAAAATAAAACACAGGCTGCAGCAAAACTCCCAACAACAAACGACAAAGTTTTCCATCTCAGCCGAGAGAAACAACAGAGAATATGTGTGCGCGCAACAGGATGGCCCAATTAGTAACCCCATCTGATTTGCAGTAGTAATCGAGAGAAAAACGCCCCCACATTTCCGACCCACGATACACCATTAATGTTCACAAGTCATCCTAAGCGTTTTTTACAGGAGGAGCTGGGCAAGGACACCAGCAGCGGCAAGGAAGAGACCGACGTTGACGGAAAGACCGGCAGCACCGCTGTCCTTGTCGTCGGAGTCCTTGTCAGAGCCGCTGCCGCCCTTGGTACCCTGACCAGAGCCGGTCTTGCCGGAAGTATCCTCGTTGGCCTCCTCGTTGTTGGACTCGCAGTCGAAGGTACCCTCGATCTTACCGTTGCCTCCTTGCTTGCTGGGAGCCAACTTCTCGAGGGTCTTGCAGGATTCGGTGACATCGTTGGTGGAAGCGAGATCGAAAGCGCCACGGACGCTCTGGAGCTTGGGGAACTTGACCCTGCAGGAAGGATGTCGAGTCAGTGACGATTCATTGGGACGAAAAACAGCACGATAAAACTTACTCAGTGAAGTTACCACGGAGCTTGATGGCACCGACGACGGTCTCGAGAAGGGGGAAGTCACTGATCTCCTCAAGAGCGGTGTTGTTGGCAATGAGAAGACCACCGCCAATCTTGGTGAGCTTAGGGAAGGTGAGGTTCTGCATGTTCTCGTTGCCGACGAACGAGATATCACCGTTGGTGGTAGAGGTGAGGTTGGGGAAGCTGAAGCTATCGAACTTGTTGTCATCGAAGCGGGCAGAGCCGTTGACAATCTCGAGGGAGGGGAAGCTGATCTTGGAGACATCCGAGACAGCCACGTTAAGAGCCCAGATGAGGTTGGGGAAGCTGACCTCCATGTCGAGACCGTTGGCATGGATGTTGAGCTCCTTCTTGATCTCCTTGATAGCGGGCTCATACTTGGTGATGAACTGGTTGTTGTCAAGGTTCATGCTCGAGATGCTGGTGACATTGATGGCATCAATGCTGCGGAGCTTGGTGTCGGAGATGGTGACCTCGTCGACCTTGTTAAGCTGAGTGATACCCATCTCGGCAGGGTTGCCGATGGACTGCCAGGTGAGCTTGTTGACCTGGGTAAGCTTGGGCATGCTGATGCTGTTCAGCTGGGTGGTCTTGCTGATCTTGAACTCGCCACCAATCTGCTCGAGGGTCTCGGAGCCGATGCTGTTGATCTTGGAGTTGTCCTCGATCTTGAGGTCGCCAGTGATGATCAAAGGACCGCTGATCTGGAAGTCACCGGCAACATCCTTGGTAACAACGACGGAACCCTTGACAGTCTTGCAGTTAGCAAGACCGGTAGCATCGGCCTGGCTGTTAACGGTGGTGGTGCCACCAGAGACGGTGCAGGTAGAAGTGGCCGACTGGGCTATAAGAGGGAGAAAACAACGTCAGTCATGGGCACCGCTAATAAGTGATAACAGGATAGCTGAGCGTAGACATACCAGAAGCGGCACCAATCGCCAGGACGGCGGGAGCGAGGTACTTGACAAGCATCTTGACGAGCTGATGAAGAAGAGTTAGCGATGGTGTTCAGTTGACAAAATGACAACCGGTCCGATATCGCGGTCGAAGTGATAAGACTGGTTGAGTGGTGTTGCGTATTGGTGATATGCGGCGGGAAAAAAACGCGAATGCAGTAGTATGTCTACAAGTTGTTCGATCTCGAATCGTGCCAGTCCAAAAAAGATGTGTGATCGGGAAGTGTTGAAAGCAGTGCCTGGAAAACTGAAGAGGGTCGAAAAAGAGGCGGCCGGTTGGAGTTGCACCCCAAATCGATGGCCGCAACTTGGTCGGTAGTCGGTTCCTCCACTGGTAGAGATAGTCGACCCCTATTCCTTCCTAACCAAGCCCTTGAGTTCCTTGGTGATTCGGATTATCGGAAAGAGCAGCCAACGCATGTTGTTCTGCAACTTCCACATGTGTTGATGTTGATATGGCGGTAGGCGGTCTGATAGTCATCGTGGATCTCGTGATTTCTTCGTGGATCTTCTCAAGGGGCTCGTCCGCTTTTGCGTGTTTCAAATTTTGGACTGGCACGACACGGGCGATATCGTCGGGAACAGCGTTCGCACAATTGTTGCTGCTGGTGGTGCTGGTGTTTCTCACAGAGTGGACCGACTGAATTGAAAAAACGAACATACCTTTGTGATTAAATTCTACTGAAGAAGGGGGAAGGGACGCGATCGAGTGCAGAGAGAACGAGTGGTGGTGTGCGAGGTTAAAAGGGCAAGAGCGACGGGGTGATGGTCGTTCTTTCGGCGGAGCCTTCAAAAGGTAAGAGGGTGAATGGTAAGAGTCTGTAACGAGGGACTAGAATTCAATGAGGAGAAAGAAGGAGGGAAGGAAGAAGGCCGCGAAGGAGGGAAGATGAGGCAGCTGTGGCTTGAGGAGGTAAGAAAAAGGGCACCGCGAGCAGGAACAAGGAGACGGGACGGAAGACAAAACCTGCAGAAAGAAGGGGGTCGATCAACCTTGGACCTTACCACTGTACACGGGGGAGTGCCAGCCACCAGTGGATCGCTCATGGATCTTGAAAGGTACCCGGCCCCTTCTACGATTTGTCATTGGCGCGGTCTTGCCTAGGGAGGGCCGCCAGGGGTGTGAACGGACTAAAGCAGGCACTACGGCCACACCGCGGGCGTACATGCCCGGCTACGCTACTGTACAGCTGGCTTGGTACATTTGTTGTGTGGAGCCTCCTGAATGCAAAGGGAAGGCAGGGCGCATCTGAGTGGTCCAGCAGCGCCCTGGTCAGTGTCGGGTTCCTTGAAATTTTTGGTGCCATTGCTTCATCAGTCAAGCCGGACCTCGAGCGGACTTGCTGAACGGTCTTGGGTCAGGGGCTTGGCTGGAGACTTGTCAGCGTCGTGGAGTTGAAGTTTCAGCGGCAAGTGCCTGTGTTCAACCACCAACAAATGGCCTCGGTTCCGTCCGTCCTCCACGCCGGGCATGTCCACCAGTTGTGAGTTCCAATGACGCCGCGTGACCGCCTAGGAGAAGCGAAGAACGAGTCAACCGGCAACCTGGTCAAAGTGGAAATAAAATAAAGTCTTCGTGATGGCTGATGAGATGGTCTCAAGACGAGCAAGCCAGGCATGGATGAAGCACTCGCTTGGCCCTGTTTACAAATATAGCAGGATCTCGGCTCTTCATCCTTCATCCATATCCGTATCCATCATGACCCTCGTTTCCCCGACTTTTTGAGACTTAGGGTCTGAGGTCTGGATCCCGAGTTATGGTCCTAGTTTAAATGGAAAAGCCGGCTGGCGAAATTTATTGATTCATCATCGGTTATGACGATGAGAAAGAGGCATTGCGCCTTTCATCCGGCGGTTCCCCCATCAACAACTACCGGCACCGAAGTGGCTTTTTAAGAAAATGGGACACGGCATGCATCACGGCGGCCGCATGTGTTGCGTAGTCAAGGCCGGTTGAATCCGGGATGAGGCGCCGATAGGATCATCATTCTTGTGTGAGAGTGTCGAACGAGAACAAAGTAAACAGAGAATTAAAGATGCCAAGCTTTTGGCGGTAGTGTTTCCGTGACGACGGGAGCTGGACATTCGAACATTCTGTGACAGACGCCAACGCCACTCGGGCGCGGGTTTCGGGCTGTTTGGCACGTCCGTTCTCTTGGGCTGCCATTTGCAATCCGTTGGTTGACACAAGTTTGCCGTTCTCACCAAGCGTTGGCATGTCCGCCCCCAGCTCCCATTTCCACCTTGGCCCGTCCGACATTGTGACTAGCCGTGGCGGTGTTGTTTGGTGTTGATGTTTGGCCATGAGCCTGTGACGCACTTGGGATCTTGTGTTGTTTAATAAGCGAACAAAAAAGCAACAACCACCTCTTTCTAGTATCATCGACTCTCGCAAAAACCTGATAGTGGTCCGGAGTCTCTCGCGGAAATACACACAATAACGACCCAGAGACAGGCGATACGAAACTGTGCATGAGCCTTCTGCGCCCAAGATTGGCCAATTTTAAACTTTGTTCACACCAGCACACGCAAGCACTTTGCACCAAAAAAGCCGGACACTCCCTCCAGTGCACCACGACCACAGAATGCCCCACCACGTTCGATGGGGAAGCTTTTAATTGAAATCGGTCATGGCTCCATCCGATCTCCATGCGTGCATCAACGCAGGCCGCAGCACTCAGCAGCAATTGCAACGACACGTCCTTGTTCGTTAACACTGTGCAGCACAGCATTGAGAACAATCCGTGAAATCAAGAAAGTTGGAGCCGCCAACCACGGGTTTTACATATTGAAGTGGCCGGGACGCAAAAAAACAAAAGAGATGTGTGAATCACGGCATGAAAAGGCAACTCGATTTTTGTTTCTTGGTTTTGGAAATCTCCGAAAAGGGTGTTTTATACGAAGGAACGCCCATCCATTGTTGTTGTTATTGCCGGTTGCCATCAGTTATCACATCCCGTCCTCGAATTAAACCCAATTGGCACGGACCAATTTCCAGAACCTGCCCCTTTTTCTTTGTTATGTTCACGCCCCTAATTATAGAAAACTGGGGGTTCGCGGTTTCTGAAGCGTCTGGAACACTGTGCCCTTCTCGCCCATTTCCCAGCTCATCTGCCCTGGTACACGCCTGGGAAAGGGGGTGCAGCAGCGTCGTGACGGAGCGTCGTTCATCGCATGCCAATCTTTGCGTCGCCGACGGGAAGTCTCAATTAACCTGGAAGTCACAAGCAGTTGAACACAGACCGCCTAGCCGTAGCAACGGGAACACTTTGTCCACCATCCATCGTCATCGCCAAACATCAGGATGGATGGTGAATTTAGGTTGATTTCACGATAGACATGAAACTCCGATCTTACAATGTGCGCTACATGCCTTACCGCTACGGCTTACGCAGCAGGCCAGCAGGCCAGCAGGCAAGCAAAGCGGACGGGCAGCACATCACACTACTGCCAAGCACAAGTACCGGCAGCGGCGCTGCATACAGAAAACTGTTGGGCAATCAACTTCCATCGCACATAACCGCCAAACAGACGTCATGCCATGTTCCTGTAACGGTCAACAGATGAGGGTCTGGACGTGCGCTGCCGAAATGTCAGGACAACATCTTTTCTGCTTTTTCAAATTACTAAAGTTCAAAATGGAGAAATCAAAATGGAGTTGACATCGAAGAAAGGATCGCCCTTCGCCTGGATCGACCCTTACAAGCTCGAGTCAAGTCAAATGCTTGTTTCCCCAAACGCATCAATCAACCTCGTGGATATCAAAAACAAAACGCCAGGCAAGACCAGGCTCGCTCCCATCGCTCGCTCTCAACCTCAACTTGACCGGGATATGAGAAGATGATACTCTGACCTGGCCAAACATCCGACTTGATGATGATCTTCTTTCGATGACATCCATCTCTTACGGAAACAGTTACAGCCTTGAAACGTTACGGGTAACGGGACAGCAACCATCACCCTTCTGCCCTCCTCCTTGCATTCTGTATCCCAGCTTGTCGGCTAGCCAGCATCCATCATCCATCATCCATCCAGTATCTCAACCTTGAAATCGCATGGTTCATCATCTTCTCCCAAGGACGTCAACACCATCCTGACAATGTAATTTTCCAACGAACGAAAAATGCTTGTCCGTACGAACGGTGGTCCAGATCTTTTGCCGTCCGTTCGTTGGCTTCTTGACTCGTTGAGCCCGCCTGACTCCCGACCCCGAACGGGTCCTTGATGCCAAGATATGGTTGTGCAGATTTGGTAAGGTTCGTATAAGTGGTGGTTGGGATCAGATATAAGTTGGATGGTGAGCCTCAATGTTCTCAGTCGTCTCAAAAGGAGGCCCGAGACGGGTAGACCTTGAGGAGGCCAGGTCTTGTGGACGGCCAAACTTCAGCTGTTGTTGATGTCGTGCAACCTACCTACTGCCTATCCATGTCTATGATCTGGATCTTGACAAGAGAGAAACGGATTTAAGAGCGGGTTGCTACTCAAAGGAGGTTGATCTAACAGTCTTTCTCTCTGCCGTGGTTTGGACTACAAACAACGGCCACGGAGTTAGGGTAAACCAACGTCGTCAAAGCACTTGCATACGTTGTCGTCCCTACGCGTGTACAGCTAGCACTCACTTACATACCACATACATCCATCGCTCGTGCGTATGCAAGTCGGTAAGTCGAGGAGGGTGTGCAAACTTTCTTTGCATATCTCCATTGTCAAAACCTGTAGGTGTTCATCTGGACATTTTTCATCCCATCTCAACTATAAATGGGTTGGATATCTCCAACGTCTCCGAACCAACAACATCCGCCAACCTTCTTTCATCTCGATCTTACCAGACAACCGTGTGGATCTACTTGACCACCAAAAAAACCTTGATGCTGAGCCTCAGCATAGCCGCGCGTTGTGGCCCTCTGGCTCGTTGTGGTGCTCCAGTCTCATGCCATGTTGATCAGTGACGGCGATCAATTTATGCGGCAGCCAATCCTTCCGTTAAACTGGAACTTAAGAGGGAAGATCGGTGGAAGATAGCCCGTTCCGCGTTTTTGATTGTCAGGAACAATTGATAACCGCCAACCTCTTGAGTAAAAGAGAAGACGTCATACATATCCCAGACAGATTGAATTGTTCAGTGCAAACTTCAACGAAACGAGCCACATCTGAAGAAGCTTGTTGTGGCTTTCGAGCAATGGACACACATCAAGGATTCAACATCACTATAGCAACTGCACCTAATCCCTCAAGCATAAACATGCAAATAACACCCTTCATGCATCGGTCCTAAAACCGTTGAACTCGGCTCACACAAACTCAACCTCACACACCTTCACAAAGCTTCAGCTTCACTCCCATGGTCCCACTACCCCAGACCAGCTGACGACTCAGGTGCCACTTGTACCTTCTTGCACCAACTTCAAAAGGTTGTGTAAGTTGCTGTGCCCTCTACAATTCTGCAGCAAACGGCGAAGTGCACTCAGTTACTCACTCTCTATGTGCTAACGTAACACCCGAGAGGACTTGTGTAAAGCAAGTGTTTGCCTGTAGGGGGATTACATGCAATAGGGGGTAGAAAGTAGGGTCGTTCAAGTTGCTCAGGTCATGCTTGTTTGCCTTGTCTTGCTTGTGATAAGGTAGTACGTAGATATGCGAGGTGATACGGAGACTGTAGGAGGCCGCTTGGGATCATGGGTCTGTTTACATGGTAAACAATGTTCACATGCTAACGGCCTTTGACGGAGAGATAGGTAGTAACTTGCGGTGGCAAGGTCGTAGAGTCTTTGTGGGTATCTCGAATTGAGGTTCGTAGATTCGTAGACTCTGAGCTGATCTAATTTATTCCCTAGAGTTAAGCCATTATATCGTCACTCATCAGATAGTCCCGCTATGGGCAAGTCAAAGCCCCTTTGGTATCCTTCCAAACTCCCACCCAACGCTCTACTCCATACTACTAACATCCGTCTCCTCCACCCTCCACATATACCACATAAACAAACTCCTATACGGCCTAAACCTCTCACTAATCTCCTTCATTTCTCCCTCACTCATATACTTCCACTTTTTGTCTTTTCCATTCCCCTTTCCATTCCCATTCTTAAGTTTCTTCACATCCCTCCCCACGAAAGCCGCCATACCCCTCTGCACGCCCAAATCGCCCAGTGAAAAAACATCCATACGCTTGAGCGCGAAACACGCAAACATCTCGACGGTCCATAGTCCTAACCCGCGAACGGCGACGAGTTTGGATACCAGCTCATCGTAAGGGGCGGACGCCAAAAGGGAGGCGGATAATTCGCCTGACGCAAACTTGGAGGCGAGGCCGTGGATGTACTCGGCTTTACGCTGGGAGAGGCCTGCGGTGCGAAGGGTGGGGAGGTCTTTTTGGAGGACGAGGGAGGGGGTGGGAAAACGGCGTTTTCGGCGTTTTGATGATGGTTGGTCTTCGGCAGGGTGGCCTGGGGGGGTATCTTTGCCATCTTCGTCGTCTTGATCTTGGTCTAGAGAGGGATCATCGAATAAAGCGACAAACTTGCCCTTTATCGACTTCGCTGCTGCCCCGCTCACCTGTTGAGAAATGATGCTGCTGACTAGACTCTCGAACGGGTCGATTTGTTCTGCTAAGCCTTCGGGACTGAAGATGCGGCAGGGATGTTTGTCGATGAGAGGCTTCATGCGCGGGTCGACGGCGATGAGGTGGGCGCAGGCTTTTTCGAGGATGTTTTCTGTTGTGATGTCATCCTTGGTCTGATTCCTGAGAGGTTCCTTAGATGGGGAAACGCCTTCTTCGGTATCATCTCTCGGTTTGATGGGACTGGAAGAGACCACTCGTGAGGTTTGAGGGGAGAGTAAAGGGGCGTTGGTCTTGTTTGGGTCGGCTAGACGGGAGACGGCGGCGGGTTTGGGCTTCTTCTGAGCACCGGCAGCGGAAGAGGATAGGAGGGCTGCGGCGGCTGGTGTTGGGGTTGCCGGTGGTGGTGCTCCCTTCTTTGAGACTTTCCGTTTTTGAGGAGTTGATGGTAGTTGTGGTTCTATTGTTGATGATGATGACGGCTCTTTGTCCTCAATGCTGACTTTCCTTTTCCGGGACTTGGAAGCAGGTGCCGGCGGAGGGAGTATGGGAGCAGCCGTGTCGTTGGGCTGGGCTGCGGCCAGAGCACTTAACCGGGCAGACCTTCGAGTTGCCATCCTCACGGTAGGTGTTGTCAATTGGAGATAGGTGAGGGATGTGGTGAGTGTGCGACGAGTGTGGGCTTGACTAGTGTGAGTTGTGAGTGTGGGACAGGATTCAGACGGCAATCTCAACCGACCCAATGCCTGGCGTATGAGTCTCGGTTTGACTAGATGGGTTCTGAATCGCATGAACTTGTCGATATCCCAAGGAGAGTGAAGTGGCAAAGCAGAATACGGAGATTCGAAGTAAGAGAAGATGAATTACCCCTCAATTGGTGGTTTATGGTTCCCCAAGAGAGAAACAAAGAAAAGGTTAAGTAGCACCAACTACACGATAAACAGACACAGGCAGCAGTGTAGCATTCAAGAACGCGTCTTTGACCGACGTCATCGCCGTCCCGGGCCCGTCGATGTCGCCTGCTCACGTGGCACGGAGAGCCAAGTCGTGCAAAGGTCGGGACAAGGTCCGGTTGTTTGGCAACGGAGATCTCCAAGAAATGGACTCCAAAAACGAACACCTAGTGAATAACGCCAAGCGGTTCCTGCAGAAGACGGTGTCGGCAGTTTGCAAGCTCCCTAGCTGTAGGGTTACGTTACTAGTGGTAGCCGGATAGGGGGTTCACCAAAATGTTAAAGCTTGTCTTTGGTAATCTTTTTAGTCGTGGCTTCATTGTGCCCCTGAGAGATGCAGCATTTCGAGACAGATATTACGTATTGAGGCCCTCTGAACAAGAGACAAGTGTTTATACTTGAGTAATGAATAGGGCTTATACATACCTTGGCTATGTGTGCTATAGGAGTTGTAGGATTTGTGGTGGCCAAAAGGAAGCTCAGCTCAGCCCTCAAATGCTGACTGATAAGCTGAGCCAGAGGAAGGAGATCGCCGTGATTGCAGTTTTGGGGGAAACCAAGATTTTGTTTGGATGCCAGATCTTCACTGGTTCTATAATTGTACGGGAAATCTCATTCGCTCGCCGGTTCATGATATGATCTCTTGCGAGGAGCATCGATAGGAAGGCATGGTCCGTATTTCTAGCCGGTGAGCATGCAGTGCTGCCCCTTTTCCCCACCCGGGTCACTGTGACTGTCGATATCAACAAAGGGTTGCAATGTCGGCTCGACATATTGTTTTCCGCACCCACGGACGGACCGGACCTGGCCAACGTATTTCCACCGGTCCGCAATGATTCCGGCGTTGTAGCATCTTTTGGGAATAGAAAGGCGGTCATCGGCTCCGCCCCCGAATTATCTAGGTCCGCATAAACAACGATAGACAAGGCAAGCGAGGGCCAGAGCGGGCGGCGGGGAGCGGATATTGCACCGACCAGGTCGAGGCTGAGGGTGGAGGGGCATCCTGGACATCCTTGTCCTGGGGAAACATGCTAAAACCCGTGAGATTCTGGATCGAGATGATGGAGGAGGAGAAGGAGAAGGGCAGCCCGCGCTGTCCTCATGTCAAGCCTCGGGATGGTGATAGGCATTGGAAAGGTAATATAATTCATATGTCCCCCTCTTGTTGCAGCTATCACAACCACACGCTTCTTTTTCCATTGATGGCAAGGACAGGATGTGCAGGCTGATCGCGGCCGTTGATCGAACAAATGGTGGAAATGGTGGGATTGCTTGCGTGTTGCTTCTCCCCAGTCTTCCCCTTGAGACCGCCCTGAGTGGATGAACGGTGCGCCCGGACCATGGCATAATTAAGCGGGTCTTTTACCCCCCAAACCCGGGGCCCCTGATAGGTTAACCATGCTCGACCCCCCTTGAAGTGGACGGCAGACCCCCCTTCCAGTGTGGTGTCCCTTCCTCGCTGTGAGAGACTGAGAGAGATTCTGGAACCATTGGCGGGCTGGGCAGTGACCCTTTGGAACAGGAGCTAGAATCTCCCTTTCTCAGCCTCCGTCCGTCCTCCCGTCTTCCGTCCCCGTGTCCCCCGTCCGCCGTTCCCTTGCCTGAGTAAGAGATTCGATCCCAACATCTCAAAGAATACGCGAACTCCCAACCGCGTACCACCGGTGTCACTGTGCTTGCTTCTTGTCTCTTGTACACTTTTCTTGACGACCTTTTACAATTACCTTTGACGACGACGACGGCTAGTCTACATTCGCTTGTAGGATCCTCCGCTCAGAGATACCGCCTTCGTGCTTCAGGAGACGTGGGCTTTCCACCCCCAACCGACACCCCGTAATCTCTCTCCACGACGCCACACGAGTTCCCACGCGAATCTTCCTCTTGCTACACCACCCGACGATATCGCATTTTCTCAGCCGCTCTTCACGTCGCAATATCTCCTTCGTGCCATTGCCGCTGCGCATCGCATCGTCGACCTAGCCGGCAGTTACGCGGCTCCCATCTCCAACTTTTAGACTTAATATCCTTCTCGACAGTTCAGCGGGTGGTGCTCGAGGGCCACCCCGTATCGCAATAATGCTTCTCCCCAAAGGCGGCGTCAGCTGGAAGGCTGCAAGAGCACAACTCCCTCCCGCAAGGGCAGTATGGGCTATCCTCACAAAGACACGATTCCTCCTCCTCGTTGCAGTAACAGGAGTTGTGCTATTACTATGGCGCGGTCTCAGCGCAAGCGCCTCCGAAATGCAAAGGTTGGTGCCATGTCATCCCATGTCCTGCTCTGTCTACTGCTTCTGTGATCTGTATGCTAACCACTCTCGCCTTATGACAGTTTCTACTGCTGGGGTCCTTCAAAACCGCCAATGGAGATGACCCTTAATGAGCAACAAGCTTGGAGTGCTCACCTTCATACCCCTGTTATCTTCAACCACCACGCTCCGGTAGAAATCAACTCGTCCACCATCTCCCACGTCGACCTCAACCCCATCAAGTCTACCACCAAGGCCGTCGCCAACGAGGAGCGCGTCCTGATCCTTACCCCCCTCAAGGATGCCTCCAGGTATCTCTCCAAGTACTTTGAGCTGATCGCCGAGCTTACCTACCCCCACCACTTGATCGATCTCGCCTTCCTCGTCAGCGACTCTACCGATGACACTCTTGCTGTCCTTGCTTCCGAGCTTGACCGCATCCAGAAGCGCCCCGATCAGATACCCTTCCGCAGCGCCGTGGTTGTCGAGAAGGACTTCGACTTCAAGCTGAGCCAGGATGTTGCGGAGCGCCACTCGTTCGCTGCCCAGGGTCCCCGTCGCAAGGCTATGGGTCGCGCGCGCAACTACCTCCTCTCTGCTGCCCTCAAGCCTGAGCACTCCTGGGTCTACTGGAGAGATGTGGACATTGTCGACAGCCCCAAGAAGATTCTCGAGGACTTTATCGCCCACGATAAGGATATTCTCGTTCCCAGTATGGACAACCTCTCGTGAAAGACACCACATGGGCAACAGAAGCTAACATGTGATAGACATTTGGTTCCACCGCTACCAGAACGGCCGTGATATTGAGGGAAGATGTGGGTCTTGGATTTGTCGCCTGATAACTCGTTACCTTGTTACTAACCGCTGTATACCTCTAGTCGACTATAACTCTTGGGTCGAGTCCGATAAGGGTCGTAGACTTGCTTCTAGCCTCGACAAGGATGTTGTTCTCGCTGAGGGTAAGTTGATGCTCCAAAACCCCCAAGTTGACACCGACTAACATGGTTGTTCACAGGCTACAAGGAGTACGATACCGGCCGCACTTACATGGCTAGAATGGGCGACTGGCGCGACGACAAGGATGTCGAGATCGAGCTTGACGGAATTGGTGGCGTGAACATTCTTGTCAAAGCTGATGTCCACCGTTCCGGTGAGTCCACAACTTACGGCGCATATTCAAGGGAAGCTCCAGCTAACAAACAACCATAGGCATCAACTTCCCCTGCTACGCTTTCGAGAACCAGGCCGAGACCGAGGGTTTCGCCAAGATGGCCAAGCGCGCCGGTTACCAAGTCATTGGTCTCCCCAACTACGTTGTCTGGCACATCGACACCGAGGAGAAGGGTGGCAACGCATAAAGAGTCTATAAACGGATTCTCTCTGCATTGACATCCCATCTTTACCCAATATAAAACGGCGCGGCGGCGAGGAAAACGCAATTTTTTACATACTGTACGAAAGCCCACGACATACACATATCAAGATTCATCGAATGTTTCGCCAGCAAGCGTGGTGACAAGACCGGCGTTTTGGGAGGGCGGTTACGGCGGGACGGCTCGGATATTTTTTCTCTTCGTTTACAAGCAACTTTCAAGTCACACTACTCGACCTCGGGCTTTCCGATCAACCGCCTCCCTCCTTCCCTCACCGAAGCCCGCCCGCCGTCTATATCCTCGCTCGAATGCGGTCGATAGCCCCGTGTTGACATCCGGTAGCCGGTAACCGGTAACCGCTATCCACATCCCTAATGAGCGGAAACGCCCAATATAACAGACGAAGAAACGTGTACAAGGAAGGGTCACAAAAAACCAGTTAATAAAGCATTTTGGTTAACGTATGTAAAGAGGAGGGATGAGGAAAAGCGATGAAAGAAAGGCATGTGTATACATCATGAATGGATAAACCAAAAAGTTGTGTTGGGAGCGGTTTTAGGTTTTGCTGAGACGGAGGTTGTTTGCGGAAGAGGCAAGGGCAGAGGCTAGAAGGAAGCGAGACATCCAACTTAGTTTAAGCGGACGTCTTCTCTTTCTGCGCCTCTTCCTCCAACAGCTCAACAAGTTTTTGGTTGCCACGGTTGGGTTGGCGGGTCGGTTGGCTTTTTTTCCGAACTGGTAAAACGGAAAGAAAGAAGAATGAAGTTAAGACATAATATACTATACTTATTTTTCCTGCTCACAGAGATGTTACCACCTGTTTTTCTCCCCTCTTGTACCTTTTTTTTTCAGATAGACAAAGTCTCATTGCGTTATCATAGAAAAGAGGGCTTGGTGTGCGGATGGTTTTTGTTTCACTTCTCTTCTCTCATTGTAGGATAGCTTACTCTTTTTCTGTTCACCCTTGTTCAATATTTGTTAACGTAGTGATGAGAGTCACGATTCTGTCTCTTGATAGACTGAATCACATATCCCACCTTTAATACTGCCTTGTGACTTGGTTGGCAACTTGGAGTACATCGATATATGGTTCAAGACTGCGACACTTCAACCTCAACAGAACACTTCAACACTTCCTCGACACCTCAATACTTCTCGATAGGTACTTCACTAATTCATGACACTTCAACACTTCAACAATCCGCCTAGCCATCTAACACTCAAACAATTCCCCATTCAAGAACACTTCCACATTTCAACCCAAACCCGCTATCTATGTAGAGGTAGTTTGGCTTACAAACAAAGCTACCTACTACCTGACATTGACCACGAACCTTAAGCAGGGTCTGCACAACGTAAGTAGCAACCGGCGAGCCAAAAACTTACTGGAGTCTTCAGGGTCGTCAGTCCAGTTTGACCTCCTTTGGGACACTCAAGAGGTGAATCTACGCGACATGATCCTTAGTTTTCAGGAACTGTTGCCAATTTGTCTATGTAGTACTGTAGATAAGTTTCACGGTTCAAACTCCGATTCTCTAGAGCCACCTAAAGTTAATTAGACACTTCAGGCTTTCCAGTGCCAGCAGCTTCGGGCTCTCACGACACAGCCTTTTCTTGTCCTTGGGGTGTAATATGAGTTAGAACTAAGTGGGCATACACAGCAGGCATCTACGGCTGTCTGTCATCTCTTTTTGTTTTCTCTCAACTCTTCACCCCAGCCAAATATGGAGTGAACTTTGGTTTCACGTTTCAGGGGGTACAGATACACTGAACATTGAGCGGAGTTGGTCTACTTCTCAGGATTCATAATACACTTATTCAACGTACATCAGCAAAGGCCATGACTACCATGTCTCGCCCACTTTCTCTCCCCTCTCTTCACTCTCTCTTTGTCTTGCCGTGCCTTGCTTGACCTTGTTTTGAAAAACCCCAGGATAAAGTCTATTTGCCCATTTCTCTATATTTATAGGTAGTCTTTTCTCCCATGGTCTTCACCACCTCCTCTCCATCTCCATCCTCATGTTCCACTGTAGCGGTTGCGCGAGTCTTGAGAACGCGATTGCCCGTTGCCGCCGCAAACTCTCAAGACTTCCTGTCCACCTTTTCTCCTTTCCCGTCTTCCTCCTTTCTCCTCCTTTCCAGAAAGCAAATTTGGCACCAAGTTGTCGGGAGAAATCCAGAGTTCCAGATCGAGAGGGACGAGTATGTTTCTTGAGCGCGCATCCACTTTATTTGAATGTTGGTATCTTAGGCTTCCGAATCCTATCGTAGCAGTTCCCCAGCTTTCCATCTTCGGTATCGTTTCCTCTCGAAGTCGGCCAGTCCAGTTCCCACCGCGCGGATAAACGGAAAACCTTCCCTCTCCTTCCCTCCCCCACTCCTTTTCCCATCCTTTCCTCCTGAAATCCCTAAGCTCGTAAAATGGCGCGCTTAGTTCTTGACAATGGTAAGGGTGTCGAGAGCGACCTTCTCGGCGGCCTCGGCCTCGATCTGGTCAATCAGGGGGCGGAGGTAAGGGACGTCCTCCTCCTGGGTGGTCCACTCGTTCTTGGGGAGGAGCTTGTGGGTGAGGGAGAGCTGGGTGGCGCGGCGGATGCGGTAGATGCGGTCGTAGGACTCCTTGGGGGTCAGGCGCTTGAGGGCGGCGAGGACGGTCTCGTTCTCCTCGGAGATGAGGTCGTCGGCGCTGTAGTAGGTGGTGATTGGTTAGTCATTGGTTGGTGTCGGGTTATATGGTATGGTGATAGGTTGGTCCTGCTCGGGGACGAGAAGAGGAAGGTAGGGCGAGCCATTGAGGTAGAACCGGGCCGAGGAGGGACATATGGATGGAGGTAGGACATGATGCGATGGTCGATAACAGGTAGACACAGCTACAGTCTACGTCACAGGGGTCCCGGACCGGACCACGGCTGGCCATCGAGGTGTAAACAACAAGGAAAACAACAACAAAACTCACCGGAGACCCATCTGACGGTAGCCGGCGGCATTGGTGTACCAGGTGGCGACGGGCTTGAGCATCTTGGACAACCAGCCCCGCTTAGCGACGGCCTGAGCAAGAGAAGGGGCAGACATGGCGATGGATGATGGTCGACCGGGGGGGGGGAATTGGTTAGTCGGTGATAGGTGGTGAGGTGAGGTGAGGAAGTCGAGTCGAGTCGTCGTCTACTCTCTTGTCGTCTGGTCTGGAATGGCTACAAAGGCACACTTGAAACACCAAGGTCGAGATTCAAGATCGAGAGGTCGGAAGAGAGCTAACAAATTGCCGCGACCCGCAAATCAGCACACCCGCGAAAGTCAGCCAGCCAGTAGCGCACTGTCCACTAAGACTTAAGAAGCTCCGGGTGCTCCGTGCGTTTTTCTTTCCCTTCTTTCTTGGGCCCAGTCCTCCCGTCTCTCCGGGAAAAGCCGTGTTCTGCTCTGTGATTTGTTGATGCCTCAAAGCTCAGGCTCTAGAAGGATAGGGACGAAAAAGGTCCAAGCGACCGAAGTTCTTTCTTGGCAAGGGTTTGGGTTATCGTCCGAAATGCCAAGTCAGAAATGAGGTAATGGGCCATAGTGGGTCTAGAATTGGAGCCGACGAACAGGGCGCCGCTTTTTTGCGGACGACGGGCGTTGAAGCTTTCCTTTCCCGCTGCAGTGGCTGGTGGAAGGGTGAGGTTACTTTGTGACCACACTGGCGCTGGTTTCGCTGCAGTGAAACTGCATCTCGACTGATATCATCTCTTTGTCCGGGGAAAGAAGGTTAAACGGTCTGGCTGCCGTCCGTCTGAAGTTTTGGAAACTTGAGACTTTTTCGACCTGACAAACACATGATTGTCTGAACACTTGGACACTCAACTGAAGGAAAACACGTGCGGTCCCGGAGTCCCTTTTTTCTGTGTCCTTCATGACTCGGAGGGGGAAATTCGAGGCAGCACCCAGCGCATCCGGAATTGCTTTTCATTCACTACGGGAGTCACGGGCTGGTAGTGGACAATCAGGGAGGTGACATAATTGGTGACCATAATTGGCATCCGCGTCCCCCGCCGTCATTGGCGTTGGCTGTTGTTCTTTCTGCAGTTACCAGTTTGCTCTTAAAGAATATCTCCATCCTCGGCCTCAAACCGGCATTCGCACACAAGGAAGTTACTGTTATGAGAAGAGCTTGACTTGATAAGACTCGTAGCTTCCACTTTTGTTGAACAAACATCATCCTTCTCTTTTGCCAAGAAACCCGTTGAGAGACGGGACTTCCCCCACATTCGCCAGTCTTTCCTTCCCTCCACTCACCTGCATACCTAGTTAGCTCTGCACCAGGTAGCAGGCTCCTGCTCGTGTGCTCGAATCCTACGAAATCTGTCTCCAATTCCGAAAAAGAAACTTCCTCCAACTCTCAGTTCCTAAGGATCAGCGCCAGGGCCTCTTTTCAGCGCAAAAACCCGACTGCCCCGAGCCTCACGGACGAACGGTGATATTTGGACATCTGGTGTTATCGACACCTCGGTCGTCGACTCAGTCCCCCAAGCGAACCTCTTCCCCGCACCCGCGCTAGTACGCTGTTGCAATTCCCCAAGCCGGGAACATCAGGAACAGAAGAGCGTCACAAGCCAACAACTTCCAAAGCTCCAATAAGCCGAGATCACCACCCTCTTTTCCGACACTACGGCGGCACCACGAGTCACCGATTGCTCCGGGGTCTCTGAGTTGCGACCAGCAGAGACCCCTCGAACCACAAAGACGCATCAATCCGTCTTGATCCCTCCGGACCGTCCCCCTGCGTCTCGATTCCCCAGTCCCAGTTCCGACTCGAGTCGCGAGAAGGGTAGCGGCATGTCTAATCTAGAAACCCAACACCACATCTCCCACTCTGCACCAGATTCCGCGAGTTCGGCAGCAGAATATGGCGTGCGCTCCTTGACAGGCGCCCGGCCACCTGACACTCTTGTTGCGCCCGCCAACTCGGTGACCGAAGAGCTGGAGACAGCAACAGCAGGGCACGACATATCAAAGGAGAAGACAGACACAGCGCCGGCAGACTCAATGCAAGATCCTGACCGGATGACGGGCCTGGAAAAATGGGCAGTTCACGCTTCGGATTCGCAGTTCAATGCGCTCGCCGGCGCGGTGGGAGGCTTCATGTCCGGTGTGGTTACCTGTCCGCTGGACGTCATAAAGACCAAGTTGCAGGCGCAGGGCGCGGGACATCATGTGGGCCAGCCCAGGATGTACAATGGCTTGATAGGCACGGCGAACGTAATATGGAGGCATGAGGGCATTCGCGGCATGTATAGGGGTTTGGGTCCCATAATAATGGGTTACTTGCCCACTTGGGCCGTCTGGTTCACGGTCTATAACAAGAGCAAGATATGGATAGGCGAATACACCGGTATGTCTTGGGTGTTTGGTACGGAGACTGGGCGTCAATGCTAACATATATGCGACAGACAAACAAGTTGCGATAAACTTCGGCGCATCCATCGTAGCTGGCGGTACCAGTACCATTGCCACAAATCCGATATGGGTCATCAAGACCCGACTGATGTCGCAGTCAGCATCCCACGACAGTTCTCAGCTCTCGCTTCACCCCAGGGAGTCCAACACGCCCACGGTGCGCCCATCGATGCACTCCCCTTGGCACTACAAGTCCACGTTCGATGCCGCGCGCAAGATGTACACCACCGAGGGCATCCTATCCTTCTACTCCGGATTGACACCCGCCCTTCTGGGTCTCACTCACGTGGCCGTCCAATTCCCCGCCTACGAGTTTCTGAAAACCAAGTTTACTGGACAAGGCATGGGCGGCGCCGCCAGCGATCAGAACGCCAAGCCAAGCTTTATGGGCACCTTTGCCGCCTCAGTCCTCTCCAAAATTTTCGCCAGCAGCGCGACGTATCCTCATGAGGTCATTAGGACGAGATTGCAGACACAGCGCAAGCCTATGCCGGGACAGGAGCACTTGCAGGGTTTGGGAGTGGTTTCCAAGAATGGCGCTGAGTCCAAGCAGCTGGCTCCATCAGCGCCCAAGTATAGGGGCGTGATAACCACCTTCAAGACCATTCTCAAGGAGGAAGGCTGGAGGGCGTTTTACGCTGGCATGGGAACCAACATGATGAGAGCCGTCCCCGCGGCGACCGTCACCATGCTCACGTACGAGTACGTCATGGACAACCTGAAGCAAGCGAGGAAGCACGGAAAGGAGAAGCTGGCCAAGGTTGCGGAAGTAGCGGCTGTGAAGCCTGAGAGTGTTGAGAAGTGTGAAAGGCCTGAGATTTCCAGTAGCGCTAGCAGCTAGAGACGTGCAATGGGATCGAAGGGTGCTCACATGTCTTGAGTAGGGCCAGGGTTCAGAAGTTGGATATTTATATGGAGCTTGCATATGGCGCGAAGCGAACATGTCCATGCACAGATGGGGAATGCGCAAAGCGGAATGGGTTTGGGCGGGCAAAGGCAAGATAGGATCACATTGCGATACCCCGGAAGGGCGGTACTGGTACTCGGGATTCTTCATATATATACATTTGGTATACCGGTATAGCGAGCATATATAGTCTTATGTCGAGCATACTTGTGCTTGATTGTTCGATTCTTCTTGGAAACTGTATTGGGCGAAGCATCCTTTCTTCACAAAATCACCACCAGCCTGTTCAACGATCCCGAAAGAATGGTTACGACATAATTGCTGCTAAATACTGATGTTACTTCGTGATGGCAGGAGCTTTGGAAGGGGCTCCCATTACTCGGTCCCCAACCGGCAAAAGGGGAAAGACGCTCGGTCCACTTACACGTATCCCATAGTACGATCTTAATAGTTGCGACCGAACGAACCTCGAACGATACAACCAACAAGTCGAAAGACAGCATTCCATCACCTTCAACATCAACGTCCACCTCGAATAACAATCTCCGTTACTTAACTTTGTTCCCCTTTACCTGACTTTCTGAAAAATCTCACAAACGTCAAAAGGCCGCTCAAACGCAAAATGAAGACCTCAAGAAACATCAACCCAAAGGTTAGCTTTTCCCAAAGTCCCAATATCCGAACGCATCCTCGAGACACTCGCACTTACACGATCAATGCACCAACAGACAGTAATGGCGCCCCTGGCTGCCTTTACTATGGCTTGGGTTTGTTTGCTTACACTAGGCGCATTCTATTCAGGCTGCGAAGGTTAATGCTGTAAGTCACTTCACCCTCGTCCTTCCATGACCTACGTACCCAGGCACATGGCTTTGGAATATCAAACCAATGTATTTTCTGTATTGCGCCTCATACCCAAGTCACTTCCTCCGTTTCACATCCACTTCTAAGTGTTTTCATTCTATCACCACACTTGAGCACATTAGACTTTGAAACACCGAGCCAGGCAATTGTTGTCTCTAATGTGCTTTCATCGGATAGTCTAGAAGTCATATCCTTCACAGTGCCTCTACTGACTATGGACATGTTCTGTTCATTCACACATTAGAAAATTACGCGGGAACATAACCAGCAGCAACAACACCAGCAAGAGCGAGAGTATCGCGACAGGCAGGACAAGTAACCTCGCACGGCAGAGATATCTTGAAGAGTGGATGAAGAGCTAGGTAGAGTGAGACCGAGTTGATGAGCGTAGTCGTCAGGTCTCAGGAATATACCAAAACGCTTATGTATCATTTAAACAAGGCTATTGTCCCTATTGTGCTTTCGTCTAATGGTTTCAAAATTCACAAGAAAAAAGAGGACTAACCGCCGACTCTCTCTATTAACACATCACATAAGCTCACTTGGGAAGAAAGCCAGCAGCAACAACAACACCATCAAAAGAAATAATATCAGGGCTCGTCGATTGCCAAGTCTATCATACTGTCTCCCACCAAAACCACAACTCCAAAGTAAAAAGAGGTTCCTCAATCCGCCTACCGATGAACATGCTTGCTGTTGTGAGAGAAAGATACTTGGCTTCACACCCCTATCCCCCTTTGTCTCCTCTTTGGCCCTTCCCCTACAGTGCCTACCTCACTTATTTACCGGTACAAAACACCACAAGCAAGCAAGAAAGCCAAGATGAATCAAGAAGTTCGGGCCCTTCGCTTTGGCTGGACTCTCAGGCTGATTGAGGTGCAGATCTGTAACTTGAGACACTAGCTGCTCAGGCTTCTAAACTCGATTGGAGGCAACGGTAAGTAGAGATCTTCTTCGTTGCTGAGAACTCATCACAGCAAAGCTAGCTCTCCGTTGTCCTACTCTGGTTATAATGCAAGTCATCCTCGTCCATTGGCGCACCACAGGTAGCCATCTCATTCCATTCAAAGTTGTCCATAACGAAACTCCCGACAACGAAAGCTCGATGAAAACGATGTGAGAGTGATGTGAGGATTGAGACTGGCCTGGTCTGGGTCCTCGACCGACGAAGCATCCCCCATCACCCACGAACGAGTTTCGCCAGGCTCCTCACCCAATGGCCAGACAACACCCTCATCAGCTTCTATACGCCGGTCATCCTAGATGCTATTGGCATTACCAAGGGTACCACCAACGGCACCACTCAGCAACTGATCATCCTCGGCTGGACGTGCTGAGGACTGATGGTTGCTGCCCCGATGTCGACGATAGCACCAAGATTTGCGAGAAGAACGATGTTCCTATGCTGCACCATTGGAGCCACACTGGTCTACATAGTGTGGACAGTGTCTTGTGCTAAGGCTATGGAGAGTAGCGCAGGCTGAAAAGAGGGACGTTCGGACGTTCAGGGACAATTGACATATATTTGCAAGGTGGCATGGAGAAATGGTGGAAGAGTGGCTGGCAGTGAACTGAGTTTCCCAAATTAAATCCCGGGAAGAAGAACCAGATCAGAACATACACTCAGTAACATACCTTCCCCGATTGCCCCAGGCGGGCCTCGCTTTTAGCATGTCACCAACACCAGCACCAATATCGAGCCATTGGTGAAGACTGAGAAGAGTCCACATCATCACACCATGCGGAGCACCATCGTCGGGGTCATCACCATTAGGGAGATAGATTACCAAGAGGAAGGACGGCATTTACAAGAGAAAGCGCGTCATCTCTGGTACCCGGACCCCAAAGATTACCGTGGGTAAACCGGGACGCATATCGCAGGCCCTCACACAGAAAGGATGTGATGAGCGGGAGGCATTACCTTCTCTAACTTCCCTCCAATATTTCCCTGCGTCCAATACACTTTTTCATCATATTCCCATCTCTCTCCCAAGATAATATGGAAAGAACTGATCAACGCGTATTTCATCCCATGTTCCCAACCTGCCCAACCAAAAGAATATGAGACGAGGAGGTTGTTACTTGTCCGAACAGCTTTCAGCCACATCACCATAGCCTCAAACTCGAACCATTGTGAAATCGACCTCATCGCCGCTTGCCTCCCTCCCGCTCAACCCAAGAAGCTAAGATTGCACCAGCTTGGATGTATGGTTGCCCTTATCATCATACTGAACCATGACTACATCCGACGGAGAGCTACTACCATGCATGGGTCGCCTCCGCCGACGGTGAGCTGGCGAGCTGTCCTCCACCTTACGAGTCGACTTACACCCCTTCCGCACAGACGACACCCGGAACAAGGTTGGTAAGTGAAGCATATGATGCCTACCTACTGTCCATCTGCCGCTGAAGGCCCCATCAAAGTCCAAACCCGGGAATACCTCCCAACCATCGAGTCACCAGTCACCAGGCACTATGTATGAGAGACCGTACTCCAGACAGTCGGAAACACATCGGACCCCCAACCTCGGAACCGAACCATATCACAAGCATCGCATCCGCCGAGTGCCGACTTTAAAGTCACTAAATTTCTCACCCAATTTCGCTACACACCCGCGATGACCATGCTTGCTTGGTCTACCTCTTATCTACATAATCAAAGAAAAGGTAGAGCCAATTGAGGAATAACACGACGCCAGCAAGACACTCTTGGATGACGACGACGACGACGACGACGACGACGACGACGATTCCGCCATGAAATGGAATGCGATCATGAACGTTCCACCAGACCAGAAAGAAAGAAATCCCTGCAGCGTCTGCGTGTTAAAGAATTGAACGCGGTATGTTTGCTCGCTTCTTCGTTGACCGGGCCTGGCAGTGAATAAATATATACCGCATTTCAATGCTTGTAGAGTCGGTTGTAAAGAATGGCCAACTGTTCTTGGTTGGGTGTTTGGGTGTCGCTCCAGCAGGGCGCGGTATAGGTGGTGTTGAACGTAGTGTGTTTTTCGTGTTGGGTTGAGGACGAATGTGTCGGTGTATGTGCACGAGAAATGTGGAAGTGGAATAACCACAAATGGATTTCCTGGTGCTTATGTTTGAACAAACTTGTCGAGTGTGTCAAGTGGGGGAATAGAGAGAATAAAAGGGAGGATCTATTCAGAGAAGTTTGACGCTGCTATTGTGTGTTTCAACCACTCGTCTGCTATACCTAATGATAATTATGTTATTGTCTATTTCAAAGTACGCCTCCCACTCCTCTTCATGTGACGTTATTGTGAGTTTCTAATGATCATCTGGCGCTCGTATAAATATCCTCCTCTTTCTTTCTCCTCGCTTGAAATCTCCTCCTTTCCCGATCATCCAAGTTACTCACAGTTTCTCCTTCCTCGTTTCTCGTCTCAAGTTTCCAGCCTTCACAATTTCCAAACCTCAGTCTTCACACAATCTCAGATCAAAACTTCAGTTCAAGCACACGTTCGAACTCAACCTCAACCCCATCTTAACCAACCCTCTCTCCTTCCCAACCAACCAACCAAGCCACCAAGCAACCAACCCCATCAACCAAGCCAAACCAACGCCAACAAAATGGCCCCCTACCCCAGAACCCCCAGAACCCCCAGAAATACCAAGAAAGACCGTCCCTCCCCTCTCTTCCCTCTCCACCCCCGCCCCTGGTTCTGGCCTCCTCTCAGAACCGGACCCGGTCCCCGAACTCCCGCTCCTCGCCCTCGCCGTCCTGCGCCCAGGGCTCCGCCTAATACGCCTGCGCCTGATTCGCCTTTGCCTGGGTCGCCTGCTCCTGGTTCGCCTGCTCCTGAGGCCGCTCCCGCTCCTGCGACTGCGATTGCTGAGGATGCTCCTGCCTTGGGTGAGGGTCAAGGTCAGGGTCAAGGCCAGGGTGAGGATGAGACACCGGGTGAGGGTGAGAGGCTTCTTAAAAGTTTAAGAAGCGGCGGGAAAAAAGTCACTGGGCTAGCCCACTACCTTTTCACTGCGTTTGGACAAGACATTCCATCTGATATCAAGGTTGATATCAAAGACAAGCACAAGCACCTTGGGGGGGAAGACAAACGGAGCAAAGTTGCTCGGTTGGCAATCGCTGGCACTGGCAAGGCCTCCTTTGGTTTCATGGCTAGTCATTATATCCACGTTGACTTGGTGGTAATGCTGGATTGAGCTGAATAAGGGATGATACTCGAGTTGAGCGGAGAATGAGGGCTTAGCATGGAGGCGTATTTACGGACAGACAAGACCTTTAGAGATGGACGATAGGTGTTTGACGTTTTGATCGAGGAGTAGCGGGATTCTGACGAGGCATGGCTGTTTCTTTTTCTTTTCTTTTTCGAAAATCGTCCAGTTCGGCTCCTCAGGAAGGGAGGTGATAAGTCTGGTATTTCGTTCAGTTGCTAGGCAACGACACTTGCTGATACTGGAAAGTAACTTCTACTTATGTAACCCCGCCTCAAACTTCTCCAAGTCATAAAACCTCGGAACGATCGCGTTGCCGTTGAAGATGCGACCTTCAAGTGCGTTGACAGCCTATAATTGCGATGTCATATAAGTTAGCAAAAAATCAATCCTCAAGATCACCATCCTCACCACCACCCCCAATCCCCAGTAGAAAGAAGAAGAAGATGAAGAAGTACTTACCCTCAGCGCAGAAACCCCATCCGTAAACCGAATAAACACCCTCCTCCCCTCTCTCTCCACAAACAACCTCATAACCCTTCCATACTTCTCTCCACACTCCGTCCCAATCTCCTCGTACAGGTCTCCGCCCTCCACCTCCTGCCTTAATTCCTCATCACTCATCCCATCAAGCATGTGATCCAACACAATCACCTCGCTCATCTTGCCAAATCTGCCACCATCCTTCTCCTCTGGCTTTGATGATGCAGACTTCCCAGCAATAATCTTGCCCCTCCCACCAGGCTCCGCCCATCCACCGCCTTCAGCATCGGACCGCTTCTTGCGCTTCTCAACCTTGACTTGCAAGGCGGATGTGATGCCTGATTCTGAGGCTCCCAAGCCGGAACCGGCGGTCCAGCCATATTTGGACATGAGACGAGCGGCGAAGCCGGCTTGGCCTGGTAGTTTTGATTTGGGAGCGTTGGCATCTTCTGTTTCTTCTGAGGCGGAGTGGGTGCCGAGAGGAACGGGGATAGCGTCGTAATTGACTTCTTCATCTTCCGAGTCGATGTCCATTGCGTCGTCTCCAGAGCCTTCTGGGGCGGAAGGCGGTTGTGGTGGAGCTTCGTAGCGGACTGGAGCGCGGGATATGGTTGCTGGGTCTGTTGTTGAGGGTTCGGCTGCGGGTGGTTGTGGTGGAAGAGGGAAGGTGATCGTCGTGGTGGCGCCATGCCTGATAATGCTAATCTTCGGGCGTATGCTTCGTCGGCAGATTCGTCTACGGGTATTGCTACCGCTGGCGCCGGTGCTGACGTGGTTGTTGTAGCTCGTGGTGGTGACATGGGTGGTGGTGCAAACGAGAAAGAAGCCGGAGGCGCGAACTGGTCTGTAGTGTATCCTGTCAGCAGTTACCCTCCCAGATAGTCTTGACCCCAAGTCCATAAACATACTATTCATCACCCTCCTATCGTCCTCCTCTTCCTCATCACTCCTCCTACTATCAAAACTATCCCTCCTCTTTCGTCTATGCGCATACAACACCGCCTTCCAGTCGCGGATCTCTCTGATGCGCTCGTCGCTGCGCAGGTATTCCTCGACATTGGTGGGTCTTGCTGGATCGTAGAGTTCGTCCCAATTGGTCTCAACTGGCCGGTCATCGTTCTTCTTCTTCTTTCTTCTGCGCCCGCCGCGTTCTCGTCGGTTATTGGATCCGCTGTAGAGGTACTCGTCGTCTTCGGTGGCTACCCAGTCGGCTAGGGTATTGCGCTGTTGGGGCACAGCGGCAGCCGCTGCTGATGTTGTGGTAGCAGTAGTGCCATTGTTGTCGGGTTCGGATGTCTTGACGGTTGCTGCGACAGCTGCTATGGATATGGAGGGTGGCGCCTTTGGGAGGGTTGGCTTGGGTTTGTTGGGTTGCTTTACTTGTGGTCGGCGGATGGGTTGGAAGGCGAACGCTGTCAGGTCTGGATTAGCAATCGCGCAATAACGAAAACGACCCGAGCAATTCGCTAACCTGGATTTACGGCCTTCTTTGCTGGGACGTTTTGCTGCTTGTTTGCGACAGCATCATTGTTGGCAGATGGCGAGTCGCTTGTGCCGCCAGGGTCGAGAAGGTTGGCGTAGAGGGACAGGCCTCCTCGCGCGGGAGGTGGTCCTGACATGTTGTGTGATGGTTGTATGGTATCAAATTGGATGTGGGAGGATAATCGGCAATGAATCAGCCCATGGGATATGAATCGGAGTTGTTGATGACAATGACTTCAGCCATGTTGACGGAAAAGAAAGACCGAGGCGCGATCTGGGGAACCGTTGCCCGCGCCTGGACGGGAACTGATAAGGAAAGTTGGGCCCCACTTTTGCACCTATCCATGATCCCCAGTCCACTGTAACTCAGCTGCTACCCGCCAAATGCTCGACCCCTGAGGAAAATAAACAAACTCCCCTTTTCATCTTCCTCGAGCTACACCAATTCACGATCATGGGCAATGGCACCACGAGACCAGTCTCTGGAATACACACCACACATTTCTTTGGACCACGGCATGCTTGTAGAATGGACGGATAATGTTAAGTCAGTAAGATGAAGGAAACTATGGACCAAGGTCAAGATCTTGTTCCGTCTTCTAACCTTCCGATGTCAATACTTCATATCACCACACCCTTCACAGCACCAAGTTTCCAACGATGTTCAAATCACATTCATTCTTCATTATTCTACGCCTATTAATGCAACATCAACATCCCACCATTAGCACAAACAACCTGTCCCGTGCACCACCCGGCCTCCTCACCACACAACATGCCCACCACGCCCGCAATCTCCGTTGTCTTCGCCAGTCTACCATGCCACTGCTTCGCCTCCTTAACAGCCTCCTTACCATGCAGATCCTCTCTCGCCTTCATCAACGGCGTGTGCTTGATCCACCCCTCAATGCCCTCCAGGAACTCTTCTGAGTTGGACGCGTACATGGGTCCCTCCACAGGGCCGGGGTTGACCGCGTTGACAGTGCAGTTCTCAGCCAGCTCGCGGCTCCAGGTGCGGGTCATGGCCTCGATGGCGGCCTTGGAGCCGCCGTAGACGGACTGGCCTACGAAGCCGGTCGACGAAGAAACGGAGGAGATGTTGACGATGCGGCCCGAGCGGTCCTTGGGAAGGTAAGGCTGGGCGGCCTGGACGAGCAGTAGAGGTCCGAGAACGTTGACGCGGTAGGTTTCTGTGAAGTCATCTACCTTGACGTCGGGGATGTTGTCGTTGCGGGCAATGCCGGCGTTGTTGATGATGATGTCAACTTGGAGGGAGCCATCGGTCTTGGAGAAGGCGGACTTCGCGGCGGCGATGATGGCTTGGGGACCTTCGAGGGTGCCGATATCGGCTTGAACGGGCACGGAGGAGATGGAGTAGGTCGTGTTGAGACGGTTGGAGAGCTCGGAGGTTAAGGAGGCGGAGGAAGGGGTGGTGTAGTTGAGGATGAGGTTGCACCCTTTGGAGGCGAGGTTCTCGGCGATGGCGGCGCCGATGCCTGGTGCTGTTAGTTAGTGTCTGTAATGGTGATTTCGGGACGGGTAAGAGTTACTAACCTCTAGAAGAGCCGGAAACAATGGCAAGCTTGCCATTGAGTGGTTGATGAGACATCGTGAACGTTGTTGTCGTTCTGGTCGAACTGATGGGTATAAGTGATGGTGGTGGGGTAGCTAGAGGCTGGGTATCAAGAGAAAGGGTATCACTGCAATCAAACACACAAGTAAACAGAAGGAGAAGATGAAGACCACGAGGAAGTCAATTGAGTGAAAGAGAACATGTATCTATATACAATTTCCACTCCGTAACGAGAACATTCTCACATTTCCCCCATCGTCCGTCGGCTATTATTATTAAGAATTCGGAGAAGCTTTGAGACGAAGCTTCCCCCGCATCATGCTGCATCACCGGTGTTGGCTGTCCTTAGCTCCCGGGCTGCTCTGCCCCGCGATTTGTGCGGCTATAGCAGCCGTCCCACCGTGAAGCTTTGCCGTCAGGGGTCAGGCAGTCTGGATTCCACACGGGAAGAGCCCCACATTGACGGAGTGCGGATTGTGGAGACTGAGCCTCCCACCACCACCGTAGCGGAGCCGGCGTCAAGCAGTCTCCAATTCAACATTGACAACTTGTGAACTGTTTGGCGACCGCAACACCGAAGCACCGATCCCCGACGTTGCCCAACGACTCCCGCGCTTCTGTAAGTCCGGCCCTTGTTCAAGCCCGCTTGATACTAGCTTGGTATTTGCCGTTGCCGGGGATACCTACACCACTGTTGACATAGCTCTCGCTAACCAGTCCAGCTCCTCCCCATAGAGCCCCTCCCAGGTTGAAGCTATCACCAAGTCCTCACCTACCAAACCCCCTCCCCCTCAAAGTCCAACCACCAATCCCTTCACCCACCACAACCCCATACAACCGCCAAAATGGATATCCGCGTCCTCCGCCCCTCCGACATCCCTCTGATCCAGCACGCCAACATCGAGAACCTTCCCGAGAACTACTTCCTCAAGTACTACCTGTACCACGCGCTGTCGTGGCCTCAGCTGTCCTATGTGGCCGTCGACGTTTCGCGCCCGGCCAAGTCTGCTTATGACTACCCCAAGATCGTCGGCTACGTCCTGGCCAAGATGGAGGAGGAGCCGACGGACGGGGTGCAGCACGGCCATATCACCAGCTTGAGTGTCATGCGCACGCATCGCAGGCTGGGAATTGCGGAGAAGTTGATGAGACAGAGTCGTACGTTTTTTCCCCTAGGCCTCCCTTTTCCTCTTCCCCCCTACTTTCCCTCTCTTCCTTTTCCCCTTCCCTTGCCTTCCCCTTGGCCTTTTTTTTTTTCTTTCCTCGCTACGCTCGAGGGTACCTCATCTTTCGAAAACGAATGCTAACAACTGGGTTGCGCGGTGTAGAACAAGCAATGGTAGAAACCTTCGGCGCGCACTACGTCTCCCTGCACGTGCGCGTCTCCAATGCCGCCGCCATCCACCTGTACCGCGACACGCTCGGCTTCAAGACCGAGAAGACGGAAGCCAAGTACTACGCCGACGGCGAGGACGCCTTTTGCATGAAGCTCGACCTGTCCTATATCCGCGAGGCGATCCAGGCCGAGCAGCTCGAGCAGGAGGGCGGTGACAAGAGGGAGAAGCAGCAAATTGAGGAAGGCAAGGGTGGCTCCGAGGGGGTAGATGAGGGTGAGGCGGTTGGTGATGTTGGTCGTGATCCTGAGGCTGATAAGGATAGCAAAAAGGAGGATAAGACGGTCAAGGTCAAGGTTGGTAGGGGGTTAGGTGTTGGTGAGTTGGTGGAGAGGGATGAGAGTAAACACTAGATTGGACTTGCGCAAGTCTGGGATGGGAAAAGAGACGAAAGGGGGAAGAGCGTGTGAATTAGACTTGGCATTACAGGCTGGGGCTTGGGAAAAGGAAAAAATGTTCAAGGAGACTGGCGTCTAGATCTTGTTCGATCACTTCAAAAAATGGTGGAAAGAATGAATGAATACCCACTTGATGACACGGCTGAATACTTGCGAAGAGATATGTGGTTGATGTGAGGCCAGATGTTGGTGCTGTAAACACCCATTCGTGCCATTGTACGGGACAAAAAAAAAAAATGCTGCACGAAAAGGGGCAAAGTAAACATTGGGCCGCAACATTCAGTAAGAACATCACGGCATAATACCGTTTCACGATGAAGCACTTTGAATATGCCTAGAGTAACAGCATTAACAAACAAGAAGAGCTTTTGTCTACGGTCAGCTATCACTCTATGACTCCCTCATCGTTCAAGAATCTCCATGAACTTTGAAGACGGCCTCTATAACGCTTGCCTGTCCAATAGAGTCTTAGGAACCATGGCCAAGTCCAATCACTACTAAATGTCCAGTGATCCCGGCTTCCGAGTGATAAGGCACTTCTAAACCTCAACCACCTCACCATCCTCCGTCCCATCCCTCGTCTGCCTCCTAACCTCCGCCAGCATCGCACCAGTCGACCCCGCTGCTGCCGCTGATCCTTCAATCCCTTCAACCGTCAACTTCTTCCCATTACTCCCACCAGCTGCCGCCCCCTTCTTGTCCTTTGGCGGCACAAACACCCCCTTCTTCAAAGTCCACCCCTCCCTCTTCCTCTTGGCCCACTCATTCTGGATCTTATATCTCACCAACTCTCCCGCCGCCCTCGCGTCCTCGGCGGAATCGTGCCCCAGTAACTTTCCACCCTGGACATCATCAACATCAGGCTCGATCTGGATGGCTTTATTGAGGTGCCATTCCATCAACATCTTTAGTCCGTACCGGTACGGCAAAGGCTTCTTTTGATGTGGGAAAAGGAGAACGGTGTCGATGAGCGTGGGGTGGCAGATGCGCATGGCGTTGAGATCGTTTTCTAGACCGTGGCCTATGAGCGGCGTGGTGGGGGATATGAGAGAGAACAAAAGGTCGCGAGCGACGGAGAGGGAGGGGACGATTTGCATCTTTTTGCGCTGGCCTGGTTCTGGCGGGTTCGTGGTAGTGGTAGTTGGGGTTTTGGCGGATGACTCGGTGTCGGTGACGGGGTCAAGAGGAGCGACGGGCTTCCATGGCTCGGCGTTGATGAGATCTTCCGGCCAGACGCCTGAGAAGCGAGAGTTGAGATCGAGGATCTCACCCATGGGCCGGACGAGGATGTCAAGGAGTTCTTTGCCGTCCGGCCAGTCGACTGCCGTCAAGCGGACCAGTTCGAGACCGTTGACCGTGTAGCACATCTCGCAGTCGAAGCAAACGGCGCGGTCCTTGGGTACGGATGGGTTCTCGGGGGTTTCCATGAAGGGCACGATAGTGGCTAACCGGGCCGGAGACTTGATGGTGAAGACGTGGGTGCTGCAGCTCGTACACCCGGTTGAGTCGCCGGCTAGCTGCTTGCAGCACTTGTAGGTCCTTTCTTGCTGGACGGTACTGGTTGGATCGCGCTCGGGGTAGAGGAGACGGCCCCAGTGGTAGGTGCAGGGACCGCCGGTGGTGAGAGCGCCGTCTTCTTCGCGACGGCCGGGGAAGACTTGGAAACGCTTGGTGCAGCGGTCGCAGACTTCCCAGCCCATGGCTGCCTCGATGCCCTCGCGTGCCTTCTTAATTTCCTCTTCCGATGGTGGTTCAGGGACGTAGCCGTGCTGGGCGAGTTCGGTGATGGACGTGAGTATATGTGGTAGGAAGGCGATCTCCTCTTTTGGCGTCAGACCTGTCTTGATTTCCTTGGGAGGACCGAGGAGGGCCTGTTTCTTCGAGTTTGCTTGGGTCGCAGCGGCTTTGCGTTCCTCCTCCTTCTTGATCTCGGCAAGGCGCTCTTCCAACCATTGCTTGGGCGTCATCTTCTTGTAGCCCATGATGCGGTTCTTAATGACATTGTTATAGATGGACGGCTTGTCCATCGCGATCTTCTCCTCCAAGTCCAGAGAAAGCCAAATTAGCTCTTGCGGAGTAAGAACCAACTTCTTGCTCTCCTGATCTTCGCTAGCCGCCTTTTCCATCTCTTTGTTCAGACGAGCAAATTGATCGTGTAGCATGGTCAGAGCTTTGAACCGGAACTCGAATGTAGCAGGCGCAACACCCTTGAGCATGCGAGGATTGAGTGTCTCGACCTTCCGAGCAGGCTGTAACTTGCGGATAGGAACCTTCTTCTCGGAACTCTTCTCGGGGTCTGGACTGGTTTGTGATGAAGTAGCTGCCGGCTTGCTTGCTGGGGTTGCGGGAGCTGCTGATGGAGTTGACTGGACAGATAAAACAGTTGGCTTTCGGCCCAATGGTGGGGGCGACACGGGTTTCTTCGCCGTCACAGGTTCCGATACGGGCTTCGATGGTTCTGCCGTTGTTGATGCTGTGCTCTGAGTAGGCTCTGATGACAACTTGCGACGCTTTCGCGGATTGTCATCTTCGTCTGGACCATCGTGTTTGGCCGATGCCGGAGCCTCCGGCTTCTTGTTCCAGCTGTGCTGAAAGAGACACTTGGAATCAGTGCACCTGTCGCCATGCAGGCAGGGGATCGACCCCAAGTTTTGTAAAACCGTTTCCATCGTTTGAGTGCGGGTTGGCCAAGGTTCAGGGTTTGCGAATGGCTTTGCTTCCTGCGAGTCGCCCCAGCGCTGGATAGACGTGTTGCTGATGGAGCGAGGGTGCGGCCTTGAGGGCAATAGAAGCGCAAGATGACGAGATCTTGAGAGTCTATTAGCGACCTCGCGCGTAAGTTTTGTAAAGTGCGTTATGGTAGGCAACTTTGACGGGTAACGAGGGTTGGTTAGGTATGGAGTTGAAGAAGTGATCTCCCCTTGAAGGAAGTTGACTTGGATGAGAGGCTCTCGTCAGTTGCCCCCCTAGAGAATTTAGGCTGATATAAATTTGGTTGAGGATATGATATGTTGTTTGTTGAACAAAAAGGGTGGGAGCTGCCAGTTGGGATGAAAATATCCAAAGGCGCAATCGACTGGGCGGAATCGGTCAAACAAGGAAGGTCCTACCCGTACCACTAAGAGCTACCAGTCGTGCCGTACGTAACGTGTATTAATTCCGTCTTGTCTTTCAGCCCACGTTGATGGAAACCGTTTGATTTTCAAACGAGGTGTTCATGAAGAGGTAGCGTCGAGAGAATCGTTGGGTCCGAAAGGGCTACTGAACGTCAGCTTGGGACTTTGGCGCAATTTTGTAAGTCGGATGTCTAAAATCCCCAGTCTTTCGAGTCAAAATCCTTGATGTCTTGGAAAGTGTTGTTGAGATGAAGTTGAAGACAATTCGAGATTGAGCCAAGAAACGGGAAACATGAGGCGGCAGCTGAGGCCCCTGCATTCGGTCATTGGTCCACCCAAGCGCCGCTAAAACGTTACGGGGATCCATGCATCCCTGGCGTTGAGGTCTGGGGTACCTTTTCCACCTTTTCATGATATCCCGTCTGTGAACTCTAATGGTTCGATGGTGGTGACTTTATTTTTTTTTTCAAAATCTCGGGTTTTCAGTAAAATATCAGCTCTTCTGCCAGCTTCTTCCAGCCTGTCATGATGTTCTGCCATGCCCTCAAGACCCTCTTCACCACTACATCCGTCAACTCGGGTATCATTTCGTATGACAAAGACCAACTCAAGTTCAAGCATGCTCCTATTGTAACAAGTGCCTAAGCGGGGAAGATACACAATGCTCATATCGTAATAGTACAGTTCCATTTTGGTCATTACCTTCCTTTACCCCCGTACCATAGGTATCCTGGTGGTCCCTTTCTGCAGAACCACCTCATCTTCATCCATCTCTCTTATTGAAGTCCTCCCATTTATGGCCTGCCAACGTTCATCAACAGGTTCGTCCCCTTGCCACCACCGGGCAGGTACGCCACGTTGGGGTTGGAAGCCAGAACCTGCGCGATCTCCCTGGAAGCCTCAATCTTTCTGATCTGGATCAAGCCATCGCCAGCCTTGGCAATAGCCTTGCTGATGGTCTCTGCACTCTCGGCCTCACCCTCGGCGCGGATGACGTTGGCCTGGCGCTCCTGCTCGGCGCGCTCGACGATGAAGCGCGCACGCTCGGCATCCTGCTGCGCAATCTGCTTCTGCTCGACGGCCTTGGTGAACTCCTTGCCGAAGGTCATGTGGGTGATGGAAACGTCCTCGAGCGCAATATTGAACTCGGCGGCGCGCTTGACCAGGTCGGCGCGGATGCGCTGCGAGACGGCCTCGCGCTGGGTGATGAGCTCGGCGGCGTCGAACTGGGCGACGATGGACTTGAGGACTTCGTTGCCGATAGAGGGGAGGACACGCTCGTCGTAATCTTGGCCGAGGTTCTGTGAGAATAGCAGTTAGTAAGCTGTCCGTCGTAAAGGTAGTCATCGGAAGGCGCAGGTTCAAGTTGTAAACGCACCTGGTAAATCTTGGGCAGAGCTTGCACCTCAGGACGGTGCAGGACTCTGAGGGTCAAGCTGACCATCTGCAAATCCTTGGAGCCGGTGGTGGTAGGGATGATGCGAGGCTTGGTGCGAACATCGAAGACGATGGCCTTCTGCAGCCATGGGATCAGGAAGTGTGTGCCCTCGTTGACGACGGTCTCCTTCACACCGGCAACTCTGTCGAAGATAACCGCCCGCGAACCACCCTTGACGTCGTAGATGGAGTTCTGGAGAAGAGCCACACCAACAGTTGCCGGGATGGCGAACTTGGTGAGCATGTCCAACCCTCTTGCCGCCATTGTGAATATCGGTTTCTTTGAATCGGTCGATTACGGGAGGTTGTGATAAAAGATCGAAAAGGTCCGACGGTTCAAGGACTCGAAGTGTTCGTGGATGGATGTGTCGTTTCCGGGGATACCTGAAGGTGGGCTATGGGATATCGCACTACGTCGTGGACCGTGGATCGTGGTGGTGGTGCTCCCCCAGTTCTCTAGCAACAGGCAAGCAGCAGCAGTCGTTCTGCGATGGATGGAGCTTCTGGCAAAAAGTGGAGTGCCATGCCGCCCGGACCAGGCCCAGCTCTCCAAGCTCCCCGCATGTCTTTGCTTCAGTGCTGCAATTCAGAACTTCAGTGAGGTTCATAGATTGATGGTCCGTGCACCTCGTTCACAGGCGGGCAGGTCGGATGGAGGCTCAAAAAGAAAAAGTACAAAACGTAAGTACCTCCCCACGCTAATCCCTTTTCAGCCTCCAGCACTCGGGATTCCGACTGCCAGTGACGGCTCCATGGCACTTGGCAACTGCCAACCACTCAGTGTCGACTGATTTCGAACTTCGTCAAACCCGGTCCAACGCCGCGCGAAGCTCTTCCCGAACCTTTACGACGACTGCGTCCTCACCACGACCCAATTGATACCCCCATAGCGCGTTTCGCGACAACACATATAATCAAGATGCGTCCCACTCAGATGATGCTCGGCGGCGGCGGCGGCGCCCCCATCGGCAAGCACAACCAGTCAGTCATTCCCAGCGTAGATTTCGAGAGAGAGCCCGGAACTTGGCACAAGCTTGTACCGGCGATGCGCCCTTTTCCCTTTGCGCCGGCACCCCCTCCGACCCAACTTTGGATGTTAACTAACATGCATGTCTGTATAGCTTCCTTGGTGGCTGGGGTAACTTTGGTGAGTAGGAACCTTTTGCACTTGACGATGCACCGAAACGAAAACACACGGCGATTCTTCAACAACGGGAAATACCGGGATGGCAGGAAATGGGGAATTATGAGGGAACGAGAGATGGCCGACTACACGGAGGAGGAAGAACCTTGATGACCGCCCGCCCACCCGTCCGCCCACACGCCGAAACCCTTAACGAACGAACCGACGAACCCGATACAGAAGAACAAGAACGATCTAACCATGTTGTTTCTCTTCCCGACGAATAGGTGGCATGAAGCAGAAGGGCATCATCTCCTACGGTATCAGCCCTAACCGCCAGAACCCCCTCGCCGGCACTGCCCACGACGCCGTCTTCAACACCTTCAGACGTGTCAGCTCCCAGTTCCTCTACTGGGCCCCCTCCCTTGTTGCCGGCTACTACATCATGAACTGGGCTGTCGAGCGGTACGTTGTTATATCACCACCACCACCACCACCACCACCCACAGCCCCGAGGGATTTCGATCACGAGGTGGCAAAGGAGGGAGATCGTCTTTTAAGAAGAGGGCAATATTCTAACAGGGTACTCTGTTGGTTAGGAATGAGTACCTCAACTCGAAGGCAGGTCGTGCTGAGTTCGCCGGTCAGGAGTAAGCGATGGACTTTACGATACTACTTGGACGTGGAACCAGGGTGCAGTCCCCGAGAGAGGGAACTGGTGCTCAATAGACTAACCTGTATATCACCATCATTATCCTTACACGGTTCGAATGGGAGTCGACTTAGACAAGATATGGGACCTCTTTTTGAGTATCGGCATGTGCTGGGTTGGACATACGACGATTGGAATCGCCAGCTTCTTAACTGTTCGCTCGACCTCAACAATCGCATGTGACTCTCGGTCTTCCACAATCCTATCCTTTCCGCCACCATCCGGACGTCTACCTACATCCAGCTTTTAGCCCTTGGTTTCAACCGTCGAGCATTCTGCCAGCCCGTGGGTCAGTCTTCAGTGACTGCCGGTGCCCGCTTGCCGGCTTTACCAGACCTTGCGAGAACCGCGAGAAAGCTGATGCGTTGGACATCTCCACGGAGTCCGATTCTGTCAATCTCGCGCTTGGGAATCGTTATAACTGCTGAGAAGGCTGAACCCATAGCCTTGCCTCGCAGTATAACGTATCACCACGCCTGTGAGACAGAATCTCCTACTTCATATCCCGTTCTCTCTAGTAACAAGTCAGTCAGGCCTGCTCACCGTCCACCTCTCCACGGGTAAGCATGTAGACATATAACCTCCAACTTCCTCCTCTTGTTGTCATCACTCCAGCGTCAGGTAACCACTGGTTAGGACGTTTCTTCAACCCCCTCTTATGAAAGGTCCTAACCAACCGCACCCAAACCTTCAAGTAACTCGCTTTATATACCTAAAACTCTGGCGACGCACCACACCTAGCTTCCAGACCGCCTTCATAATTCTATCCAGGACGCATCCAGGGTAACATCCCAAGTAAGTATAAGTGGATGTTAGTCCCCGACTGCTATTGGCATCACTCATGCCCGAAACCCATAAGCTATTACGTCTAGCCGCATTTTCCAGAAGCCCTCTGACAGAAAACCGGTCGGTGAGGAAGCAGAAAAGACACTATTAGCCCAACCACCGAAGCTTAAGCAGGACTCAGGGGTAAAACTAAGCAATGCCCCATTTTCCACAATTTTGGTTGACATTTTTGCATTTCGGTTTTTCGCTACAGTTGCATTGGGGCTGTCAATGGTATCAGGGCGATAATGAATCTCGCCATTTGCGAGAGTTTGCAAGTTATAGTAGCATTTTGACGGGTCTGTTACATGGAGCATGGGTAGAGGAAGGGAAAATGGCGAGCATGTGAAATTGTGTGATCACAGGTTTTGCAACAGTGTGATAAAATTCAAGGTTGTCGAACAAATTGGGCGGATAGAGATTGAATAAAGAAGCTTCACGTTCAATCTATCGTTGTTGCTATTCCCCCACAGACAGAAAAAGAAAATCAACCAAGGAGATTCCATGTTGTGTCGAATCCAATGTTGAGTGGTTGTTCTATTGTGTTGACGCTTGTGGATGTGGAACCCCGCTAGATGCCCGGGCCATGGCCCATCGAGATAGCAGCGGCCGCGGCCAGGCAGTTCGATGCCGTCGGATTTCCCGCTCGCTCACTCGTTGTCAGTTCCCCTCAGTCAGTCGGGAGGAACACGTGAAAAGAATCAGTGGATGAAATGGCATTTGTTGAGCATTGCTGTTATGGAACCCTGTCTAGATTTCCAAAGCCCATAGTTTTGATGAATAACCGCTGTGTTGTTACTATCCCCGTCCGGCTAGCGTCCCGTTGTGTTGGCGATTGAAGTGTTGCTTGTGCTCCCTGATACCTGGGCGCCACTCAATTATTGAAGAGAAGGGAAAACATCACCATCACCACCACTTGACAATCCCGGTATAAAGGCGCAAGTAAATTCAGCCTCCAGGCCGGGGATGTTCAGTACTTGCATGTGCTGGGCTTCGTGCAGTTAATAAGAACCGGGGTTGTTAACTGTTGTCTAATGTCTTGCCTGTAAGATCGATAATGGTTTGGGCGGTCACCACCCTTTTCTTTTTTTTTCTCAGTTGTCGATTATTCAGAAAGGGAGTTCCGTTCGTATTATTGAATAGCCAACCAAGTCCAGACAAAGCGGGCTCTTTTGGGCGGGCCTCGGACATCCCATCCATCTCACCACCTGCGCCATTCGTTAGAGAGACAGGCAACATTTTTGCGACCTGAACTAAACTTCCACCTCCTCACTTTTAGTGTTTCAAGGAGAAGGGGGAAACACCTTTAGAAAGAAAGAGCGAACGATTGTTTTTGAATTAAAAAAGTTACACCGCGGTTGACGACATTGGCCCCTTCCTCTTCGCGACTCCCCTTTCCCGAGTCTCCAGCCTCCAGTCTGTCTCCAGACCTGGACCCCAACATCGTTGCCGTCTCCAGACTCCGGCCCTAGCTCGCTGCTTCTCGATCTTCCCCAAAAAGTTCCCCAACCGGATCTCGGCCAACAAATCAAACATACTACAAACCTAACGGGAACAAGCCATATCCACGTAACCGTTCGTTCCTCCAGCGCCCGTTCTTCTCTTTTGGCGGCTTTCAGTCCCATCATTTCCCATCTCCAACCATCCTCGCCGTCCACAACAGCGAAAACAGAAGCAACCGAAACACCTTTCGGTCGGTCGCTGCGCAACACCAAACCTCGGCCGGGCAACAAACGCCCCTCCGTACCCTGCAGGCCACCCCCAAGCCTCAATCCCACGTCCGACGATTTTCCTTTTAGGGGCCGCGCAGTTGGAATTGACCATCTTACAACATCATCGATCTTTGCTCGAATAGACCGCCCCGTCGTCGCTGTCGCCGGTCACACAGTTGCAACTGCCACTGGGCGCGGTTCGCATTGGCGTCCTTCATGGCTTTCCCCGCGCTGGCAAGATGAACTCCCTAAACATCATCTCGGCCCGAGTATCACCGACGTCCAGCCCGACCCCGTCTCGATCGAACTCCATAAGCGCACTCAGTCTAGCCCACCATCTTAGCAAGGAGGACAGCGATAATCATGGGTCGCGCAGTAACGAAGAGCTGTTGGGCCTAGCCAACAACAACAAAAACAACACACTGTCAGAAGAGCCCGAGGAAAAGGAGACTTCTGCGCAAGGGGGATACGATGGACAGGGCTACGACCCCGGCGAGAAGACCCCTCTGCTAGCTCAAGGCCAGCCCAAGCCGCCGACGACATGGACATCTCTCCCCAAGCGCTTTGCGTTCGCCATTGTCGAGTCTATACGCTGGTTGCTCATGATGATCGCTGCGCCCGCCCTCTACGCGGTCGCCCTGTTCTACGATGTCGAGGGTAGCTTTGCGCCCGCCAAACAACTACGGAAACTGTTCGGTCGATATGGAGGAAATACGAAGGAGATGGCAATGGATTACCACGAGGCAGCTGCCCTCTCTGATGCCAACCTGGACGGTACGGGCAGCGGAGGAAGCATTCGCAAGTCACGAAAGTCTCGCCTCCATTCTAGCGGCTCCTCCTCGTCAGGACTCTCCTCCGAGTCCGAATCGGAAGTGGAAAGTCGGAGGGGTAGCAACAGCAGCGGCCGACGTCTCAAATCGAAATCATCCCAGGACTCTGAAGAAATTGCCCCGGCACGACGCTCCATACGAATCAAGCTTCACTCGGACGCCGACTCCCTACGACAGCGCAAGCAGCGAAAGGACCGCTCCTCCGCCACCGGCCGATCTACCACTAATAGCGACGGCAACGGCGGGTCCGGCCAGCAGAATCTCAGCGTCCCCGGCAATGACATCTCGGCCCAGCTCAAGTCGCCCACCTCGCCCGTCGGTGCCCTGACCAAGTACCCCAAGATGCCAGCACCCCCGAGGCCTCTGATCCCCAAGCGCCAGCCCTCGTACAAGATCAGCGCCGTCGACCCAGCCAGCCTCAAGCACCAAAAGACGCTCATCCTCGACCTCGACGAGACCCTAATTCACTCCATGTCCAAAGGCGGCCGCATGTCATCGGGCCACATGGTCGAAGTGCGACTGAACACGACTTATGTGGGCGTGGGCGGGCAACAGACCATCGGACCCCAGCACCCCATCCTCTACTACGTGCACAAGCGGCCGCACTGCGACGAGTTCCTCCGACGTGTCAGCAAGTGGTACAACCTGGTGGTGTTCACGGCTTCGGTGCAGGAGTATGCGGACCCCGTGATCGACTGGCTGGAGAGCGACCGCAAGTACTTCTCGGCTAGGTATTATCGGCAGCATTGCACGTTTAGACATGGGGCGTTTATCAAGGATCTGAGCTCGGTGGAGCCGGATCTGAGCAAGGTGATGATCTTGGATAATAGCCCGTTGAGTTATATGTTTCATCAGGGTATGTTGTTCTTTTCCCTTTTCCTTCGGGACAAGATGCTTTGCAAAAAAAGAAAAAGGACGTGTGCTAACAGAAATACACAAAAACAGACAATGCAATACCCATACAAGGCTGGATCAGCGATCCGACCGACGTCGACCTAATGTACTTGATACCCTTCCTCGAAGGTCTGCAGTACGTGTCGGACGTGAGAGCCCTGCTAGCCTTGAGAGACGGAGAGGATGGGCAGCATGCAGCTTGACGGTTTATTTGTTTGTTGCTATTTTATTGCTTGTTTCGTTGCTTTTGCGAGCTGTATGAAAGTTGGAGGGATATATGTGTAAAGAAAGGAGAGACAGAAGAGAGCATGAGCGAGTGAGGAAGGAGGATGACGAAGCAAGATATATACCAGATATCGACAGGTATTATTATACGCACTATTAGAGATGAGGATCAGCGAAGCATCTGGGCCGAGTTTCTTTTCTTCTGTCTATGACTGTCATATCAACTACTCGTTGCAAGTTCTTGCACCTTTACACTTTTACCTATGGAAGGGTAACCCAACTCTCTCCAACCGCAGGGAGGAAGTTAACGGCCCATTACCCACATCCGTGAGACCCTTTATCGCCCACCCGTTCACGCTTGGAAGATCATATGTCCATGTTTAATGTTCTGCATGAACGGTCGAGGATCTTGAGCTTAACTGGCATAATACCCTTCAGCAGCTTCGGATTGCTTTCCCCTCACTCTGATTGCGCCGAAGAAAGAATAGACAGGGAGAACAGAGGTCTGGACTCAACGGTCCCACTCAGGGATTTTGTTGAGATCCAGGGTCTTGAGAGCCAAGCTCACCATATCGTGGCTGATATCGATGGTATTCCTGGCATCTGGTATCCGGCAGCCGCAGACCGTCCACTCACCGGCCGGTGTGCAAGTATTTACACGTGTAGGTGACGGGGCATTGGACATCCTGGTCAACTTTCAGGAACAGGTCAAGGTATCTCACCTATCCCATTGTTCGACTGTGATAGAATAACATTGGATAGATCGGGCCTAGGCCACACCACCAGAACCACGACAATGTTGAAGCTATCAACGCGGCCGTGATCCTATTATGATTTTACATTTATTCGTCCTGTAGACGGATATTGCTCCTTTCAAATTTCTTCAGCCCTATGCAGTCATGGGTATGTTGCAAAAACCTCCTGTGCAGTCTACGTTGAGCTATCAGTCAGGTACACTACCAGTCTGAACTGGACACCCCGAGGTAACCCCTGGGACACAAACGTCACTGTGGAACTTCTTCCCATGGTCTTCAAGATGGGCGGTAAACCATCCACTGTTTCCGGTATTGCTTCCGAAACTGGATCACGATGTTGCCTCCGCTGTCTGTTCAAAGTCTAAACTTGGCCTTGGAAGTCAAGAACAAACTGCACTGCCTCAACTTCAGCTTGCTCGCTTCGATTCCAGATTCCAGGATCGCGAGTCTGAATCCACTTTCAATCGTCAGAAACGTACAATTCCATGGTGGAGAGTGTTCAGCTTTGGATGGTTTGGGAATGAAATCCGAAACCTGTATAGACAGGAATTAGAATTAGAGGGACTAATGGAAGCACCGTGTAAGTCAACAGACAGAGAGAGGGGCAGTAACGGCTCAACGGATTCAACGGGGGAAGATAACTCGGCATAGGAGGAATTCCCATCTGTAATCATGCAATTGCTTTTACGGTACTCCTCTGTTTCACCATTTGGGTACCGTGACTTTCTGGCTTGACTTGCAATTCAATTCAAGCTAACCCCTTCTGCCCCTCATCAAACTAACAACAAGAACTGACTGACAGAAGATCGTGGTTGAATCGGATGGCCAGGACGGTGCCCGCGGATGATGGGGATGTTGAGGTTACGATGAAAGGCGGGCACCTACCATTCCGCATTGGGGAAAGCGCTGAATGGTCGAGGTTCGTTCATGAGAGGTGGTGACATCATCTTGCAGGGTACATCAAAGATGCAAGTCTGGGGAAAGCTCGACCGACGGAGCGATGATGTTATGGTTCGTTTCCTTCTGTAACCAGGGCAATTTTACGGTGAAAGTTTGAAGTATGTCCAATTAACATTCGGGAATGTCGATGAAAAGATGTAAAAAAAGAGGAGACATTGGGATGTTCCATCGGTGATTCTCACTGTGAATTTGGAGGTTGTTTCGTCCTTGCTTCTTGTTCGGTTGTTGTTGTTCGTTGCCTGTTCAGCTTGGTTGACAGGTTGACTGGCCTGGGCCTGCTGGGCTGGGCTCATGGATGCTTGCTTGCTTTGGTTCTCTCGCCTGGTTGCGTTGCTTGGTTGACGGAAGATCGTGGTGACGCACAAAGAATCTCGCGCCCTGGCAGTGGAGGCCCAGCCAGATCCTCCCGTCCCGTCGTACTTTATAACCACCACTTCCCTCCCCCCTCCATCTCGCTTTTTGCTTTGCTTCTCCAATACAATCAACTGAACAAAACAACAAACTTCTCCAAACGAGAATAACGACTTCGACGATACCCAAACAACCATCAGCTACTACCACTTTATAACCTACTACACAATACCAACCGCCATCATGTCTCTTCACTGTTAGTAGCACCCTCTTCTTTCCTCCTGTCAATCTCACATTGCATCCGTCTGCGCGTGCACCTAGGTGGTTCATTCTTCGGCCTCCATCTCAAAACGGCAACAACACGATCGAAATATCTCGACAAATTGACTAGCATCTCGAGTTTGCCCTCGATTCTCGTTATCCTCGACACCAACTGTGCTTCAAAAGCATCGCGTTTTGGTTTGCGGTTGCTATGAGAAATGGCACGCGGCAGCCTATGACGTAGGGGGCACGAGCGGGGCGGGCCACGGGATGCACGTCAAACAACAACACCCAACACAGCACAGCACGAACAAATTGGGACGAACCAAAGAATGAACCACCGCACCGCAACGCAACGCACAAACATTGAGCATCAACAATCATAACCAACCATGATACTAACTCCCTCCCTCCAGATCTCCCCCCCGTCAAGCCCTCGGCCATCGCCCTCGGCACCATCTTCAACCACACCACCGAGCTGGCCATCATGACCCCTCTCTTCGGCCAGGCCTACCAGCGCGCCAGAATCTCCAACAGCAAGGAGGAGTTCGCCAAGTCGCGCGAGGCCACCTCGGCCGTCATGGCCTGGGGCTCTTCCCTCGCCGGCTCCGCTCTCCAGTCCTACGGCATCGGCGCCCTCATCAACGCCACCGGCACCCTCAGCTACCGCGGCGCCGCCTACCTCGGCGCGCTCATCTTCGCCGCCACCTCGGCTCCCGGCTTCATCTCTGAGATGTTCGTCGAGAAGCGTGCCTTCGAGACCGTCGGCATCAACGTCCTCGCCAAGCTCTTCGAGACCGTCGGCCTTTCTGTCTTCCTTACCTGGTGGGGAACGCGCACCAACCCTTTTGAGTAGTGGGTAACCCTATTGTAAACTCCCTATTTACTAGATCTTCTGGTCGATCTACTCTCTCCTAGACATGATGGGCTAACATTGGATATATTCTCTAGCTCCTCCGCTACCTCCGGCTCCCCTAACCTCGGCCGCACGAGCTGGCGTGCCGAGTAAAGGGTTTCTTCTCTACTAGTAAAGAAACTCTTTGGGATGGTTTAATGAAGTTAATGATAATGGGAACTTGAAGTATCGCACCTACAATTTGGAGTGTGAGCGTTCGTTCCTGGGCTTTTCCTTATTTTATTCTTTAGTACCCTCTGTACTTGTAGTATCAAGCTATTAGCATATCAGCATCCCTGAGATGAATGGAAGACGCTGGTGATAGCTCACTTTTTCTGTCCGCGGTTGTGATGTTGGTAATTGATGACCACTTTGCTGTGCTCGTGAATGACTTTGACTGCGTACTGTAGGCGTCGCCAGTTGACAAACAGCTTTGCCCTCCATGATGGGAGAAAAGGAACGATGTCACAGCAAAACGCGAACACTCTTTGTTGGAGAAGAGGATAACGAGATTGAGACAGATGATCTTGGTATTCCTTTTCTCATCATATATACCGTACAAAAAATACAAAGTGTGTTTACCCCACAGAACGCCTTCCAATTCTTTTAATGACAGCAAGTACTAACCAGCGCCAAAAATCCATAACCTTTCGAATGCCAGGATAGACCAAGAAAATGTGTCAACCTGGTAAAAAAGACGAGACCCATCATATGAATGCTCTCTATCTATAGCTTAGATAAAAGCCCAAGAACCAACCAAGTCAACCAGCCCGTGAGAGCTGAGCTGACCGGATGTGATCAATGCGGAAGAGATGATGATCGGTATCCGACCGTCGTTTGCCTGATGAGAGTGGTGGGAGTTCGAAACGGAGACAGACAATGGTATCGAGGGAAGACAAGAGTGACAGAGGTGTGATTAGAGTGCCAACTTGCTTCTTCATCCTCCAGTCCCCAAACCAAGGTACGAGTCCACGGAGAACAGAACAGTTCTTCGCACCTCCTGCCGGCCGGCTTCCAAATCTTCAAGGGGATCTGATCGGTCGCATGTTCTTTCTCTCTCTCTCTCTCTCTCTCTGCAACAAAAGACGGCCCGGTTGTCTGAGCAAAAAGCACATACGCACACGAACAACTCTGGCTAGACAAGCAGACTGCACAATCACACTGACACCAGTAGTGGTACCATGTTCTCATGCCCCGACCCGTCGTCGCCATCGTGTCGCTGCAGTCTTTCATTTTTTTTCTTTGCTTTTGCATCAACACCGCCAATTTAGGCCTTGTTGACGCGCGCCTCGATCTGGAGCTGGTGGGTACCCTTGACCCAAGGCTCGACCTGGACGTTCCACTGTTTTTGCGCCGTCTTGACGAGCTCCTTGTAGGCCTCGAGGTACTCGGCGGGGTCGACCTTCTTGTCATCGGCATCACCCTTGGCAGACTCCTTGCCGGAAGACTTCTTGCCCTCGGGCTTGAGCATGACCACCGAGGTGGCGCGCTTGGTGCAGGCGGCGACACCAAGGTCGGCGCGCGAGCGGATGTACAGGTAGGGGACGCCGTGCTCCTCGCACAGGATGGGGAAGTGCATGATCACGTCCATGGGCGAGATGTCGCCGGCAATGATGACGAGGCCGGGAGCGTCGGCGGGAGGGGAGGCAGCGGTCCGGAGGGGGCACTTCTTGATGGCCTTCTCGCACTCTTTTACGCCACGGTGGATGGACTTGAGCTTGGCGCCTGTTGAACAATCCTGTTAGTGATCTGTCTCGTGGAACTGGGATGGTATTTGCGCTTCAATGGCTGAATTGAAGAGGAATTGGCAGACATACCCTTCTTGATGAGCTTGTAAATCTTCTTGTGGGTCTTGTCGTCGGCGAGGGGAAGGGCAAAGGGAACGAGCTCCTCGGCGGTCTTGACAACATCCTCAGGGTCGACGGAACCCTCCTTCTCGAGGTGGGCTTCGACGGCCTTGGCGAGCTTCTCGGTCTTCTCCTTCTTCTCCTTCTTGTCCGACTTCTTCTCCTTCTTGACGCCGGCGTCCTCGGTCAGAGCCTTCTTCTCCTTCTTGTCCTTCTTCTCGGACTTGTCCTTCTTCTCCTTGATCTTATCGGTGGAACCCATCTTGTCGGATTGGATTATATATGTGTGTGTGTTGTTGGTGGTTTGGTTGGGTATGGTTGTTGGTTGGTGGGGGTATCAAACAGGAATTAAGAATTGGGGAGTATTGTCACAAACAATCACCGACTGCAGTAAAAGAAAAAAAGTTACTGGGTTGGGGCGTCAAGGTAATTGGTATCGTGATGGGGTTGATCGCGAACGGATTCTTCAACGCAGATTTTACTGGGTCCATCAGACTGACCCAGTCAATCAGAGCAGAGCGGCGCAACCAAAAATTTGTAGGCCAATTGTAAAGCCGTTCCGCCGACAGCCGATAAGGCAGGTTAGTGTCTGGGTTTTGGTGCGATAACGATTTCGGGCCTGCGATAAGCTTGCGATAAGAAATGTCTGGACATTAGATTGCTTGGCGTCCACCTTTTGCCCGGTGGGGTTCTCCAGTTTTGACCGACAGGGATTAGCAGCCTTGGAACATGAGTGGAGCCGCTGTGTCTAGCCTGCCGCAAAGCTGCAAGTCCCACTAAATTTCTTAGAGCCTGTGATACCTCAAAGCGCACTCAATCCATTGACTCACATTGACAATTCAGTGCCAGCAAAAAGTCCACAATCCCAAGTGAATTTGGTCCCGTTCTGGAAGCTATTGTTGGAGACGTTTTTGCAACCAACAGCCTTGTCATTCCCCGCCCATATCGATTTCATAGATATCCGCCCAGTATCATTCGTAAAGTCCACAGCCTCGAGCAGGGAACAAGCGCATTCTTAACTTCAACATCACACATCCACAATATTCGAGTCCATATCTCAGTAACATACAGAGACACACACAGAAGCTCACCATGGCGCCGTCGCAAATGAGCTATGCCCCTACGTTGGGCAAGCTCCTCAAGTCTCTCAACTCCCAACCCTTGGAGGCTTCCATTGAGTCCCTCATTTAGTACGCTTATGCTCATTTTTATATTATGCCTTGCATGTACATATCAGCTTCTAACATGATTGGGCAGCCTCCTAAAACGTCGCCAAGTCAAGGGTGATGATATCGCCAATGCCACCGCTCATATGCTGCTCCAAGTCGTCGCCAAGTCTAAGTGGCAGAGCGTCGACCAGCTGCTCGCAAAGGTCTCCAACACTGGCCTCAGACTCGCCCAAGCCGCCCCTACCGAGCTAGTCATTGGCAATGTCGTCCGCCGAGTGATGGGTCTCATTCGTGATGAGGCTACCGAGGAGAGAAACGCCGACGAGATGGGCGACTCAGTATCCGACCTCTCCCAGCTTCCCGCAACGCCCACCATGTCCTCGAGGCCAGGCCCTACGCCCATCCGCGCCGGCACCGGACTCCCCATGTCCAAGTCCATGTTCAACCTTCTTTGCGTCACAGAGACCGTTTCATCACCAGCCACCGGCACATCCACCCCCATGTCACAGGGTGCATCTGCCAACATGCATGCCCTACGGTCCGAAGTTATCGATGGCATCGAAGAGATCATGGACGAGATTAGCCAGGCGGACGACCAGATTGCGGGCTTTGCCGACATCCAGATTCACCCCGGCGACTACGTTCTCGCCTACCTCCCTTCCCCAACAGTCGAGCGATTCCTCATCAAGGCGGCAGCAAAGCGGAGGTTTACCGTCTTCCTCGCTAGCGGCGAGCGTCAAAAACCCGGCGAGGCGCCCCACGCTGCCCTGCGTAAGAAGCTCAACGGTCTCGGGGTCAACACCATCAGCCTGGCTAGCAACGGCCTGATGGCTTACATGCCTCGGGTGAACAAGGTGGTCATCGGCGCTAAGGCCGTATATGCGAACGGAGGTGTTTCCACGGAGAGCGGGTGCAGCATTGCCGCAAGGGCGGCGCGGGAGTACTCCAAGCCCGTTATCGTTCTAAGCGGTGTCTACAAGTTCACCCCCGCAGACCCGTCGGATGACGTGGCCGAGTTCGAGCAGGGAGACTCATCTGAGTTTGTCGAATATGCTGACGGCGAGGCCGTGAATGCCCTCGAGGTAGAGAACATCGTGGCTGAGTACCTGCCAGCGCAATATGTCGACGTCTACCTAACAAACCTGTAAGTCCATGAACCGAATATTTCGACCACTGCAAAGCAGAACACTAACAATTTCCCAGTGGTCCCCAAACGCGAGATCATCTTGCCACCATCATGGCTGACCACTACAAGTCCGAAGATATGGGCTTGTCTTTGCATCTACCTTAGAAAAAGCTGTAGAAGCACAGAAAAAAACAATGTCGAGAGTAATGTACCAAGTTGCCAGTCTAATGAAGCATGCCTTGATTTGTGTCTTGACTGTCTCGCTTTCTGCTTAAACTTAGCTGCCCGAGCTCCGCCCCGAGGTCCGTCGCCGACAATACAGGACAATGCCTTGCATATCGGCACACGGGAAGAGTCACATATGTGCCCTCGGAAATTGCCTGTCCGATGTTATTGTGCGTTTTTTGGCAGTCACGAACTGCCTCGCGTCCGGATGGGACATACTGCAGGTTCAGAGTTCCGACACCAGCAACCATCTTAATGATGTTGCGTGTCCGATCTCGAAACCATGCGGACTTACCACGCTCATCTGCTTTTTTTCGTCGACCAGGCTTGGAAGGACATGGCTAAGTGTGGTGACGGGGGGTATTATATGTGGTTATTATCTGCAACCTCGCCATGCTGCTATCGGAATTGGAAGTCGTGGCGAGTGTAGTATAGGATCGTTCGATAGCATATTTATAGGTAGAAAGAACTTGGAGTCCTGATTGCGGACATGTAGGCGTGATATTTTTTCGGGCTTCCCCGTACCCATGATATTTTTTTATTCTTCGAACTGGAAATCTTCTCTATACTTAATATCGTCTCCCTTCTCCTTTCCATCAATTCGTTCTTTTCCCTTTTCCTTACTATTCATCACAAGCTCAATCTTGCCCCCATCATCATTGCGTACTCTATAAGTTGGTCTATCATCAACTGCTCTTCATCATCTGAGGATCTTTTAGATACTTATACCTGTCCATCAACTTCATCATCATCTCTCTCTTGAGAATCAACATCTGTCTTCGAAACCATCGTTCTTCACCATCCGTGTGACTACTTAACTCTACACACCCGGTCGACCATCCCACGACTCTACAGACTCACGGCCTAAGATCATACTGCCTACACTTATACCGTTGACACTCATACGGACACACACTCACGACATACTCCCACGACATCCACACCCACGGGGTACATGCTCATGATCTATACTCGCACGATCTATAGGGTCTATACATCCGTAGTCTGAACACCCAATATATACACCCTCACCGTCTACATCTCCACGACATACGCTCACGATCTATACGGTCTATACATCTGCAGTCTATACATCCTATAGTCTATACACCCAAGATCTACACTCTCGCCGTCTATACCCTCAATCACAACATACACTCTCCCGACCTATACTCCCACGAGATAGACTACCATACCTAGGTAGTCTACACACCAAAGGTCCACCCGCGTACCTACGACCTCTCCTCCGAGACATCCAGAAAACAAACCCACGGCATTCGTCCAACACGTACTAATTCATTGCCATCCCAACGGATCCTTCCGACACCTCTCACAAATTCGACGGACCAACCAACCAATCAATCATTACAATCTCGACTAGTCAGCCAGCCAACCCTCAAGATGTCTTTCTCCAGCCGTAATACCCAAACTCCCGTGGTTTACTCACCTTTTTCTTCCTCTTCGCACCGGACCGCCACAACCACAACCCCCAACCACCCCGGTCCCGGCCCCGGCCCCGGCCATGGCTGCTAGTTCTAGTAGCAGCGTGCCATAGCTCGTTCGCGTGTACGGGGAGACGCTGCAGGAGATTCTTGACATAGTATCTCCCTCCAGCAGGAAGACCGGCGAAACCAATACTCCGGTCTTCGCATCCTCGTATTCTTCCTCCTCCTCCCACGGGACTGCTACAACCACAACCACCACCACCCCGGCCACAACCACCCCGCCCACGACCACGGCTGCTACTGCTAGTTCTACTACCAGTCCTAGTTCAAGCAGCAGCGTGCCAGAGACCTTTCGCGAGTTTGGGGAGACGCTGCAGGAAATCCCTGATTCGATTAAGGACATCTTGGCGGAAGACAACGACAGCGCCCCTCCTTCTCCCTTATTGAGCTCCTCGGGTCTCTCCTCCTCGGACGACGACGGCGGCGGCGTTCCTCTTAGCTACGAAAGCTCCGATTCCTCTTCGGATGACGACGATGGCGGCGTTCTTCTTACCTCCGGAAATTCCAATGCTTTTTCGAGTTCCACTTCCTCGAGTTCTTCGTCCTCTCATGGAGAGGCAGGTGGAGACAACGACAACGACCACAACGACAACGACAACGACAACGGCCACATCCACTTCCAACCGCAGCGCCACCCAACAAATGTCAGGGGACAGCTCGTTTGTGGATTATGGTTCGGGTCGGAGGCTGATTTTGAGCATTTTAATCTCCGGGGGTAGTGGGGATATGATGTGAGTGAAAGTAGGTGAAGGAGACTGAAAGATGGAAATATGGGAATTGCGAAGAAACAGGGGGGTCATTTGATGATACATGTGTAATGATTTGATGTAATGTTTTGGATGTTATGGGATTTGATGTAATGGGATATGTATGGAACAGATGACTATTGTGGGAATTGGAATTGGAAACAGAAACGGAAATGGAAACGGAAATGGAAACGGAAATGGAAACGGAAATGGAAACGGAAATGGAAATGGAAATGGAAGCAGGGACTGGGGAGTATGATCAGATTTTGGTTTGGGTATACATACACAAAGGCGTTAGACTTGGTTATGACTGGGAAAAATATATTGAGTTTTGGAGGCTTCTATAGCCAGCTCTTCGCATATGCGTCGATAGTTCGGACACTTAGAGTAGTCACTCGAACACGGAAAATCGATACCAAGAACAGTTGATCTATGAATCTTCTGTGACTGACAATCTCTACTTAACCTCAGCCTCGTAGTATCTACTGCTTCTGCTGGAACGTCTGACCAGGAACAGGGAAGCGGAAGGCGCACTTGAAGGGCCACATCTGAGCCTATTTCCGATACGTATGTCAACTCTCCATTCGCACCCAGTCTTGCATCCATGCATTTCCATGGCCTCTCTGACATCCGATATAGAGGAAAGGGTAAAGCGAAGGCGAAGGGGAGGGGGTTACGTACCTTCTCAACATCCCAAACTCCCTTCTGGGCATAAACGTCCCCCTTAAGAATCTCGATCACCTCCTCGCGGCTCTCGGCGAGCAAGACGATGGTGGAGCCGGCAAACTTGAAGGTCTTGGGGTCGTCGGAGGTGGGGGGCTCGGAGAGTACGGCGCCTTTGGGGGGGAGGTATGTTAGCGTTTTGCTTTTGTTTCAGTGTAGTTCAGGAGGGGGTTTGTGGGGGATAGATGTTCGTGAGAGAGGGAGAAAGGAATGGAGATGAATGTATGTGGGGGAAGATAGGTAAGAAAGGCTAGGTGGTGTGAAGTTGCTGTGACTGTCCATGGTACTCTGAGGAGTCTGTGGTCCAAGGGGATAAATAGAGCATGAGGAACCATGTGAGGGGATGGGTTGAGATGTGGTAAACTCTTGAAGTGAGATGAAGTGGTGATTGAAGTCGGCATAACTGAAGAGTCATTGAAATAAAAGAAACCTACCACCCCATCTGGAAGCACCCATTATCGACATTCTTGCCGAGACCGGCGAAGTGGTCACTATACATCCCATTGTTAGCTCGGTGTCATTCTCCCATGGATGGGGTTCTTGGAGCTCATCAAGAGCTGCATAATCTGAAAGTAGAGGGTGCACCTACGGGCGAACCTCCAACCTCTTCTCACCAACGCCCTCAAAGTCCGGCACGACAACGAGCCACTCAATCTTCTTTCCGGTGGTAGCGGTGGTAGCCATTGTTCTGATTCTTTGCTGAGTAAAGAAGTTGTTGGAGATGCGGGGTGCGGGGTTCGTAATGGTAGTTGTAGGGTTGAAGAAGGTCAGAGTGGAGGGGGAGAAGAAGGAGGAGAATGGTCGGCTAAAGTGGCTGCTGTTTAAGCTGCTGTGGAGAGCTTGTCCTCCTAGCTGGAGGGTGCGAGATCGGGAGGCCATGGTGCAATAGTAATGGGTTTCCGGTTGTGGTCTGACTGACTCTTGGAAATGTACAACTGGAATTGGAGACGGATACGTTCGGGTCAAGAAAGTGCGGTGCGAAAGAGGACGACTGACTAGAACTAACGGACTATATCCGAGCCGAATGTTACTTTCTTACGAGAGGTCCAAGGGATTGGCTTTTTGTTTACTTTGGTTGCTAGGTAGTTGAACTGCCGCGGAGGAACCTAGTATGGGGTAGGTAATTCGGAGGTGGTGGGTCCAGCGTAGCGTGGGTTTAATGGCGGCCGTAAAGGTACCTACGTACGACATTTGTAGAAATCACAAGTTAATCTACAAATCCAAAAGAAGATGGTTGATTTGCTCTTTAATTCCTCTTCATTATTTGTCAAACATAATCTGGAACCATCAACGCTTCTGGACATATCCGTCTTTTCATCAAATCTGCCGTTTAAACTTCGCTTGAGTTCATACCAATACCATCCGCTCGACCACCAGCTTAGCGTGCAGCCACAAGTTCACTGATTGTGTCTATGATTGTGTCTATCCATCCCCCCTAAGTGACGATGAGCACCGCACTGGGAACCAACCCAGCCTCCTTCAGCGTCTGACCAAAGTCCACTCCAGCTTGCCACGTCTTCCTGGGGAAGGTCGTCGAGAAGCTTGCAACCGGGAGTCCGTTCTCCGTCTCCAACTGCTGGGCAAGCTCAAACAGCGTGGCATCCGCAGCCAATGTCTTCATAACATTTCCCTTGGCAGTCTGCAACCTCAGACGAGCCTCGTTGTGAGAGGCAGCCGGCCTCGCGGCAGCCGGAGCAGCGGCAACAGGGGCAGCTGTAGGTGCGGCCGGAGCCCTACCCTCACGAAGCGCCTTCGCCTCCTCCTCCTTGCGCTTCCTCTCGGCCTTGTCGGCTTCGATCTTGGCCTTGATGCGTTTCTTGGCCTCGAGGTCGTCGAGCTTCTCCTGGCGCTTCTTGGCGGCTTCTTTGATCTGTTCCTTACGGGCGAGCTCCTCCTTCAGGTCTTGTGTCTCCTTGGTAGCCTTGCGCTTGATTTGCTATAGATTCTGTTAGCAAGATTGTAATGAGAGCTGGGGACGGTTTGCGGTGACGGCACCTCATTGCGCTTCTGCTCCTCCTTGTCAACGAGAGCCATTTTCTCCCTCTTCTCCGCGAGCTTCTGGCGGAGCTCCTCCAACCTTTGCTTCTTCTCTTCCTCCGTTAGAGGGGCAATCTCTTCGGTAGATTCGGAGAAGTCTGTGTGCTGACTGTGGTAGAGTTAGCTGGGTGCTATGAACGGGCAGGGACAGGACCGGGCAAGAAACTGACGTCTTGGAAGCGTGGAAGGCGGCAAGGTCTCCGTTCCTGAACCTCTTGCCGCAATCGTTGCAAACAAGGGATTTGGCGCCCTCGGGAATGTTTCCGGAGCCGTCATCCTCTTCATCGTCGTCGGCTTTCGCGGTAGAGGCAGCGCCGGCCTGCAGCTCCTCCAAGGACTTGTCCTGGTTCTCCTCAAGCCAGTTGAGGGCTCCTTGCACTGCTCATTGTTAATATCATATCCGCGTCACCGGGTAGGTATCTGGGAAGAACTGACAGCCACCAGACTTCTTGACGGCGAGTTCGGCGCGGGGGCGCTCGAAGCCCATGTCGATCAGAACCTCGAGATCGGTTTGGCCCATTTTGGTGATTGTTGGTTTGGTTGGTGAAAGAGACGTGATTGCTGATAAATATTAGGTATTTAATGCAGTGGAAAAGACTGGCTCTGGGTGTGCGATATGGTCGAATGTTGCTGGAAATAAGATAGTAGTGGCAACTTGGAAGTTGAACGAAGGAGGGGTTCAGTTAAAGATGCGATGTGGAAGCTGTCAACAGTTCGGATAGAAGCAGACGGCAAGTGGTTCCCTGCAATTAAGACGTGGCGGCAGGGTTGGCAAACTGGCAAGACATGGACAAGGTTCAAAACGAAAACTTTGTGACAGATTGTAAGCTCAACCTATAAACAGAGATATAGTCTGGCTCTTCGAAAGGTCAGAATGTTCACCGTGACCTCAATGTTGTTGTTGTTGTTGTTGTTGTTGTTGTTGTTGTTGTTGTTGTCGTCGTCAACGATGTTAACGGTTCGCAATATGTCCAGGCTACCCGGGGCACGTCATTCAATACAACCCTTGTCCGTTGCTCGGACAGTGATGCTAGCGCTACTGGCAGCTGGAATACTCAGTGACAAACTGACATTTGCCCAAATTGCTGCCAAATGACAAGTCGGCAAACCTGATTTCCTGACTTTGACCCTTAATTTCAGTGGAGATACGTGGACCCCACGCGATAACCCCGGGGCCCAGCAGACATGGAATTCGGCTCGGGAAAGTGCTCCCAGCAGGTGAAGCTTTTTGAGATTCTGAGGTTCTGGGGTTGGGGTCCAGTATGAGATCAGCACGGACCCATGATCTTGGCTCGGTTGTGTCTTGGCGTCTTGGCATCTTTTCAGTCGCCTGGCGCCCTCCTGAAGTCGACAGCGAATCCAGCTGGAAACAGGCTGCTGCTGGCTTGTGTCCAGGGTTGGTCTATCCCAGCGCGCGTCGAACCGCCGTCACTGTTGAATGTCGTAACACATCATCTCTGGCGGCAGCCCTCTCTTGCCGTGTCGTCGTCTTATTATCAGGTTCCAGCTTCTTGTTTGGAAACAACACCTTACACTATCACACCTCACCTTACAACATCCATCCTACCTACCTCTGGGCTGCTGCTACCTAACACGTCTCTTTCTACGTAAACATTCTCCTTTGACGAGACGAATCAACTTCGGACGGAGCCTCAGCAGAATCGCATTGCCCTTGTCTGGCATATTTCGCAAACCTACCTATCTAATACGTTTAACTCCATCCCCCATCCCTTTATTTCCCCCCACCGAGCATACTAGGGACGGCCAATAATCCCCCGGCAACATTTCCCGTCTTCCCATCGCGAAATCCAAGTCGCTTTAGAATTTCCCAAAACCACCAAACCACACACACCAAACGATCGCCAACATGTCCGTCGAAATCGATCCCCTCGAGCTTGGTTTCCGCAGTACGTCCCGTCGCGAATAGCAACCACCGGCCCCGATTCTCTAGGATCCCCCATCGTCTGACAAGAAATTAGGGCCCTTCACTGTGGAGGTTTCGCAGATCCTTAGGATCAGGAACCCCAACACCTCTCCGGTTGCCTTCAAGGTATGTGGACATGGTCGCGCGTTTGCCGTGGTTCGAGAGTTGCTTGACACATGTGCTAACTTGCCCTCGTACAGGTGAAAACCACCGCTCCCAAGCAGTACGTTCCTTCCTCGGCAATGCGCCGTAGCGCAAACGAATCCCCAGTCCAACGATACAGGCACTTACCAACACTCTCTTCAGATACTGCGTCCGCCCCAACTCGGGTCGCATTGAGCCCGGTCACGATGTCGAGGTTTCCGGTCAGTCTTCGAATACCCAGTATCATACGTCCAACCTAAGTTCTCGTGGCTCACATCCTCTTAGTCCTCCTCCAGGCCATGAAGCAGGAGCCACCTTCGGACGCCCGATGCCGCGACAAGTTCCTCGTTCAGTCCGTTACCATCACCGGTGACAAGGAGTTCACCAACGTCGCTCAGATTGTGGGTTATATCTCGAACAGAAGAGGATGAACCAGTGCTGACAAATACGTCATAGTGGGATGGTGCCGACAAGTCCCAGATTCAGGAGAAGAAGATTCGCGTTCTCTGGCTGCCAGCCTTTGGAGAGGAGACCACCTCACCCGTGGCTGCCACCCCTATCCGCCCCTCGACCTCGAGCCGGGTACGTTTACTTTCGCCTACCCCTGGCAACGGACGAATAAACTAACAATCACATGCGCAGGTTGAGGAGACACCCGCTCCTTTCACATCCCCTAGTGAGACCCGATCTTCGACGGCCGACACCCGCGAGATCAAGCAAGAGCCCGACCTCGCCGAGAACTTCCAGAACACTGTTGCGGCGGCCGCGACGACAGTACAGAACACAGCTTCCGAGACGTACGAGCAGTTGAAGGAACAGTTGGCCAAGGCTCAGGCGACTATCGCATCCCTCCAGAACGACGCGACCAGCGGCCTGAGACAGAGGAAGGCGGCTGTGGCCGACGCGGTGGGCGAGCAGGCGTCGAACGTGCAGGCAACCGCCCAGGACCTCGCGCAATCAGCGAGGCAAGGCACCGAGGGAGTGCCAGTCCAGATTGCGGCGGTCCTCTGCTTGGTCAGCTTCCTGCTGGCCTATATCTTCTTCTAGTGCACGAACACCGGTCCATTTTCTATCATTGTGAAGGCTGCCTCAGTACGTCTAGGGTTCCACAATACAACAACAACATAATCCTTTCCCGTCCTTTTTCGTTTTCCACGGTTTTCATATATCGCCTTTCACTCACTAAAAACTTGTTTTCCCTTTGTCGTTGCGGTGGATAGAGTGGCAGGACCAGGGTGTAGGATGTGAAGTAGGCAGCGCAGGAAGGGGAAGAAGACAAGAGAACAACACGCGTAGGCCGGGGTTCGTTTCGTTTGCTCACGGGGGAGGAGGTGAGGTGGACGAGCTGAAGCGGGTCTCCTTGGTGTTATTACAACTAGCTTTGCAATTCCTTTGCTCCAGGATGTATAACGAGCGGCTACGCTATACTATGCTAGGTAGGAGGCTAGTAGGACTTTAGGATGGAAATACCAGCACTTGATAATATGCAAGGGAATCGACAGTCGTACCACAGTAGACGAGAAGTTGTGTAGAGAGGTATGTTTATACAACTAGCCACGAGAGTTATCGATATTCGAATGCCCTAAATGCAGAACTTGAGTCCTTTCTTCCACTTATTATCGTTTTACTCAGCTCTGAGAGGGATTCAGAAGCTATCTACCAACGTCGAATCTCCAGTCTAGGTTGCTTGGCCTTTACATGGTCCAATGGTCGACTGCTCTTACCAACACCTCATCCCAAGTCCACATCAAAATCCACCAAGTCAACGATCTCTGCCTTAAGGCCTATAGTTACACAACCTTATTGTCGGTCATTAAAGATCGATACCCAACAACTTCCAGACAAAGCCCGACATCAGACAGCGCCAGCGCCATCCTTCTCGGTGGCCCAATGATGATGAGACGGGAACTCAAGCGCTTTGTCATCATCTAGATACCGCATTATATGTCGTGGACAATGCCCATCGTGGAGTTTCGGGATTAACCGCCAGGGCCATACAGCCTTGTAAAGAGCCTTTCAGCCTTACCTTACCTCTCTTATTGAAGCCGCGTTGATTATGCCACAAACAAAACAGAAGGCTCGGAGAACATCATCAGTGGAATACATAATGTTATCTCCGTTTTCTCCCACCGTTTTAACTCGGAGAAGATTTTGAAGTGATCGACTCCCGCCAAGCGAAGCCAGTCAAAGGTCAAGTCCGACGGTCACGTCTTGGCTGCCTCGCCTGCTCGTGATTGCCAAGACACATGCCGTTTCTGCCGCTTCAAGCGCTGCTTGTGGCGCTCACGCGGGAATGTCGGCATGTCCATGTGGTTTGAAAGTTGCCCTGTGGTGTCTGGGTGAGTGTTTAGTGACGGACGTGGTCGCAGGTGAGGTCGGGCTGAGCTGCCAATGCCTCAGCCACTTCTTGGACAACTAAAACTAGCAGGGATCCTTGGTGAAAGCGGTGATCTCCCGTCAGCGAAATCCACAGGATGGAGAAGAGGGAAGAAACGAAACGGAATGGTATTGGGAGGAAGAATGTGAAACGGAGATGAAAAGGATCATCGAAAAGGCAGGATATTTTCTGTGAAAATGGTATTCCGAGACACACAACATAAGAATTCTGTACAAGTTGGCACCTTGGATTCTTGACTCCAAGCAGCGAGCCAAACGCAAAGAATGGAAGATCGAAGACAGGGAGTGAGTGACTTCGCGATGGTTCCTTTGGCTCCCTCGCTGCTGTTGTGAACAGGAACCGATGACGAAATGTCCTCTCCGCGCCATCTGTTTGGGCACAAGCGTTGAAGCGGCCTCGCGGCAGGCTTCTGCACTAATAAAAGTGGGTCTCTTACTGTGTGAGTGACTGAGGTGCTTTGAGTCCCTTTGAGTCCCCTGCTGCAAGTCATTTTCAGCGCATCACTTGTGCAGAATGCAGATGGATTCGTGCTCTCCATTTCAACCCGAAGTCCCGAACACTTCCATGCTTTCCGAAGACAGAGAAAAGTACATAGATGCAGGTGCGGCGTGAGATGCATTATGCGCCGGATATGGACGACAACACTCTATCTTATTCTGGGGTTTTGAAGCACAAGTAAAACTGTTGACGAAATCAAGGAACAAACTGAAGCAGCATGAAGGGATTCAGAAGGCTGAAGAATGTTGATGACGGGAAGACCAGGAAAGAAAAAAGCGGGGGAGGGGCAGTCATTCCCGGCCAGGTCAGAAGGAATCCCATCCTCGTTCCCTCCCAAATCCTAATCCATCATCCAACCAAAAACATCCCGTCAGGTGCCCTGCACAACCTGAAGTCACGACCGTCGAGGGTCATCCGGCCAAGGTCAAGGGAGGGATGCCCGGATGGCGGGAGTGATGGAGGGGCAGAGGGGGTCACCGTTTTCCTCTCACAGACTGCAGAGTCACCGAGATTCGAACAAACCACTACTGGATTTTGTAACAATCCCTCGTGCTGATCTGGTCACAAGGCTGTTTGTTATCAAGGATAGAGGCAACCAGAAAGCCAGGGTCCGTCCCAGCACTCCCGCTCCCAGGTGAAACGAGAAGTTTCTCCCGCCTACCGCTCGGTTTTGGCTCAAGTCCCGAACTGCTTGTTCAACAGAGAGACAGGGCAAAAAGACGGGACATAGGACATACCGTGTGTGGGTACTACAACAGATAGGTACCACCACCACAAGATCTCCCTTCGAGGTAGAGGTAGAGGGTGCGACCCCGAGGGGCAAACGGACGGATATCTGCAGAAAAACACCTTACCCTCTCAGGCATCTTTCGGTACCCTGCTGCTATCTCATGAGAAAGTTGGCTCCTGCTGTGTTTCGAGAATCTTCAATGACAAGAGTCCCTTGGATCCGTCTTCGGACGCCGGAATCTCCTGATCTGATATCTACTTGATGGAGAATATCCACCGCGAGACAAGTACCTCTACTCACTGGTCACCGAACTATGCAAAAAGGGTCTCTTCCGGCCGCATACACACCAGGACAGCTTTATGTCATGAAAAATGCAGGGCTTCTTGACAGTATCTCGAGGTTGCCTAATCAGCCAGCTGAAGGATTTTTAAACTTGTTGGTGTGTATGAACTGAACCACATGTGTAAGACGGGCTGATGAGGATTGCGGCCGACCGCGGTCTGTCCGCCTGTCGAAGTGATGACTCGCCTGATACCTCTCTCACTCAACAAACGGATGCGAAATGCTCTTTACCCGGGCCCGACGAGTTAGTCACATATCACGTCCTCCAGACACAGGCTTCATGAGACCCTCACAAGCTTTCAACCGCCTAGGCTAACACAGAAAGGTTCCAGAACAAGCTCGAGTTAACCAGCCTTGTAAGAGCTCCCGTCTGTTTGAAAGACATGATGAGTTGGCGGCCTTCAACGCAGGTACTGACTGCACCGCCGCCCTAAAAACGTGGGCCAACCTTCAACGTTTTTGAAGGTTGGAGGATCATCGTATCTTCTGGTTGGTTTCCACCAGCATGGAAACAAGCGCTGAATGTTGACTGGAAATGCCGCCGGCCCTATGAAGAGACCATTCATGTGCCCACACCAAGTTTGGTACTTGTACCTTGGTTTGCGAACCGGCCAGGGGACCATGGACAAGAAACAGGTTGCCTGATCAACTTTTTACCATACCATCTTGAGGCATTACACCTACGTAGTATGACTACCTAACTATACCAGCTAGGTAGTAACTAGGCGCCAGACCAGAGAGATGGAAATACGGTCTCACATTGATACCAAGACCTGCTCACCACCGTCGACGTAACTGAGCCCCACCCAGCCATCCCCATTCCCACCCTTTTCCACCATTCCCACTCGATCCCGTAAAGCACCCCTCCTTGCCCACTTGACCCCCCCGGCTCTCGCTCTTATACCAAGGACTCAGCCTCTCTGCCTATCCCACCTCTCTCTCTTCTTGCTTGATTTTGCTCAAAATATTGACTCTTCCCACTCATATTTTTTCTTACATTTTGCGACTTGATCAGATACCCCAAAGTTGAAGGTTTTTGAGAGTTGTTGTTGTCGTGGTAAACATTCGATCTCTACACCCCTGAAACGTACTAAACAAACACTTACACTACTCTATAAGCTATAGTGGATATTTCCCTACTACTTTGACTACCATACCCGGATTACACAAGGAAGCTCAGGCCACCAGTTCATCCGACAGAAAGAGACAAGAGAGAGACAGACATGGCCCAGGTCTACCGCGAAACCCGGTACTCCCGGGATTCCTCCCCTTCAGGCGACGAGGGCTACAGAAGGACAACTACCCGCCGTTACAAGCAGGCCCCGAGCCACAGCCGCGAGAGAGTCTATGAGCGCGAGATTGACGTCATCGACGATGACCGCCAGGGTGCCCGTCTAGACGGCCGCTTCTACGGTCGTCCCACCGGCGGCGAGCTTGTCCTTGATCGCACCAGAGATGACCGTCTCTATCCCGACCGCCCACGATCTACCGCCGGCCAGGGCACCACCTACGTCGAGCGCCGGTACCGAGAGACGGAGGACTGGGATGGCGACAACATCCCCGATCGCGAGCGCACTGTGGTCGAGAAGCGTCTGGTTACCCGCGACGATGACGACCGCCACTATCGTCATGACTCCAGCCGGCACAGGGACAACGACGGATGGGAACGCCATTCCTACTACGATGCAGAGAGGGACGCCGAGGTGCGTGTGGAGAGAAAGGTAGAGCGTCGCGAGGACGGCTCCGAAGTCATCCTGGAGCGCCGGATCCGGGAACACGTTGACCATGACCACGGTGCCGACGTCGAGATCTACCGCAAGGAAACCGAGTACTACGAGCCTGCACCACAGCCGCAGCCCATCGTCATCCGCCAACCTCCCGCTACCGTGGTCGTTCGTGAGCGCCGTGACGACTTTGCTCCCTATGTCGTCGAGAAGACCGAGGAGGAGTACATCGTCGAGCACATCGACGATGGTCACCACCACAGCCACAGCCGCCATCGCACTGACGGTCATCACTCCCACTCGCGCTCTCACCACCGCCACGAAGACGAAGAATACTACGCCGGTGCCAGCCGTGTGTCCCGCCGCGACGAGCATCGCAGCCGTAGCCGCTCCTCCTCCGGCAGCCCCCACCGCAAGCGTCACATCGCCGAGGGCGCCCTCGCTGGTGCCGGTGTATCCGCCCTGATTGCCTCGCGGCGCAACAAGGAAGGTGAGGTAGATAAGCACAAGGGGCGCAAGATTGTCGCCGGCGCCGCTCTGGGCGCTCTAGGTACCGAAGCTGTCCGCCGCGCCCACAGCGCCTACAAGGACCGTCATGAGTCCGATGACGAGCATGACCGTCGCTCTCGTTCGCGCTCGCGTTCCCACTCCCGCATCAAGACCGGCTTGGGCATCGCCGCTGTTGCTTTGGCTGCCGCTGGTGCCGCCAAGTACTACGAGTCCAAGAAGATCGAGAAGGAAGAAGCCGAGCGCGGTCGTGCTCCCCGTCGCTACAGCGAGAGCGACTACTACTCCCGTTCGCCCAGCCGCAAGCGGTCCAAGTCCCGCGCTGGTTCCGTAGCCAAGGCCGCCCTCGGCACCGCCGCCGCTGTTGGCGTCGTGCAGCACATCCGCCACAAGCGAAGCAAGTCCCGCCATGGTTCGCGGTCTAGCAGCTCCAGCAGCGACCGCAGTGGACACCACTCCAAGCTGAAGACCGGAGCCGAGATCGTGGCCGCGGGGGTAGCCGCCGGAGTGGCCAAGAAGGCGTACGACAAGCACAAGGAGAAGAAAGAGCGGTCGCGCTCGCGCCACGCCGCCGACGACCGAGACCGTGAGTTCTACGATGACGACGGATATGATCGCGACCGCGATTACCGCTCGCACAGCAGAAGCAGGAGCAGAAGCCAACATCGGTCCGCATTACCCTCTTCCCAAAATAACCATGCCTCCCAGAGGACCGTCGCTGATGATCCTGAATCCTTAGGTTTGGTTGAGTACGGAATGAACCCCGTGCCCGTTGATTCCCCCAGAGATGATGAACAACGACAACAACAGCAGTCGCATAGTAAGAGCAACAAGAAAAAGACGGCGGCGCTTGCTACGGCTGGAGCTGTTGCTGCTGTAGCAGGCGCAGCGGCAGTAGCGAGACACAATAAACGCGACAAGGAACCACCGCCAACGCCACAGTTACTATCTGCCGTTGAAGACTACGATGATAACGGGACTGTCACGGGGTATGAGTTGGCGGCGGAGGAGCAGAGGGAGAAGGAAAGGGAAAGGGAACGCCGCCGGCGGGAGAGGAGAAGACAGAGGGAGCGGGAGAGAGATGAGGAGATGGGTGATACGTTGTTAGTTTCGAGAGCGAGAGAGCAAGAGGAGGAGGAGGTTGGTTATTACTCTGATAGCGAGGATAGCGAAGAGGAAAGGATGAGAAGACGGAGGGCCAAGAGTAGAGACCCCGAAAGAGTGAGGGAGAGGAGCGAGAGGAGGGCTAGTAGAAGTCCGGAGAAGAAGGATAAGTCGGCTAGGAGTAAGAGTCGGTTGGGAAGACTGGCTGCTGGTGCTGCGGCGGCGGGCGCAGCGGCTATTGGGATTAAGAAGTTGGGTGATAACAAGGATAAAAAGGACAACAAGGAGAAAGAGAGGGAAAGGGAGAGAGAAAGAGAGAAGGGAGGGGATAAGGAGATAGAGAGGGAAGAGAGGGACATTGGATTGGTGGAAAGAAGAAATAGTAGGGATAGTGATAGAGAGAGGATGGAAAGACAACGGGAGAGGGAACGGGAACGTCGACGTGAGTTTCATCTTCCTATCTTTTTACCATATGTCTTTCTGTGAGACTCTGCTACTGGAGTCGTTGATACTAACATGACCACAACTAGGCTACGAGGAACAATCCGCTCCCTCTGATCCTTTCTACAAGCAGCAGCGACGGCCAGCCTCACCTCCTCACGCGTCAGGCGGATATGCCCCGGTACCTCCCACGCCTCCTGCTGTCGCGCCTGCTATTGCTCCTGTTCCAACAGTGACAACTACACCACCACAGCCAGCACAAGCACCACCACCCCCGCAGCTTCAATCACATCGTTCATCAACCGCCGGGTTTACTCAACTTCCGAACATGACCTTCACCGATCCGAATCAATTCCAAACACCGTATCCCATGGGGCCGGAGGTGATGCCGATGCCAATGCCTGGATCAGGACCAGCACCTGTTCAACAACAACCGGTTCAGCAACCGCAACAACAGCACCAGCAATACCAGCCTTACAACCCACAAGACTATGTTGCTTCCTACCCACCGCCTCCTCCTGGTCCTCCAGGGCCTTCGGGTCCCGGAGTAGAGGTGCCGCCGGTACTAATCCCAGGCTCGTCAGCTGCGGCTGCGGCTACAGCACCACCACCAGTGGCTACCGGTTCATTCCAGGGAGCTGTTCCTCCTCCACAAGAAGTTCCCCCAGCACTGAGGGCTCCCCAAGGAGTACCAGCTTCGTTAATGGTTGGCGCGCCGTCGCATCTTTCGCAGTCGCAGTCGCAGTCGGTAATCGGGAACCGTAACCGCCCTGAAGATGTGAGTATACGATCATCTACAAGTCCCAGATCTACTAGAGATGCTATGATGGGTATGGGTGACGAGAGGGAAGAAGAACGCCGCCGTCGCCGCTCAGTGAACATGTCTAGGTCTAGGCCTAGGCGGTCGAGAGGTGATATTGGCGTCGTTGCCGATAGTGGGAGTGGCAGTGGTGGTGGTACGAGGGAGACGAGAGAGAGAGAGAAGGGTGCGTCTTCTTAGCTTGATTTTCCTTGGTCATCTGTTTTTGGGTTTGACCTGTTTTATGCTGCCCCTTCTGTCTGCCCCTTTCCCTTCTCACCCCATTCAGTACAGTTTAGAACAAACCACAACGTCACGACAGCGATGCTAACTACTCCTCCACAGATGGTCTAACAAGTCCAAGAATCGCTCTCCACCCACCCACACCCACCGACTCTTCTGATTCTGCTTCCGAAACCGATTCCCCCTCATCTACCCCCAAAGACAATGCCCCACCCGCCTCAAAATCAGTAACCTTCATCCCCCTCTCGCCCAAATCCTCTCAAACCCTCCAGCGCCACCACGAAGAACAAATGGCCAAAGAAGCCGCCAAGCGCATCTCCGGCGTCGACCCCGACAACGCTTCCGATAACTCTAACGCTGCCTCCGAGGACTTTGAGGATAAGCTGGATAGGGAGTTGAATGCGTTGGTGCCTGCTAAGTATCGGTCTGCCGAGTCATCCTCTTCTTCTCACTGTAACCGGAGCCGGGACCGCTCTCCATCTAAACGCCACGGGAATTCGGATGAGGGTGAGGATGACAGTGACTCGACGCTGGAAATCTTACCAGATAGATTCGACAGAGACGGCCAACCTCTGAACCCTAGGGATAGGAAGATGCACTCCAGAAAGGGCGAGTTCCTGTACCATGATAACCACGGTAACGGCCTCAAACAGATCGCTGGCACGGGACAATGGGGTATTAGCGGGACTGATGCACAAGCTGTGGAAAGGATCGTGAGGAAGGTGGAGGGGGTACTTGAGGGGAAAGGAAGCTGGACGGGACTGGTTATGGGGTTATTGAGTGGACGGTTGATGGAGGGTGGGGATGGGGATAGTGAGCTTGGTGAGGCGGTGAAGCCGAGGAGTAAGAGTAAGAGTAAGAGGAGGAGGGGGATGGCTAGGTTGGGGGTTTGAAGGTGTAACGTGGGTGTTAGTAACGGTGATTGTTGATGGTTGATAAGTGATGATATGACGACGGTGATGCACGGTGGAACGGCGACGATGGGGTTTGGATATGATGACTGATGATGATTAATGACCATTTCCTTACTTTGTTATTTCTCTCCATTTTTCTCCTCTCTTTCTTGATTTGGGTATTTTTCATGAGTTATGCTTTGGTATCTAGATACGACGTTCTGCTTTTTCATGTTGTGCTTTATGTTATGTTTTGCCGCGTTGATGTAGTTAGTCATTCTCCTGTCTCTCCTTGAGTTAGTATGATACCAATACAATATGGTTTGGTTTGGTTTACATTCGACAAATATTCCCTTTACAATTGCATGCTTTGTTCTGACCGCTGTAGGAACTCGCTCATCGCTGGACTTAATGACTTGAATTAGGTTGTTGCTCTGTTGGTATGTAACTCCAAACCTATTATTACCATGTTACCTATCTCAAAACGTCATTGACCTGAACATTTTCTACTTGTAGTTGACTCTCGGAGTTGCAACTTCACATTTCATTGTGTGAAGAGAATCAAAACATGTTACGGATCGGGACGAAGGGAATTTGATTGACTGCCAAATGAGAGAAACATATATTCCGAGCTTGATACGCTACAAAACCTATAGAAAGGGTTGGCACGCTCTTTTGACTAAACACTTGACGAACAAAAGCCATGACCGTAATCGTAGCCACTTTAAACCTACACGCCTGTTTATGCTCTTTGATAATAACATGTTGGGCCACTATACAGACTGACTTGCACGCTCCCCTCCTCCAGCCGATAAGTATAAGGAGATTGATGCCATGGAAATGACATAAGGAAGAGAGCATAACTATTACGGTCTCGTCACCAGACAGACAAACACACAGAAAAACCGAGCAAGTACCTGTCTGGCCAATAAACAGAACAATGATACAGAGCAGCTGATGATGAGGAACCCCTTCGATTCGAGATCCCATAAGGTATGTAGACAAAAACAGACGCCGCTAGATGAGAAAAAGAAACCACAACCACTAAGTGAGTACCAAATGCCGCAAAGCCACCAAGTCTATATCAATGTAAATCTTCGCTCAGGTAGGTAAACTACGACGAGCCATCCTTCTCTCTCTCCTCCATCTCCTCAGCCATGACCTTTAACTCATACGTAAGATCATAGCACTCAGCCAGCAGAGCGCTAACGCTCCCCTGACCCTCGGGTATATCGCCGCCGACCATGAACTTGCCATCGACGCGCATGTTGTCGATGGAGTTAAGCTGTAATCCAACGTTACTCACTGCCCAGAGCCCATCGCCCAGTTGGGGGAACAATGACAAACATACCTTCATGCTGTAAGGGTACAGCTCCCTGACCGAGCTGACACCGCCCGAGTCCTTCACCTCGATCAGGCACCGCTTCAACGTCTGCAGCTGGTTGTAAATGGGCAAAAGGGCCTCCGACACCGGCTCCGACGAGATCATCAGGTAATAAATGTAACCGTAGCTCCTCCTGATGAGGTACAGCAGCGTGCGCTGCACGTACAGCTCGGCCGGCTTTCCTTCGTCGTCGAGCCAGTTACCGTCCACTCGGCTTTCATCGATCTTGTCAAGCTCGCGCTGGTAGTCGTACAAGTCCGTCTCGCGCAGCGACCAGGCCTGGGTGATGGAAAGCTTCTCAAGCTCGTTGCGGATGCTGACGAGCTGCTCGTGCCTGGACTTGAAGGCCTCGGGGATGACTCCTCTCCTGAAAGGGGGTTAATGACTGGCTGGCTGGCAATGGTAAAGGGCTTGGTTGTACGTACCTTTCGAGAACAATCTCCGACCACTTAAGGCAGACATCGACCAAGTGCGACACCCTCTCGCTTCCGCGAAGAACCTTACCGTCTGGTCCGACAAAGTGGCCATCCACCCTTGACTCGTCAATCTCCTTGACCTGCGCTTGTAGTCTCTGGACCTCCGATGCCGAAAACTGTGTAACCTGTTAGCTTTACCCCTCATCCACTCTTCTCGTATCCGTCCGCCCTTGTGCGTCCTTACCTTCGCCTTGGTGTTCGCAAGCGACATGGACCGTAGTATGGAAATCAGCCTCTCGTGGATGCTCTGTAGCGGATCCTGCAGGCCATCCACCCTCTTCTTCAGGTTGTCCAGAGAGCTGTGGCAGAGTTCTAGGCGGTTGGCCAGGAGCTCGATAATGTAAGGCGAGTGGGAGTGGTCGGTGGCCGTCATGACCTTGTCGAGCTGGGAGAGGGTATGGCCCATGCTGTTCAGGTCCTTGGCTGAGTAGAGGTCGGCCTCGGTCAGATGGTCGAGTAATCGCTTGATGGTTGAGGTCAATGCGTAGGCCGCGGGGGCTTCTTGTGTGCGGCCGATTGTCATGAAGAAGAGAGAGAGAAGCTGTAGGCAGCTTTCGAGGACTCTATCGACTGTTGGGTTGTGTTAGATTAGATCTTTTTGTTTCAGAGAGGGACTATGGAGGATGCGCATATGTACCTCTGGTCTCGGTAACCTTTTCCCCTTTCCTGATCTCGTTGAGCTCCTTGACCTGCTCGACAACCTCGTCATAGTGTACAATCACATCTTGGGTGCGGATGTATTTCGTTCGGTCTCTCTTGAGAAGCAGGAGCTGGTCGCGGATGGCTGAGAGCTTGTCGAGGATAGCTTGCTCACGCTCATCTTTCGGCATGGGCATCGCCGGAGTCTCCATTGTCGCGATGTGTGTTTTGTATGTTTATGGGTAAATGTCGGTGAAGTCGGTTGCGATGTTCAAGAGTTGGCTCTGTTTCATTAACTTATGGTCGTTCGAGGGTCGATGTTGGTTGATCGGCAAGAGAAGAAAAGAGAAAAGTTGCGAAAGAATTGTTGAAGAGAAAGACTGCAGCCAAGCAATTGGGAAAAGCTGCTGGTTGCTGGAGCAAGGGAACGAATGTTCGAAACGGCGGTTCCTTGTTCAACTTGGTCTTCTTTGATCCGAGGGGCACTTGTAGGTAAGATATGTAATGCGCCTCAAACAATGGGCAGAGTGCAGGTTGGGAAAGTTGTCGTTCGGTTGATGGCGTCTATGTTTTCCCCTTTCCGAGGAGTTGTCAAAGGGATCCCCGGGATGATTCCAAAAACCTGAGACAAGTGCAAATAGTTTGTTGATGAACGCTGCTTCCTGATTCGTGCGCTTTCCCCTTGTTGATCTCTTTTGGGTTTTGCGGAATTGCTGCCCGGAGAGTGCTGGTTGCCAGAAATGCAGATGGGGATGCTTTTCCTACAGCACCTCCTGCCCCCAGCATCGGCAGGCACTCCGCTACGCCAGGAGAAAGGCCTATGGCGCCCCGAATCCACAGCGGCGACGTCAGTGGGTGCATGAATGGCGGCGGGGCGAAGGAGCTCCATGGTGGGGCTCTTGGAGCAACACGACCGACAGGGGTCGAGGCCTGGCGGGAAGCTTGTCGACCACTCGTCTTGGCAAGGCTGGGCGCCAAATGCTTCCCCAAATTCCAGGCCATTGTTCAACTGGGGAACATCAGTCGTCCCGATCCGGTACAAGTGCGACGGCATGGACGTGCCTGGTGTTGGGCGGCAGCACACTTGGTTCGGGTTGGGTTGGGGAACCGCCCGCTTGTTTGGACATCGTGGGGCTGCCTGGCTGTCTTGCAGTTCTCCAAGCGTGCACAGACCAGGCACAGAGAAGCCCAAAAAGTCTTGGCGGTTAAGCCGCTGCCAGTCGCTTGCCAGCTGCCCAGCTTTGTAGGGTCCCAGGGCATTTTTTGAATTGCCCACAACTAATTAAATTTCCCTCTCCGCGAATTTCTAGCTTGGACATCATCCCACGATCGAACAGCCCTCCCGAGACTCAGCATCTTTGCGCCTCGACAATCAACACCATCAAAATGTCTACTGCTGAGCTGGCTACCTCCTACGCGGCGCTCATCCTCGCCGATGACGGCGTTGAGATCACTGTGAGTTTGCGACCAATGCACACGATCTTTTGGGGGAGTTTTAGGTGGATTGGGACATTTGGGATTGGGGCACTTTCAGAACGCGTCCCCTCGCGCCATGTACACCGTTATTGCTCGACATGCGCTCAACGACCAGGGGCAAATGACGAAATGTGGAATGAGGGGCAAATGGGAGTGGAGGAAACACATTCATGATATGAACAAACAAGCGATTGGGAGGAACAATGTTGACTAACCAAACCTGTTTTCGCATGATATAGGCCGACAAGATCCAGACCCTCATCAAGGCCGCCAAGGTCGAGGATGTCGAGCCCATCTGGGCTTCCCTCTTCGCCAAGGTACGATGAAACCACCACCACCGACGACGACAACGGACAGGATTTCCGAGAGGAGGAAACGATATTATTGGGAACATACGAAGAACACGATAAACTGACTGGAGTCTCTTTTGCGACAAATAGGCTCTTGAGGGCAAGGACGTGAAGGACCTCCTTTCCAACGTCGGCTCCGGTGGTGCCGCCGCTGCCCCCTCTGCTGGTGGTGCCGCTGCCGCTGGTGGTGCCGCTGCTGAGGAGAAGGCTGAGGAGAAGGTTGAGGGTATGTGGAATCATCATCTACTCGCTGCAACCCCTTTCCCGGGGCCGTTGCTGTTGCTGCTGCCAGATACTGACTTGCGTTTTTTGCACATTTACAGAGAAGGAGGAGTCCGACGAGGATATGGGCTTCGGTCTCTTCGACTAAACGAAGAAAGGGGGCTTTCTTCTGGTTTGGTCATGACCTCTCGTTTCCAGTTTGTTCTTCCAAAGCTTGCATGGGTCTGCGACGGTTTCTCGCACATACGACTACGGTTATGGGAGGCTTGTGATATCAGGGGTCGGGTTCATCGGCGTAGCTTTACATGGACAATGAAGATGCGCTTTTGAGCAAAGAAAAAGAAGTTAAAAAAGACACTTGGAAGGCTTGCTCTCTCCATTTGTTGAAAGCGACGACGGGTTGCCAACAACCGTAGCCAGACATCCGTCTACGACGACCGACACAGCGCGCCCGGATGTTTGATTCATCGAGCACAACGATCCCCAAGCTGTTTTGATACCCGGACCTGAGGTTCATGTTCACCGTTTTGGAAGACGAATGGCTACAATGTCTTGAGAAGCAGATAGACAAAAACTATCTGTTGCTGGTTCCAACTCCCGCCGTGTTCACTTTACGACTCGTGTTTGTTTACTTTGCCATGACCTACGACGTCATCCCGATCTGTCTTCAGACGACTGTCTTCAAGGTCCCGATATCACGATTGTTCATCAACCCCTCCTGCCACCTGCCACTGCGACGCGGTTGGGACCGCGTTCACTTTGGAATTGGAATTGGAATTGGAATTGGAATTGGAATTGGAATTGCCACAGCCCTGTGTGCACCTTGCTGGCCACGACTCCATTCCCAGGTCAATCTCTCCAGATTTCTAATCCACTGATCCCAGACGCAGATCTTATCGATTGTTATCAGTTGTCCCTGACGATAATGGAAGATAAGGGAACTGAGGCGATCCACAGACTCACCCTCACTTCCTGCCACAACATCACCAATGACTCTCCCATGCAATCAAGGGGGTCAATGACATCGATTCCCTCCTTTGTCGTCCCGCCCCACGAGAGTACCAATCATGATCATGTCAAAGCCTTGACTACCTGATTGTACTCTTAGTGTGGGGTTCAGGTACTTGAGAAGGTAAGCAAAGGGAAGCTCATCAAACCTCAACCACAACTTTGTCGCTGAGCACATTCAAGACACTCAACCATACGGCTGGCTGGCATGTGTTCTGAAAAGAACTGATCTTTGAGATCCATCAGTCTCACTTCGACACCGCTCAATGTTCATCGGTACCAATTACTATAACAAGCCAGGCCAAATATCCGCAGGAAATAAACGGAAAGAAAGTACAATGATAGTCGCCCATCAAATCACCATCACGAGAAGAGGAACCGTCCATGATCCATCTGTCCCTTACCCATCCTTAGATCGCACACACATCACAACTCGTCCACTTCCCCTCTTACGAGAAACCTCTCTCCAATATCTATCACGATGTCAGTCTCCATCCCTTCTTCCTTCCTCCTTGCTTGTAACTATTCCCCTTCCCCTTCAGCCCTTTATATATTTCCAGACCGCGTTCATATACCCCTTCATCTCTACCTCCCCTACTCCCGTCCATTACCCGATAAACAAACAAACAGACCATATCTTGCCTCCATCCCAACCTTACCCTGCCACTGCCCTGCCCTACTCTCCCACACTTGCGTTTAAGCTCTATCAGCAACCCCCTCAGCACTCCCCTTCCCCTTATTATCAGCACCAGCCTTCGGCGAAATCCCAATTAACTTCCTCCAAAAAGCATTATAAGCTTCACTTCTCTCCTTGTTTGCTGCACCTCCCACGTTGGTCTTGCTAAGTCTCTTCGACTTTGATCTCTGGACGCCAGTGGTTTCCTCTGCCTGCTTCTCAGTTTCCGCTGAAGCAGCCGTGTTTGGGGCAGCAGCTGGGGCCAGGGTGATTTCCATCGGCTGAGCAGCGACGGGAGGGAAGGGCTCCGATTTGGGTTCTTCTCGTGCCACTGCGTCAAGGGCTAGAGGCTTCATGCTGCTGAATTCGGCGATGGGTTCCATTTGGATTTGGCTGTTGGAGGGCTCGTTGATGGTGGGGATTTGTTGCTGTTGGACGACAGTGACGGTGCCGGCTGGGATGATGTCTGAGTCTTGGTCTGAGCCTGGGGTTGAGTCGTTGTTCTGGGGCTGTTGGGACTGGGAGTTGGAGCTGGAGTGGGAGCTGGAAGGAATGAGAGAGCGAATGAAGGACGGAAGGGCGGGCATGTTCCTCTTGATATCTCTGGGTCGGGTAGGGGCGAGATGGGAGTGATCTCAGCGTTGGGTGGGGTGGTGTTGATTAGTGACCCCAACACTTTGCTGCTGGAAGATGGAAAGGGGGAAGAGTGAGGGGCTGATGCTGATGAAGAAGCCAACAAGAGCGGAGGAGCCGAGATAAAAAGGGCGTTGCAGAAACCCGAAATGGCTCGGAGAGAATGAGGGAACACAAGTAATAAGAAAGAGAAAAAAAATTAAACAAAAAGTAGATGAACTCGCACCTCCCTCCATCTCTTCCCGCTCCCGCAACAAAGCCACATTTTTACATATATTCTCACCATCCTGCCGTTACCCTCTCTCCCTACACGAGTCCGTTTAGTCCCTTGTTGAGGCATTGATAATCAATCCTCACGCTTCTTTCCATGCGAAAACCCATGTGGCCATCCATGCCCACGCCCATGCCCATGCCCTCCCCCTGCCCTGGCGAGCCTGGCGAACCTGGCTGCGTGAGAAAATGCGGATAGGTAGTTCGAGCAAACATACCTTTTACCCATGGCTTCGGTGACACAGCTCTTTATTTATACATACGCAGATTTGGCTTTGGCATTAAGAAGACGTGTTTGCTCTAAGTTAACTTGAAGAGCCGAAAACGGATGGATGGACAAATGTCGTGCGTGTGTCGGGAATTCTTTTTGCACTTCTGTATGATTGTAGAGCATCAAACGCAGTTATTCTTGATATATCCATGTCTTTCTTCGACCGAGCCTGGCAGTTGTAGAACCTTGCTGCTGGTTGATGTCCTCTTGATCTCTCGAACGGTTATGAACTCTTCTCGGTTCACGGTCGTTAACCGTATATTATGGTACGGTAGGTGTCAGCTGGTGGCTGTTGGCTGCTGTCATGATACTCATCTACTCTCTCTCTTGCGTGGGTACAAAAACCGAGGGAGAGTACAAGATCGTATGGCAATCTTACCTACTCTAGTAAAAGCGTTACCCAGGGGCATTCCAGCTCACACCCACCGTTATCGTATTTTCAGTCATCTTTCATCGAAGTTGATATCCTGGTTTGACTTCGAGGTAGATAAATAATCACGACAACAGGATTTAAGGGAGTTGACGGGAGACAGCGTAAAATCAACCAAGTGGTATAGTGTAGGAAGTAATTCAATCCTCGCTCTTACGTAACATCTCCAACTCCATTTTGTCTTTCAAAAATCTCCGTGCTTTTCCATACCTCTGCGTCTGCCTGCCTGCCTGTCTTTTCTTGCTCTTGCCTGGGCGGGTATCTTCTCGTCCAGTCCCTTCCTTGCCCGGCTTTCCGCACTGCGTCAATTCAATTCAATTCAATTCAATTTGCCCTGTCACGAACACTCCCCTCTCCAATGAGTCCATAATGAGAAGGAACTCTGCCATGTGTAGCTACGGGATGCTCCTTCCTTCCTTCCTTCCGCAATCCCACTTCCTCCTTTTTATGTCATGTGCCTACCCCGTTCCGTACTTTTCAGTTCCTTCTCTTTTCTTCGTTCGTTCCTTCCATGCCATGCGGTCCATGTTCCATGTTCCATTCCATTGCCCTTGCCCTCTGCCCCCGTGTAATTTTGTTCTCCCGTTTTAGTCCCCCTCTTGATTATCCCTTCTTTCTGTTTTGTTCTTTCACTTTATTCCCGCTGGTACCTTTTGAAGTGCCTCCTCTTTATCTTTGTGACTTTTCCACATTCGTTTCTTCTACCTGTAGTTCCCCTTACCTGAGGTGTCCTCAGTACATGCAACTCGGTCCCGAATGATAACCATGAAATAAGGAAAAGAAAGACAGCCGAGAGGAGTAAAAGCTCCTGTTGGTTATGGTCACCACTTTCCCAAATTCACCGCGCTCGCATCGCAAACAGAGACATCATCAACATCACCGTCGTCACCATCATCACCAACACACACACACACACACACACACACACATACAAACACACGACGGATGCTCAGAAACAGACAAACATGAAAAAGATAACATACATACAGACATACGTACAATACATACAACCCGTTAACCACAGATGATTGATGCCCCAATGCTATGCAACTTTGAACGGCGCTCAGAGAGTGAGAAAGAGAGGGAAATATACAGAGGATGAAGTCATTGAAGCTGATAAAGTGCCCATCATCTCACAAGTAGGAGAGAGAGAGAGAACCGTAGTGCCTGCTTGCTCCCTTCCTTCATAAAGATATTCCGACAAAGAAAAAAAAAAAAAGTGTGTAGTCTGCGTTGAGCCACAGCAGCAGTGTAGTAGTGTAGTAGTGTCGTGTCGTTGTAATGTATGTATAGTGGGTATTGATTTTTGTTTATCATGAAACCAGTTTCAAGCAAGTAGAAAAGATTCGTTATATCGAGTTCATTTGTCTCGTGTGTCAGGGTCTTATTTGTTCCTGTGCGTGCAGGAATGCAGTGGGGACTTGGTTCTCTATCATGGGTCCTGGGTCCGTCCCTACTCTTCCTTTTTTTTTGGTAAAACTCATTGAAAGGAAATAGAAACGTCATCATCGTGGTGGTCGTTATCATCACTCCCTGTTTTCCCACCGCTGCCCACATCCTCTATCGGCTTCGCTTGCTCCGGCGGCTTTCTCGGATCCCGATCATTAGCCGCATTCGCCTTGACCGTGGTCTTGCCCGAAATCGCAGCCGTTCTGACCCTCTGGCTCAGCGGCAGGGTATACTTTAGCACACCCTTGATGATGAGTTGGAAGTCATCCGCTATGATGCGCTCCCATCTCTCTGTTCCGCCCACCGTTACGTTGCCGGGGTTCTTTAGGCGGACTTCGCCCATGGATGTAGATAGGCCTTGGTGGAAGAAGGAGCCTTCAAAGGTCAAGGCGCTGTTGAAGCCCGTGATAGTGCCGAGGCGCATGTTGGGAGATGATTCCTCAGGGGGTTGGTCATTCGGTGGGTCGTCTAGGATCTTCACTAGATCTCCTAATTTGGCGATTCGTACCTCGTCCTCGCTGCTTTCCAGAGGTGGCATGTCACCAGGGTGAGTCCGATACCATTCTGAGTCGGTACCAGCATGCGGTGATTTGGCAAAGACTTCGATATCCGCCGCATCCACCACCACAACCACCACATTGGGATTCTTCGCCCTGATCGTCAGGTCGAGCATCAGCTCCTGCTCGCTCGCAACGACATGGTCCATCGATATTAGCTCGATATCGGTAAGCGGTTGTGACGTCGCAAACATGAATCCAATCGCCCCCGAAACGACAAGCAAAAGCATCACTGTCAAGACCAGGCAACTTGCGAACCGATTCAAGAAGGACGGCGGTTGCCGGTATGTGCCTGATTCCATGGACCTGAGCGAGTGTAAGCCGTTCCTCCGACTTCGTGCCGACCTGGATGACCGTACTGTCCCAGACTGTATCAGCGGCGTGGTTTCGTCGTCGGCGCCAGTAGTAGTGTCGTCGAGATCGTAACCGGCCGATAGATGCGTTCCCCGGCTGCTCTTAGCATGGAGGCTGCTCCGGCTCAAGTATCGGGGGCTGTTAATACCTGATGACTGTCGTGAATTGTTGTTTCCCGGGTTGATAGCTCCGCTGAACGGTGATTGTTCGGCGAATAGCGACGGATGCCCGTTTCCTCCTCCATTACGACCCCCATCGGCCGTAGTGATGGTGTCGACCTGATGTTCCCCTGGCTGATCCTGCTGTGCTTCTCCCGGTTGTGCTCTTGCCGTCCTCTTCGGCGCCAACGCTTTCGTTAATGCTGGGATTGTAAGAATTCACAAACTTCATGCTTCGCTTTACCCCGATAGGTTGTTCCTGGGTCATCATGGCGGAATGGATGGTGCGCATGTCGGTACGGTTCAGCTGGCTGACCATTGATGCCGCGCTCGGTGTCCTAGAGTGATAACGGGGTGGTCTGGGATGGTCGGGAGGGTTGGAATCGTAGACAAATGTTTCGTCCGAGTCTGACGAGTTAGTTTCCTCAATTGCGCTCGCTACCTTTGCCTCGAAGATGTCGGCCTTGGACGATGCTGGACGATGTCTAGTCAGTAAGTTGCTCACTTGGTGAATTACAAAGCTCTGACTCCGTGGTTCTGAAGCCCCTGGAGACCGAGAAGGAAATATGTGCCTGCTGGCTTCATCAGGCGGCGGAGGACCATGGTGATACTTCGTTGGCGAAGTACCCATCTCGGTAGCCGAGGAGACTGATCTCGTAGCTTGATGATGCCGAAGCCTTGGCTGTAAAATGAACTGATTTGTCTCACCAGTGCCAGATGTCATGCTGGGTTGCTTCCGTGCCGTCCTCTTCTTTTCTTTCTTGGGGGGCCGGATCGTTTCCGTGCTGGGTTTCGTGCGCAGACTGCCATTTGAAGGCTGCACCCCTACTCCTGGAGCGAGGGCGACTTGGGGGATCGAGGTAACCGTTTCTGCTTCTACCGTCATGCTCTGTTGAGAACCCTCGCCGGGCTTCCCCTTTGCAGGAGGTCGTACCGATGTACTCGACTGCCTTGACGTCAGGGGCGGCGCACTGGTCGATCCGCTTCGGCGGCCCGCCTCGATCGGGGTAGTATCTTCCGCTCCGCTTTCCGTCATGATTGAATTCGATCTTCCCGCTAGCTCTCTTTGACGAGAGTATTCACCGATATCTGATGGCACGGTCGGTTCGGACATGAGCCTGTGACCCAGTTTTTCCTCCATTGACTGCTCAAAAGCCCTCGGAGAACCAAGCGGACTGACTTCCTGAACGGTCTCAAGGATGGACGTGCTCCCTCCCGCAGCGCGAGCGGGAGTTCTGGCCCCGGGCTGGGTTGGAGTGAGGTCGTCCGCGTCTGTGTCCGACTGAGACTCTGAGGCGGAAAAGGACGATGGCTGTCGTTGAACGGCGGTGGGAGAGATGTCTGGAGTATGATCCTGTCGTCTGGGCGGACCGAGGATTGGCGGCTTGGTGAGGATGGGTGGAGGAGATCGCAGTCTAGAGGACACGGGCCACTTCAAAAGATCCTGGCCACCAGTCGGTTGTGATTGAGCAGCAGCAGACGAGTGGGTAGTTGGCGATTTGGACGGGGGTGCGGGCGCATTGACGTTCCGATCCGTCGCAACGGGGGAAAAGGTAGGCGTTGTGGCCGACGACAGTGTTCTCGAGCCGGTTGTAGACAAGGATATGCTGCCTGGTCTCGTGGATCTCGAGGGGCCGGGATCCTGGAGGCTGTTCTTGCGCGATCGAGGTACAGCACCGCCAGCAGCAGGAGGACCGCGTGAAGGGGCTCGCGATGATGTAGTATTATGGGTGGTGTGGGCGCGGTTGAGAGGTCGGGTGGGAGAAGGTTCGCGCGACGCAAAGGGCGAGGGAGCTACAGACGAAGCGCGGGAGACTGAGGATGCAGACGTGGCCGTGGTCTGCGAGGTCAGCTTGGAAGGCCATGAATCGGTCCTGGGATTGACGGTCGCCGCGGAGCTGGAAGTGGATTCGCGGGACAGCGTGGGGAGTGGATTCAACGACGGGGCAGCAGCGGGTTGTGTCTGTGCCTGCGCATGCGCCTGGTGCTGGCCGGTGTTTGCATGGGTCACGGTCCGATTTTGAGGATTCGCAGGTGCTGTAATCGGCGGGACCTGGACTGCAGTCGGGAGCTGGTACCGCTTGGGAGAAGACGGAGATGTCGACGTCGACGTCGTGATGTTTGGCGATTTGTCCATGTTTGCACTGACGGCGCCAGGCGGCCGGCTGCTGGGAGGCAGAGGGAGACCGACGACGACAACGGAAGGGATGGGGACTGTTTCGGATCACACATGCCAACCAAGCCAGGAACAGGGCGTTCGTTGTTTGAGTGGGTGGGTGTTCCGAATAGTCGGATGTGATATTAGCTACAATTGCTAGGGAGAGAGACGAAGCGTCATGTCCGGGATCGACAGTCGAGGTCCGTCTGTCGTAGTGTAGTTGCACGCAGTGTCGCAGCAGAGGTGTGTGTGATCAATTCGTGGTATGGATTCGGGTTTTGATTGCCAGGTGGTTGTGGTGTTATTGTTGGGCAGCGGGCGGGAGAGAAGAAGAAGGACAGTCGCTCGGTTATCGATGATGCTTTGGGGGGACCTGGAGTTGACGATGGTACGTGGATGGATTAAGCAGTGGAGGGACCGCGGCGGGGCCTTGCTCTTCTTGTTGGTACTGGTACAGTAGTCACAAGTAGTCAACGGGCGGATAACTAATCGAGCAATGGCCTTCCGCTTGAATGTAACCAGACGATCCAGGCAATGATGGGCGCATGCACAAAGAAAAAAAGAGTTAGATGAACCCAACAAGGTTGGTTTTAGGGAAACTGATGTTATCGCTCGTAGAAAAGAGGTGTTGTTGTTTTGATCGTCGGTGTTGTTTGTTGCTCAATTGGCATATGACAACCTTGAAACATGGGATGACAACTGACAAGCAAAGTGACAGCTTATTAGTTGAACAAGGTGACGCTCGGAGACTTGGAAACTCGAGACGAAAACAGGAAGACTTTTGGAGAGAGTATATGACGGCAAGAGCATCCAGAGAGGACAGACACACAAAGTCTGCGCGGGACTTCACAGGTTGTTCGGCTATTCACTACCCACTAGCACTGTCCATCTAGTCACTCGGTAAAATCCTGTCCTTTTACAGCAACTAAGTCTCGTCACCTCGCAATCAAATGAACAAAATGGATGATGTCGTTTTTGTTGGGCTACCAAGCCGTGACCAGGCAACGCTAAACACACAAGTGACCTGTGACAATGGCCCAGACCACTTGCTACCAGACGTTCTCGTGAATCTATCTAATTAATGTAGAAACCGCCATACTGTGCTGATAGTGCATTGAAAGAGGCCTTGTTGCGGCCTTACCTTATGCGACAAGAAACGCATCCGGCCAATCAGAAACAACAAAGCACAGGCCCTGGCCGCATACGTCTTGTGTGCACGTACGCACGTCTGTTAGGCATTGCTAGGCAGCTCTTGGTTAGCGCTATCTAAAGAATGGCACAGTAGGGCCGCTACCCTCTTCCAACTTGGTCGTGGTGCATCTTCCTGTTGGTTGATGGTTCATTGTCAGCGAAGAAATCTCTTCTCTTTTCCACATATCGTTTGAAGGCGAATCCTTTGATGGTGGAGTTTTGTTGAGTTTTTCCATCTTCGCTTATGTATACCTAAAATGTGATTGCCAACGAGCATTGTGCTGCTGCTTCTTCTTCCACTTTACTTGTGCACATTGCACAAAAGAGTTGTCAACCACTCGTCGTCTCCAGATCCCGTCCTAGGTTGACCTTCCTGGGTGCTTAATGGGACAGTAAAAGGGCAACAATAGAACTGTCTCAGCTGAATGGATGTTTATGGCGACACAGATTGTCAAACGCACACGAACGAGAATAGAATCCACGAGAAGTAAACCAGGGGCGGCAAACTAACATTACAAAATATTCGGACTACTGCATGAAAAGGAAAAACAAAAAAGATCTTTTGCGGCGTTGTCAGCATTTTCAGGTCCCGCCGCCGCCGCCGGACCGGATGGTAACTCTGACCATGTCTCCGTCCAGTCAGTCGTCTCTTTCACACTTTTGTACTTTGTGCCTGAGCTGGTCTAATTCTCCGGATACACCCAGATCGGATACCCGTTTTCCACATCAGGGTTACCTTCCAGAGCTGGAATACATGGAGTTCGGCTCTCTTGGTGGCCCTGTGATTGACACGGTATCATAAAAAATGTCGCAATGTCTCCTTCCGTTATAAATCGCCGGAAGTCGGTAACATTCAAAGAGAAAATTCTTCTCCAGATGGACCGAGTTTCCATTTTCATTCCCGGCCTTCTTTCCCAGGCCGGGACTGACCAGGGCCTGGCGGGCGGGCGATGGAGCCAAGCGTCCATCATCATCCGTCATGTGTGTCAAATGTGCGTTTTGCAGGACACGGTACATCGGGAGCACGAGTGGGTACCGCGGGGACCGGATGATTTTGTTGGATTTGCCGCTAAAAAGTAATGGCCGGACCGGCGCGCAAGGTACCCACCAGCGTGCCACAGGTGACTGTACATCTTTTTGTTCTCCATCAACATCGGCCGCACCCGAGTTGCCCCTGGCCCGTTTTTCGGCTCTTCCGTCGCCGCGGTTGACGGCTCCTTCCTCCTTCTCTGCTTCCTTCCTTTCTTCCTTCTTTTTTGTCCGTTCGGTTTGTCATCACAGGCCGGCACAGGGCTTCCTCTTTCGGCTGTTCTTTTTCGTTGCCTTCCTCTCCCTTGATCGATGACTGTTCCTTTTTCTCTCCCACACCCTTCCGACCTGCCTGTCACGGTTGCGACCTTGTGCCTGCCTTGCCCTGATATTGGTGTTTGGTATGTTTGGTGTTTTTTGGTGAGAGGGTGTCGTCGTTTCTTCGAAACTTGTTAGCACGCTACCTTTGCCTATAACATGCGCACCACCCAATCTTCTTTTATATCGGACGGATTTCCCATTTGCTGGTTCGCTCCTCATGGGAAACTTGTTCCTCCTGTTGTGCTCACCCCAAGCGCTCACCGGAGACTTGACCGTTGATATGGACCAGATTGGAACAGATTGCGCATTGGCGGAGGTACGGTATTGTTGTTCAAATGCAGACAACTCTCCCTTGGCTTCCGATGCTGTGCTCCCCGATGTGTTATTGAAAGTTAATCCCCAAGAGTCTTGGCTTCTCTCTGCCCACACAAACATTCGAACCCAAGCGGAATCATCTCCCCGGGTTTGTAACCTTCTCTTACAAACTAGGACCGATTCAGCCACAACACATCCCATGAACTTGATCACATCACGGACGGTTGACGCCGGCAGAGCGACAGGCGACACAAAAGAGGGACAAGGAGTCAAGGACAGCTCGGGTGCCTGGCACTGGCGTGGCCTGACATGCTGACAAGTGCTTGACGCCTGAACCCAGTGTTGCGGTACGGGTAAGGTAAACTTGACGCAGTGTGCTGATCTCTTTTTGAAGTAAAAGACATCCAAGCGGCCGTTGCTCTCACCGATCAACGCTCATCTGAGACTCATCCACATCACCTGAGCGGCCATCGCGGCCGTTGCGGTCATTGAGGCTTAGAGAGTCAGTCAGGGTCTCAAACACAGGTTCACCTAAAGGGTTCTTGCACAACTTCCTGATCCTTTACAGTCCATTCAGCTTCACCCACCTTGGGAGCCGACAACAACACCACAACACTACCAAGACTCCCAAGGCTACCTAGTACCCGAGACAACACAAGACATCACAACAATCACTACACTACCAAGTACAGCCTTAGCATATCTCTCCCGCAGCCACCCAAACCTCATCTAGGTAGTGTGGTGGTGGAATGGTGTCTGGTGGCCCAAGAAACGCGGCGTAAAAAAGAGGTTGGCCTCTCACAGCCGGCCAAGTGGACGGTGGCACAGCCTCTCGAGCTTCTCTGCACGCCACCACCCCATTCCCTTGGGTAGCTTCCCCACGGGTCCATTTTTCTACATGGGACTTTCCTTATTTGAGGGCTTTCGGCCTTTCCCCCTCTCGTGCCTTTGTTTGGCTGGCAAGGCTGTAACCCACGCCGCAAAGGAACGGCTTCATTGGGTCTTAGCCGGTCCGCCTTGAAGCTGACGACATCCTCTTCTCGCGGTGTAACGTCCTCGGTGGGTAACCAGAGTCAAGATCGAGAGGGCCCAGGCAGAAGGAATGGTCCGCTCCGTTTCTTGAAGCCGCGTCCCGAAGTAAGCCGGACCAAAGAAAACAGGCGGACAAAGGGCACAGTTGCCGTTCGATCGCTTCAAACAACCCTTCTTGGTCGATGACCAGGGGCACAGGTCGGGTACGCATTCTGATGATGCATCTGGAAAATATCTCCTTTTGTCTGAATTAGGTACTATTCCCTTCGCGGCTTCTACGGCCCATTCCGGCGCTCTGGTTCCTGTTGCCAAAACGCAAATATCATGCCACACAGCTGCGAACTTACCAAGCGAGATGGTGCTCTCCTTGACGAGAGAGCCAAGACCGAACGATCTTGCAGCGAACACCCAGAATTACCGTTGAGAAGAAAAGAGCACATTTCTTTTTGTGTTTGCGGGATATCTGGAAATCTCACAGAAAACCTCCCTGCCTCTTTGATTTCCATCTTGCATTCCCAGTATGTCAACGAACGGTTCATTGACACGTGGTAAAGGTGTGGGAGTGTGAGAAGAGATTTCTTCCAATGTCTCTAAATTGCAACCTTGATTCAACAACCGTTCACTTCATGCCATGGGGTCCAGTCCAGTCGATTCGATCATCCATCCGCCTTGTCATATCAGTTTGAGCACTTACATATTTCGATAGGATGGGTGCTATCTATCTATCTCCCTACATAGACACTGCATATGTATACATAGGTAGGTATCCAATCCCGATCCGGCCCAATCCCGAATATCCAAGACGTCAAGCATTCCTGCGGTGCTTCTTTTCCTTCCCTTTTCCCCCACTTAGGACTAGCTGCTCCCAGCGGAACGGGTTCCCGTTCGACGACGACGACGACAACGACGCCTCCCATGGATACATACTGCCAGTCCAGGTACAAACTCTAGGTACTGCCGGTCAACTGCTGCTTTTTCTTGCGTCTGCATTCTGCTGCTCGTCATGTATGTTCATGTCAGCAAGCAGCAGCAAAGTCATATACATCATCCATTGTATACATTGTTTGTTATCCGTCCATTCGTCGTGCTTC